CCCCTTTCCCTATCCCCTCTGTCCCCCTCCTACCCTTCGCGCTTTGTTCTGTCATTCCCGCCCTCCACTTTCATCGCTTGATCTGTACACCCATCTCTTCATCGCTTGATTCAGCCTCTTCACTCGACTTGCCTGCGTTCTACTGTCGGCCGCCTCGTAGCTTCGAATCTCGTTTGAACTAGGACACTCTTCTCCCGCTTTGGTCAGCACGTCATTGAACTCTCTGTACCACTACTCTCTGCGTCTCGCTCCGCTGGCTGCCTTGAGAGACGCTCGCGAGACGGAGAGGCAAGGAGGGGTGAAGGGGAGAGGGGCTAGCGTTGCACCTCCCTCACAGCGCCCTTCACGCGCTCCAGCAAATCTCGCATGAGGTCCAACTCGAGGTCGGTTGCCGTGTCGAGCGAAGTCGACGAGGAGGAGGAGGAGGACCAGGAATCGAAGAGGGAGGAGAGCGGGTCGAGCAGGGAGGATTGGATGCGCTCGAGTGTGGAGGGCGAGGCAATATGTGTCTGCCGTCTAAAGGATCAGCATCGCGTCCGCGGGAGAGGGGAAAGGCAGGGAGTGAGACGCACCCGGTTCGCCGTATCCCGCTTGAGGAGGACATAGACGAGACTTAAGCGCTCCATCACTCCTCGGTGATACTGTTCGACAAACTCTTCTGCGCTCATCGACGGTGTCGCGGTAGGAGAGGCGTCGGAAGAGGAAGAGGGGGAGGGAGGGAATGCGCTGAGGAGCGAGTGGCCGAGCGGGCTTGCGAAGAGCGTGTCGGAGAGGAAGAGTGACTCTTCTCCTTTCTGTACGCGCACGCTTTGCATCAGCGCGCGCATCTGCAGAAGGAGAGAGGCAAGAGCACGCAACGCACACTCGAATCGAGTTTCGCCAGCACCACGTTCTTGACCAACCCGACCGCTGCATCGCGCATATTCGCGAACGGACATTCTACGGCGAGGACTCGCAAGACGGCCATTTGCGCCGCCTCGCCTTCGACGATGTGGCCGGTAGATCCGGGATAAACACGGTCAAAGTCGGAGATTAGGTAGTCGAGGAGGGTGTAGGCGAGGAAGCGGTTTGGGGGCGAGGGCGACTGGGCGGCGAGCGGTGTGAGGATCTGCGGAGAGTGGCGTCAGACATGCAGTCTCGAAGAACGAGAGACCTGGACGAACCTCGAGTATCGAGTAGGCCGTCTCGAGCGGCATGATGTCCGAAAGTAACTGCCGCGGTCGCAAAGCAACAACCCACCACAACCAGAAGAGCAGCTCGTCCTCGCCTAGCCGCAGCTCAGGATGCCCGATAACCTCGCGCAAGAGCGGCAGACTTGGCTCGAACTCCGAGCCAATCGGTGACGGCATCTGATAGCTCATGGCTGATCGCGGCTTCTCGACGGAGAGGACATGGAGGGCCATGACGAACTGGCCGAGGCGGAGCACGAGTGGAGCTTCCGAGTCGTTCGCGCGATAGAGTAACCTTGGCGCATCATCGTGGAGGCAACTTGTGGCGAACTGCGTGTACTTCGTCAGCGCGGGACTGGCATCAAGGAATGTGCAAAAGACAGACCACGGCAAGCCTCCAAGTTTCCCGTACGTCGGGCTCCTCCGTCCGCGTAAAGCGGTCGCTCATTTGCGGGTACGCTTCGCCAGCGAGCTCCGCTGCGATATCGACAGGGGAGAGAAGTGAGTGCAGTCGTCCGACTGTCTCGTAGAGAAGGGTGCGAAGCGGGTCCGTATCCTGGAGGAGGAAGGCGAACTCAGAGCGAGCACGGCCACCGCGTTATCGAGGGATTGGAATTGCGTACGATGTGACCCGTTTGGCAAAACACGATGGGATGTTCCATCGCTATCAGAAACTCAACGACCTCCCGGAAGACGACGAAAGCGAGGTTGTCGGTTGCTGGCGAGACGGTGTCGAGAGAGTCGAGAGGTTGGAAGGCTCCTTCTGCGGCGAGGTGCGAGAGGGCGGCTAGGATAACGTCGCAGGCGGGCTCGGTGAATGGGCGGAATTGCTCCGTCTTGATGCGAGGAAGGGCTGCGGAGCAGTCGGACTTCAGCTGGACTTGCTGCCGAGTGAGGTCTCCTCACGCACCTCGCGCATACAAACCAATCAAGCACGCCAGTTGTACCGCCGAGCTGCGAGCATCTACCGAATCTCTGTCGCCGTCCGAGCTGTCCTCGTCCTCGTTTGCCGCGCATTCGGCTGATACTAGCTCCGCCAGCTTCTGTCCCACACCCATGACGACTTCCTTCGGGCTCGAGAGGGTTCCGACGAGGTTCAGGCATGCTTGTGCGCGGTCGCTAGTCGGACGTGCGGAAGAAGAAGCCGAGACGAGGGGGAGAAGATAGTCGAGGAGGACAAAGGGCTCATCGAACAGGGTCCCCTGCGGACGAACGTGTGTCAGCGGCTACACGCGGCCCTTTATAACAGGCTCGCACGCACCTGCACGTCCCCGTCGCCCAGCTTCAAGGCTTCTGCCTCCCTCAAGAGCGCTTCCTCCAACTCGTCCAACAGCATCGCGTCGCCCTCGCGGGATCCGCCGGCAGCCGCAGCGGCTTGTATCCGATCAAGCAGCGGCTCAGATGGCCCAGCGGTACCAGCGGAGCTCATGATAGCGGATGAGGCGGTCGTCAAACTAGGTGGACCCGCTTCATCAGTCGTCGCTCGCTAGCTTTGGCGTCGTTCGATGCGTCATTGGGACTGACTAGCTCAGCTTGATCGTCCTGGCAGTCCAGTGTGAACAACAGCCGGAATGAAGCGAGAAGTGAGCAACCTCCTCCTCCTCCTCGCTCCGCAACCACCTCTCGCTCGACGACGACGACGCCCACCCAACTTGCTGATTCAGCGCGGCGCACCACTTGAGCCGCTCGTGCTGCACGTGGCGGCCATTTGACTTTTTCCCCCGCCGCAATCGAGCAGAGCCTCGCCCTTGCTCCCGCTCTCTTACCGGCGATTCCGCCATTGCATCCGCTCTCTCCCTCGCTGTGGCCTGGCAAGCTCTCACACGCCATGCTGCGACGACAGGCGACGGCGCAGCCCGCCCACACGCCCTACGGAGCCGTCCTCGCAGAACTGGTCCGCGAACTCCATCCTCGTCCCGCGCCTGGCTTTCGCGGGCGGGTCTACGCCCTCGACGCCTTGACTGCAGGGTGCGCTCCCTACGTCTCTCTACGAACATGGAATCGCTGACCCAGGCTGATACGCAGGGACATCGCCCTCGCCCTCGCCTACCTCGCCCTTCTCCTCTCACGCAAGGGGTCGAAAGGCGGAACCTCCCGACGGCTCATACGGAGGGTGCGCTCGCTCGAGGGCTTGCCTTGGCTGTTTGAAACTCGGCATTGACCCTCCGGCGATGCGCAGGTCCAGATAGCGACCGGCACCCTCCTCATCGTCGACTCACACCTCCTCCTCACAAGCACGACAATCGCAACGGGCGTTTTCTCTCTCGCTTCGCTCGGCTCACTCTCAACATTCGGACACACAGGCATGGTCCGTCGCCTCTTCCCACGACCCTCGCCAAAAAAATCGTCTCGAGGGAACTGACCTTCGCAATCTCCGTTTCGCTAACAGGCCGCCTCGTTCGGCTTGCGCGCGATGTCGATCGTCCCGCTGTTTGTGCAGGCATGGGGCTTGCTTTGGAGCGCGTTGCAGGGCTTGTGGGTGGCGATGTCGCAGGGTAGTGCAGGGGGACATCCCTCGGCGAAAGCGGCGAACGTTGTCTTTCTCGCTGTTGGAGGATGCGTCTGCTTGGCGGGACTTGTGCGTGAAGACATCGCGCCGGTGAGAAGGCTCGCTTACGCAGTTTGACGCAGGGCGCCGGTCTGTTCGCCGCCGTCGCAGGCCACAATCTCTACTCCGCCTTCTTCTCCCTCCGCACAACCCTCACCGCCCTCGAGTCCTCCTCCACAACTCCATCAATTGCTGTCATGCTGCGGCTCGCACCGGGCTTGTCCGTCTTGCGGAGGCGGACGAAAGACTTGCGAGCGGCGATGTTGGCGACTTATTCAGTCGTCTTCCTCATGACCCTCGTTGTCCTTGCCGTGCGCTCACCTGGCTCCTTCCTCACTTCCTCGCGCTGACTCTTCGAGAGGATAGACCTGCGCCTACGGCCTCTACGTCCACTCCACCGCCTCACGCCCCTCCATTCCCGCCGTCCAGCTCCCGCTCACTCCCCCCGCTGTCGACCCCAAGACTGGCACGAGCAAGAATACTTTCATCGAGGATGTGGACGGGTTGGATGTGAGGATGGGAGAGGAGGAGGAAGTGTGGAGGTTCAGGAAAGCGAAGGACGACTTGTTACTCGTGCGTACCTTCCATTTGCTCTTTCAAATCACTCGAACCAGGGCTAATGACGGTCGTGCGCAGGTCTGCGTCTTGGTTGGCATCCTGTCAGCGACGATGGCCGGCCTCGGCGCCTTCTCCGTCTTCCTCTCCTTCTCCGGCCGGATCTTCCAATCCAACGGCGCGCTGTGCGTCCTCCCGCCTCTCCTGGCACCCGTGACTCTCGTTGACCTTGCCCAAACGCAGCTTCGAAATCGCCCACCTCTCATTCTCCTACCTCTACGCTCTAGTCCAACTCCTCCTCTTCACTTTCCTCCTGCACGACTCGTTCCTTGCCCCTTCTTCCGACTCAGCTGCGGAAGAAGTCGAGTTGGCACTCAAGCCGAGGAGGGTCGCCGCTTCGTGTCGTGTCATCAGGCAGGTCCGCTGGCTGGCGAGGCGGATCGCGAGCAGGAGAAGGGAGGGAACGCACGTACCGGTGCGGCAAGACAGCGGGTCGAGCGGCAGCGACTCTTTCTCCACCGACTCGCAGGAGATGGCGCAACAGGAGGTGAAGGGGGAGAAGAGCGTCGTCGGGGCGAGGAGGTCGTTCGAGGAGGCGATTGAGAGCGTGCCGAGGGTTCGGTATAGGGCTGGGACGGTGGTGGTCTGACTGGGCGTGCTTGGGGTTTTGCGGATGTCTGGCAGTGGCGTTGGTTGGCTGTTGTAGCGATAGTTCTTGTCGCACCTCGCAAGACGCATGCTTCGCATCGAGGGGTCGAGCGGAGGCGAGAACGGTTGCATAGTGCTACAAGGCGACAGGAAGACAGAACATACGAGCCCGCTAGATCAAGTCGTCCACATCGCTCCGCCCCAACTCGTTCGCACTCGACCCGAGCGATGTGTCGAGTTTCTCCAGCCCCTCAAACATGTCCTTCAGCTGGTCCCGCTGCATCTGGTCCATCGTATCTTGTCCCATCTCCTTCGGACTGCCGTACTGTCCGCCGCGAAGCAAGCTGCCCTGCCTCGTGGGCGTCTTCCTCCCGTCCTCGCGATCCGCCGCCGCCTCATCGTCCGACCCGCCCATCAAATTCTCCGTCTCCCTTCTCCGCTTCTCCTCCTTCGCAGGCACCACCGTCTCCCTTCTAACCTGCACGGGCATCAACGCCTTTCCTCCCTCATCCCACCCCGGCGCAACCTGATTCAACCTAGCCTTCCGCGCGCGCTCTTTTGATTCGGCGTAGCTCGCGAGGAGGGCGAGGCGTTGGGTGTGTTGGGCTTTGCGGTGGGAGAGCGCGGAGGGCAGGGTGGATAGGACGTGCGCTTCGAGGGTGTGTGGGTAGACGAACTGCGCAACTCGCGGGTATCAGCCGCGCCGCATCACTGGTCCGTAGAGTGTACCACGAGCACTCACGTAGGCGTGCACGTCCTCTGGGAGAGGGTGGATGTCGGGCGGCAGCTCCACCTGGATCCGAGGAGGGCAAAAGCGTCAGCACAACACCTCGCAGCGCTTGACGAAGATACGGACAGGCTTTGGAATCCAGAATCCAGGGTTCTTGATCAGCGGAACCTTGTCTACAAGCTGAGACGGCGTCGGGAAGCCTGCGTTTGTCGCTGGAGAGTGATGAGGACGTCAGCTGGCGTTCAAGGGAAGGGAAAGGGCTGCGCGAGCTCACAGGCCATCTAGCAGATCGTAGCAACACTTCAAGCCAGCCAACAAGGCAGATCAAGCGAGAGCAAGCGTTGTGAGGGAGCCAACTCCATCCTCCCCCTCCTCTTCAACCTCGACCAGCGACTCTGCTCCACCCACCTGCTCTACTCGACGGCTCGCTACGATGGCTGAGCCAGGGTCTGCCGAGAAGCCCCCACCGCCTCGCCCCGCAACGCCCGGCGTTGCTGCTCACTCTGCGTCCTCAGGATCGCTCGTTTCGAGGATCGGGAGTTCGAGGGGTTACCGGTACGCTCAGGCAGCGTGGAGATGGAAGGGACTCGTCTTGGGAGGCGTGGCAGTCACGTATGCGGTCGTATCGTGCGTCGTCTGTTTCCCTTCTTGCCCTCGACCCTCCTCGCTGACCTCTTTCTTCTCGCAACCAGCTGGAATGCCGAAAAGGCCAAGGCGCGGAAGCGCGACACGATCCATCCCAATACGTACCTGTACTGGAAGATCTACGACGGCGGAATCGTCGAAGCCAAGTCGGCAGGCTCGAACCTCAACTACCTGCTCTCCAGCTCGCAACGAGGAGCGCCTGAAGAACCGCCACGAGTAATGGAGCTCTTCGAGGTCATCCGGACGATCAAATTCGTCGAGAACGACGACCGGATCAAGGGCATCATCGCCGACTTTTCCCATACCTCGATCCCCTCCGTCCCCTCGTACAATCTCGGCCTTGCGCAACTCGAGGAGATCCAGGACGCACTGTTGGAGCTGCGACGGGTCAAGCAGGAACGGCTCGGTCGGGATGAATGGAGGACAGTTGCCTGGACGGACACCTTCACCTCGCAGGGACAGTACCTGCTGGCGTCGAGTAAGTACAGGTTCGTTCGTTCAATTACGATGTCGCTCATGCTCCTTCTATACAGCTTTCGACGAGGTATACTGCCAGCCGACCGGCGAAGTCCCTCTCGTCGGTCTCGGTGAGTTCATCAACTCCTGTCTTCGAGGCTGTCGACTGACACCAATTACGCGGTGCAGGCTCGACTACCCCCTTCTTCGGACGGTTAGCCCGATGGCTTGGTATTGAGGTGCACGCCGAGGCAAGAAAGGAGTACAAATCGTTCGTCCAGCCTGTACGTCCCGTCCCTCTCGAACTCGAGGAGCTCGCCGTTAACGCTTCTCCGCACACAGTACATCGACGAGAAGTTCACCGACCCGCAACGAGAAAACACGCACCAGCTCCTCTCAGACCTGAACGACAACCTCCTCGCCTACATCGGCCGCAACCGGTTTAGCGACAAGTCGGGCGTCGACTCGCTCGAGCACGTCAAGGCGCTCACGCAGGTCGGGCCGTTCAGCGCGGCGCAGGCGAAGGAGAAAGGGTTGATCGATGGGCTGTGCTACAGGCAGGACGTGCTGGACTCGGTCCTGCTTGGGAAGAAGGAGGAAGATGCTGAGGTGCCGAAGGAGGTTGAGGCGCCGAAGGAGGCTGGGCAACAAGACGGGCTGGTCAAGGGGGCAACAGCGGCGGCGCACGAGCAGAAGCCGGAGAACAAGCTCATGGGCTTCTACCACTACCACAAGGTGCTCGAAAAGGCGGTCGAGAAGCACATGGCGCAAGAGACGATTCCGATCGGCGTCGTCTACTTGCAGGGGACCATTGGCGACGTCGGCGAGTGCGTGGCATTCCGCTCGCCCTCCTTGCTTCGTCCGCTGACTTCGCACCTCACAGGTTCGGCACTGCCTCGGTCGTTCGCGGCTTGAAGGAGGCGGGTGAGGACGACACCATCGGCGCCGTCGTCCTTCGTATCGACAGCGGAGGCGGATCCGTCATCGATTCTGACACGATTTGGGGAGCCGTCCGCGACTTGCGGGAGAAGTACGGCAAGACGGTCGTTGCGAGTTTCGGGAACTCAAGCGCGAGTGGAGGGTACTGGGTCTCGACACGTGCGTTGCCTTGCTCTCCACCGTTGGATGAAATTGACATTTGTTTCACGCAGACACCGATGCCATCCTCGCAGCTCGTGCGCCACTGTTCCTCTCCTCCGCTAACTCTGGCTGACATCTTCGCTCGCAGCTTCCACCGTGACTGGCAGGTGCGCAGCGACGACACTCGTCCCCACTCCGTTGAGGCGTTGCTGACCGGTCCCTCCCGCAGCATCGGCGTCGCCGCCCTCCGGCCAACCTTCCTCCAATCCTTCTTCGACCGCCTCCACATCTCCCTCGAATCCTTCTTCACCGGCTCGCGCGCGCAAGATCCGACACACTCCCTCACACCTGCCGAACTCGACCGCTACCGGAAGAGCGTCGACGACATGTACGACGACTTCAAGCGGCGAGTATGCGAAGGACGGGAGATCAGCCCCGAGGTTATCGAGGGTATCGCGGGCGGAAGGGTCATGACTGGCTTGCGAGCGTTCGAGATCAACGCTCCGAAGGAGCTCATCGACCACCTCAAGGGGCTGGATATCCCAGCGGCGGAGGGAGCCGAGGCGGCGGGATCCAAGGAGGAGGCGCCGAAGATCCAGGAGATCGAAGCACCTTCGTCGAGCGAAGGAGCGGCGGACTCGAATGAGGTGGCGGCTGCAGCTGCCAATGGACCGCTCGCGACTCTGCCGGAGGACCAGGAGACTTCGCCATTTGCCGTTCCGGAAGTCGCCTCGACTCCCGAACTCGCTGCCCCAGTCGCCACCGCAGAACTGCCTTCCTCAGCTTCTCCCATCGACGCTGCCACCCCTACCACGATCCCGGATTCGTCCACCGAATCCGATCCTGCAGCCGTGCATGCCCAACAAGCGCTTTTCACGTCGACGGCCGAAGAGCAGGCGGCGTCCGCGTCACTCCCCAGGCACAAGAAGGGGTCATCGGCCGTTGGAGCAGTCAATGGCGCAGCGGGAGAGTACGAGTACGAGCCGGGACCATACGGGCGAGGCTTGATTGACGGACTGGGCGGGTTGCGAGACGCGGCTGTTTACGCATGCCAGCTCTTCGTGCGTTCCGCCTACTTTTACCTTCGTCCAGAGTTGCTGATCTGATAGTGCTCAGATCGCCAACGGCATCGCCGGCTACAAGGAGGAGAACCCAGGCGTGTCGGACGACGAGGCTATCAGGATGCTGTTGCCGGACGCCAAGTTCGCCATCATGGAGGACGGCGAGGTCGCCATGCAGGTCGATGGTGCGCACACTCGCTCGTTTTCGCTACACACCAAACTGACGCTCTTTCGCCCGCAGTCACGCTCAAGCGGTTCCCGGTCCAGAAGAGCTTTTGGCAGCAGCTTGCGGTGCGTCGAGCTGCGCCTCTCTCAACAACTGCCGAACTGACTATCGTCGCCTATACAGGAGGCATCAAGGCGAGGCGACTCGCTCGGCGACTCCGTCCACGCTCTCTTTTCGCCGACTCTCGCTGCCTTGCGTGTCGCAACGGCCAAGTGGTTCCTCGGTGCCGTCGCCGACAGCGTTGTGGAGGAGCTGAATGCAACAGCGAACGGCGCGGGAGTCCGGGGAACAGCAACACCTGGACTTGGGCGAGGAGCGCGGTGGACCGGTCTGATGGCGGGCGAAAAGAGGGCGGAATATGCGCCGGGCGCACGGTGGGTGTAAGGCAAATCACATCGCAACACGCAAAGACACTTGCATCGCAGCTAAGTCGGTTGGAAGGAAGCCTCGAAGTTTTTCGCACACGAGCAAAGTCTCCCGGAAGCTACTCCGCTCAGTACGAGGCCTGCCGTTGGCGGAACGACACGATTTCGTCAAGTTGTCACAAGGAGTAGGGTATGTACAAGCGAGTCCTCCATTCGAGCTAAGCAACGACCTGCCTCCTCAGAAAGCGACATCCTTGGCACCCTCGCGGTACCAGTGCCTGTGCTTCGAGAGGGCATCGACGAACTCGGCGCCGAAGCCGGTGAGGTCCTTGGCGCCCTTGATCTTCTGCCAGAGCGTCGCCTCGTCGCCGGCGAGGTTCTCGGCGAGGACGACACCGTTCTTCGACGAGTACGCCTTCGAGAGGTCGGCCTTGTAGTCGGTGATGCCGGGGAGGGCCTTGTGAGCGAACACGGGGACCGAAGCGCCGACGGCACCGATCGTCTTGAAGTGCGCGAAGGCCTCACGGATCCAGTGGAGACCGCGGCCGGACGAAAGCTCCTTGACGAAGTTCTCGTCACCGTCGGGGATGAAGAGGCCGTCGAAGAGGGTCGAGCGAGCTGTCTCGAGGGTGAAGTTCGAGTTGATGACGCCCGACGCGCCCGAGTCGCCCTTCTTCGTGCCGCGAGGGTAGCAAGGCCCCTTGCGCGAGCCGACGACGTTTGGAATCGAGCCCAAGGCGGTGATGGCGGCGACCATACCCGAGACCTGCAGGCTGTCGAAGCCGTCAAGGGCGAAGACGGCGATGCGGCGACCGACAGCCGACGAGGGGTTGTTGGCCGAGAGGAGCGAGAGCGAGTTCTCGCCGTCGGTCTTCTTGCCGTGGTTCTTGATCTCGGGCTCGGGAACGTCGATGTCGAAGGCTGAGGCAACGGCGAGAGCGAGGTTGTGGTCAACGTTGTTCCAGCGGAGGATGTTGCGCCTCTGGATCTCGCGGTCGTCGCAGCGGCCGAGCTCGAAGATGGCGGCCTCAATGATGTGCTCCTTCTCGACGTCGCTCATCGAGTTCCAGAAGAGCTGGGCCCTGTACGCGGGAGCGCAGAAGTGTCAGTGTGGGCCGACCTTCTCAGGCTGGACGGACGTCGAGCGGCGTCGACAGCCGTGGAACGGAAGAAAGCAAACGCACTGGCTGTAGTGGTTGTCGAAGCGAGCGGGGCGGAGGCGGCCGCGCGTGCCCTCGACCTTGTACGGCGCGGGCGTGAGGAAGCCCTCCTTCGGCTTGGTCGCCTCGGCGATGGCAGCCTCGTTGTGGGCGTAGTTCTGGCCCTTGCCGTGCTCCGTGCCAGCGTTAGGCGTCTGGAAGCGGCTGCGGAAGAGCGGAGATGTCAGCGAAACGAACGGCGGAGGGGGGAGGTCTGGATCCTCTGACGACCACGAAGCACGACGCACTTGGGGTAGTAGTTCGGGCCAGCGAAGATGCGCTCCTGGTGCTGTCCGTCGCGAATAGTCGAGATGAACGGGCAGACGGAGCGGTTGATGGGGAGCTCGTTGAAATTGACGCCGCCGAGACGCGAGATCTGGGTGTCGAAGTACGAGAAGTTGCGGAGCTGGAGCATCGGGTCGTTGCTGTAGTCCATGCCGGGAACGATGTTGGACGTGCAGAAGGCGACTTGCTCGGTTTCGGCGAAGTAGTTGGTCTGAGTGAGGAGGGGGACGTCAGTCGACGAGGAAGGACGGTTTCACGCGCGGCGGCGACGCACAGGGTTGCGATTGAGCTCCATAGTGCCGACCCAAGTGATGGGGACGAGCTCCTCCGGAACGATCTTGGTGCAGTCGAGAATGTCGAAGTCGAACGTGAGCTCCTGCTCCTCCGAGATGAGCTGCACGCCCAACTCATACTTGGGGTACGCGCCGGCCTCGATGGCGTCCGCGAGGTCGCGACGGAGGTAGTCGGGGTCCTGGCCGCCGAGCTTGAGGCACTCGTCCCACACGAGACCGTGCTGGCCGAGGTGAGGCTTCCAGTGGTACTTGACGAAGGTGCGCTTGCCCTCCCTGTTGACGAGGACGAACGTGTTCTGCGATTGGAGAACCCGTCAACATAGCTGTACGCAGGTGGACGGTCGAAAGTCGACGCACGACACCGAAGCCCTTCAACATGCGGTACGAGCGAGGGATCGTGTAGTCGGAGAGCGAGAAGAGCGACATGAACACCGACTCGGGCGTGAGCGAGATGAAGTCCCAGAAGTTGTCCTAAGAGATAAGATTAAGACGTCAGTAGAGCGAGTGGGAAGAGGCACTAGGCGAGAACCGACATGGGCAGTCTGCGCCTGCGGCAGGTGGATCTGCGGTGCGGGCTTGCCTATAATCGGAAAACAGCGTCCAGTCGTCAGCCTGAATAGCCTCATCGAGGGCAGCGGCTGCGCAACGCACCGGAGTGGATAAGGTCGACAAACTTGATGCCGTCCTGGATGAAGAAGACGCTGGGAAAGGGCGGCCCAAGATCAGCGACGGCTTACTTTACACAGACAGATGATCCGAGCGTACGGGATGTTGTTGCCGACAATGTCCTGTAGGAGGCAAAGCGAGGTTAGTCTTCAGCAGAGGAAACAGCCTGTGGATCTCCGACTTAGCCAGTTCCCTTCGGAAGAATAGAACTTCGTGGCAAAACCGCGCACTTCACGTGCAGTCTCAGCCGCACCGTTCTGGCCGAGCACCGTGGAGAAGCGGACGAAGGTGGGCGTTTCTTGTCCGACCTGGGTGAGGATTTTGGCCGTCGTGTAGTCGGCGAGCGACGTATGGAGCTTGAAGACGCCGTGGGCACCTGTTGAAGTGTTTTCAAAGCGTCAGAGGCGTGAAGAGAAGGGCCGATCAACGATGTAAGGGAGGAAAGGCGAAATGAGGGATGGGGACGAACCGACGCCGCGAGCGTGAACGACCTGCGGCAGCGAAGGTTGGGTGAGCACTTCGCGGGGTTATTGATGATTAAGAGGGTACGCACACGCTCAGGAATACTGATGGGGAGGAAGAGAGAGAGTCAGCCAAGAAGGTCAGATTCGCGAAGTCGGCGATTCCAACGCACCGCTCGCTGCAAGACCAAGACAGGTCAGTACTCGTCGCACAATACAAAGCAGAAGCAGCGCCACGCACTGGTCAAAGTGGCTGATGCGCTCGCGAGCGACGGGGTCGTCGATGCTGGTCGGTCCCCTCGGTCCGGCCCTCATGGACGTGTCGAGATTGTCGACGGGCGCCTGCGAGAAGACGCTGACGTGCTTGTCGCCGTCGAGCGGGATGCGGGTCGTGAAGCCCTCGAGCTGGGCGAGCTTGGCGTTGAGGTGCGTCGGGCGAGCCGTTTGAGGCACGCCATCTCCGGTGTAGGACCTGCGGGTGCGTGCTGGTCAGTGCCTAACTTTCGCGCTCGTCGCACTATGCAGAAGTAGTCGGCTGAGCCGGCGACGCACATGATGCTGCGAGGCGGGAGACGAGGAGGTCAGCATCGCGGGAGGCGTCTGGGAAGGAGCGCATCGCACGCACCCTGGCTTGTTTGGGCGGATGTGTGGGCTGATAACGTCGAACTCAGGACCCTGGTCAGCTCAGATGGGCGAACGTGCGAGGGTGACGCGGAGGACGCACAGGTTGCGGATTGGGAAGGGCGATGCGAGTACGAAGACGCAGGTGTGCTGTTCGCTGCGGGTGCTGGCTCGTTCTGTGCGAGTCTAGCTGTCGAGCAGTGAGTGGCAGAGGGTCTACGATGCTCTCTGGCGGAAGAGGCCAAGTGCACTCCTTGAAGTTGCTCCGCTGCGTCATGTCCGACGCGATCAGATCGAGCCGCATCGCTTCCGAGGTCGGCAAAAACGCGCCATGCTGACATTTATTAGTCAGGCCAATCAGAACGCGACCTTTGCGGGTGAAGAGGGAGGATTGCGGTGTAATTCTGCACCTACAAACTCGAGCTATTGAAGCATTACAAACGGATCTCGCCCGCCTCTTCTTCTGAGGGCTCAGCCGCTGTACAACTTTGCGATGCGAACCTGTCTGCTCATGCCACGGATAGCCCGTGCCCGCCGAGAAGAAGCGGGAGAAATGGCGAATGTAATGCTGAATACGAGTCGCTTGTAATGAGTCGATTACAACCCCTAGACCTCTCCCTCGCTCCGCATCTCACCCAAACACAATCAAGGAAACGCTTGTTCGCGCCAGCATGGCCTCCGCATCGCAGCACCCCTCACGGCGCTTCGTGATCCCGCCCACACACGAGCTCCGCTTCGAACTCGAGTCGCCCACCGACGCCCTCTCCATCACGCTCATGTCCGGCTTTGCAGAGCTCTTCGGCTTCGAGCTGGTGCAGGGCGCGAGCTATGGGTTCAGTCATGAGCAACGAGGGGCTGTCTGGGCACCTGGCGTGAACGGCGAGGGCGCCGAAGTCGAGATGAGTTCCCTTTCCTCCGTCCGCCTCACTCGCAGTATGGCGGAAGTCGCGGGCGGTGCAGACGGCCTTGCCGCGCCGAGCGACGGCCTCTCGCAAGCTGACCAGATGCAGCGCCGAGCTGCGGCAGTTTGCCTGGAATGCACCTTGTCCTGTTGTCGAGAGGGTCCTTACGAGCGGGCAGGGTCCCGATGTCGCTTGCTGCTCTACTTGCTGCTCTCGAGAGCACTGCCTGTGCCCTGTGCGGAGCGACCGGACCACTCGCTGCGACCCCGGCGACTCAGCTGCGTGTTCCGCTCTCAGCAGATCCCTCCTCCGCCCCCGAGAGGGCGCTCGCTGTGGCCAACTAACGCTTCCTTCTCTCGCCTACCCACGTCACAGGCTCTCTCGACACAGTCTACGTCGCCTCCGAATCCGCCTTCTCGACCTACTTCAACCTTCACCTCTCCCTCTCGCGCCTGCGCCTCCTCGCCCGCCCTTCCTCCTTCGCCATGACCCGCGACCTCTCTCAGCCGGACGACGAAGTCGCACCTCCACGAGTCCTCGTCGTAGGCGAACGAGGAGCAGGCAAGTCGACGCTCGTCAAAATGTTGGCGAATTGGCGTAACCGGGCTGAGCGCGCGACGTGCGGGACTGCGAAGCCCGCGAGCGGGATCACGCTCGTCAATCTCGATCCGAGCGACGGGTTGTGGACTGTTCCCGGCACGATTGGGATCGTCAACACCAGCTCGATCATCCCTACCTCGACTCCCGCCGCGCCATTCGGGACGTCGTTCTCCTCCGGTCCGCCCGTACCCTTCCCTCCTCCTGCCTCGACATCCGCCTCTTCAGACGCTTCACCGCCCTACAACCCCCCAATCAACCCCGACTCCTACGCCCCCTTGCTCGACCCGCTCGTCTTCTTCGCCGGCCACCTCTCACCAACCGTCAACGAGCCCCACTACGACCTCTTGATGCAGAGTGTGGCGGACGCGGCGAAGAGGAAGGTTGATGAGGCGGGCATGGGGAGCTGGAAGGCTGGGTGGATGGTGGACACGCCGGGGGAATGGGCGGAGAAGAAGGGAGGTGGGTGGGAGAGGGTCAAGGCGGCTGTCAGGGCGTTCGAGAGTGAGTCGCTTTGCGGGACGAGCGCTGGGCGGCACTGGTCTTCTCAAGCGGATCGCGCTGCCGTCCCCTCCTACCCGTGAGAGCTCTCGACTGACTTTCCTGTTGACTCGCAGTCAACGTCCTCCTCGTCGTCGGGACGGAGCGGTCGTACGTCGAGATGTCGAAGCTGATGAGCACGAACAAGACGGTGACTGTCGTGCGAGTACCCAAGTCGGACGGCGTGCGTCACGGTCTTCGCTTATCGTCGCTTCCGCCCTCCAGCTGACACCCTTCACGCTCTACAGGCCTCTGACCTCGACCTCCCCACGCTCTCGCGCCTGCAATCGCTCCAAACCCGTTCCTACTTCTACGGCGGCCCTCCTCTCACGCAAGGCCTCCTCTCCCCCTTCTCCATCATCGTCCGCCTCTCCGACATCCGCATCGTCCGCGTCGGCGAAGTAGCAGGCACACACGCGCCCGACTCGGCGCTCCCGCTCGGTGCGACTCGGCTCACGAGGGATACCGAGTTGGTTGAGGTTGACTTGGAGGGCCCGAGGGCGGCGAGCGAGGTCGTGAATCGGATACTGGCGGTGCCGATGGCGGAGGAGGAGCGAGATGGACAGGAGAAGGTGGTCAAGGGACCGGTGATGGGCTTCGTGTGGGTGTGAGTTCGAGGCGTTCCTCCCTTTCCGCCACGGATATTCGGCTTAGCTCACGTTAATCTGCCGCGCAGCTCGGCTCTCGACAAGGAGAAGAAGAAGATTACGCTGCTGTCGCCGCTGCCAGGTCGCCTGCCACGGAAGACGCTCATCGTTGGCGGGATCGACTGGATCGACAATGCATAAAGAAGCATTGGCCTTCATTCGTACTTTCACCGCGCACTGCACTGGTCAACCACAAGTTACTATTCCGTCGAGCTCGGGGATAGACTTTCCGCTTGCTTACGCCGAGCCTGGGCGACCCCGAGTTTATGCATCTCTCCTTCCTCACGCATCCGCGCTTGCTACCGAATGTCGTCCACACGCCTTGCTGCGCCCGCTACCCGCTCAAAGACGGTTGCGACACCTACAATGGGCACTCTGCCGCTGTCCAAAGCCTACCCGAGCGAGCTGGTGCCGACCGACACCTCGCCAACCTCGCCCTTCACTCTTCCGCCGCCAAACGCGCTCGTCTTCAAGCAGCATGTCCATCGGTACCCTGAGCCCGTTGGACTGGTCGAGCGGACGAGGATCTGGTACATGGGCGTGTTCTGGGAGGTCCTCGAGCCGGTGCGTCGCCCTGCGCCATCCTGTCCGAAATTCGCGAGGAGATGACCGAAGACGGAGGTGGATCGCTCGCCGCTGACTCGTTCGCTTGCTTTGCTGCACAGTGGGAACGGGTGTGGATTCGTGCGTCTACCTCGCGATCTCGCTGCTGTTCCGCCGTCTTGGCTCGCACACGACTGACCCTTCGAATTGTTGCTCCTCTCCTCGGTCCCCATTTCTCTCACGATCCATCGCGCCGATTACGTTCGTCCTTGCTCGGCCTTCCTCTACACCGACCTATCTCCTATCCCTGAACCCCGCCTGTCCTTCCCGGCCTCCCCCAATGCTCTTCCATCTAATCTCCCTTCCCTCACCTCCTCGCTAAACCGCGAACAAACAGACTCGCTTCTCTTCGCCCTCCTCTTCCTCCTCTACATCGCCTTCTCCCGCCTCTTTGCACCAACGCACATCGCGCACATCGCGGACCGCTTGAGGTGGTACATCTTTGGACTCGGGTCCGCGGTGGAGGCGTTTGGAGGTGCGGGAGGGATGAGGGCGCATGTGGGTGCTGGGAAGGCGTAGGAGCGCCCGTTCATCATCGTCGTTGGTCGTAGGCCGACAGCGGAGGACCAAGTCGTCCGACGACGGACCTTTCCTCTTCCTCCTCCTTTCCCGTCCTCCCTTCGACTCCCTTTCGCCTTTCACCCTCCCTACCCCTTCCCCTAATCCTTCACCACCGTATACACCTATTCACTCACTTAGCCTAGCCCTAGCTCATCGGTACGCTCATCCAGCGATCCCTAGTTCTCCCCATGCATAGTTCTGCGCTTGTTGTATCCGTTCTTTCTTGCCATTGAGCCACGTCCCAAACCTCACGTACGCATCAGGAGCACGAGGACAGTCGGCGTGAGGCAAGCGAAGTCGAAAGCGCGACGAGCGGGGAGAACGAGCAAGCCTCGGTTCCATCACACACAGTCAAGCGAGCGTCTCGGCGGCCGCAAACTCGCGCGCGCGCAGGAGGAGCGTGTGCAGAGAACCAACCCAATTGCACTACACCCGACCGTCTGGCGCAAAGGGAGGGAGGAGAGGAGAAGGAGGAGGGACGAGAGGGTGGGGCGTCTACTTCTTCTTGCCTGCGTGGTCGAGAGCGTCAGTATCATGCAAAGGAACGGAGGGATGAGTCGGAGGAGAAGCAACGCACCCTCGTTCGCCTTCTTGACCTTGGCAGTCTGTAATAAGGAGAAAGGTCAGAGATGTAGCAGGCGAAAGGTGAACGAGGAAAAGACGAACGCCGAAGAACTCTACGGGTTCGCACGTAAAAGAGAAGAGAGAGTCAGCTTCGAAGCAGAGAGGACGCTCGGGGGAAGGTCCGCGCACTCTTCGAGCGGTCTGCGCGAGGCAGGAAGCGAGCAAGTCAGCGGCAAATCCCGTTTGAGTGCCGAACAGACAGCGAACGCACTCTTGCGCTCCTTGCGGAGCTTGCGGCCGGTGCGCTCCCTCTTCTCCGCGAGGCCGAACTGCGAGGATGCGTGCGAGATCAGCGACGTCGCTCCTTGCGTCGACAAAATAAATGCCACGTACACGAACGAGACGGTACCGGGGCTCGAACTTGAGCGACCTGGCAGCGCAGAACGGGTCAGTACAGCGCTCCAAGAAGGAGCGAAGTGGAGCGCCGAACTCACTCCTTCGAGTCGTAGATCAGGGCAAAGCCGGTCGACTTTCCGCCACCGAACTGGGTGCGGAAGCCAAAGACGATGACCTGGTCCTTGGGCGCCTTGTACATGGCCGCAAGCTTGTCGCGCAGCTCGTCCTTGGAGACGTTGGGGCGCGTCGGGTGGAGGACATCGACGACCATCTGCTTGCGCTGAAGCAGGCGGTTGGTGATGAACTTGCGGGTGCGGATGGTCACGGCGCCGTTGGGGTCCTGTTAGGCGGGTCGAAGTGAGAGGCGGGGTGGAGGAGGCGGAGGGGGAGAACAGCGGGCACGAAGGCGGGCGGGAGGGCGCGGAGGACGGAAACGAGCGTCTCGTCAGCACTGCTGGATCTCGAGAATGCGTACGAACCGCTGCTAGTCGTGCGAGCCGACATCAATCCGCCGAGCCTGGTGCACCCCGTCGAGACGACCCGCAAGTCCGCCATCTCGGCTCAAAGCAGCTCGCGCGCGCCTGTTCCCGCCTCTGCAGCACCATACGAGCCACCCTGCACGCGAGCCAGACCCCCGCAACGCGGTTACCGCTGCCTCGCCTCGCTGAGCAGGGTTTGCCCAACGAGGTGGCCCCGGTGCTCACTCCCTCGGCACTCTGCCGACTCCGCTCCAGTTCCCAGTAGTCCGTCCATGTGTGCACCAGGCTCTGGCGGCATCGTCGAGCGCGCGCGAGGCGTGAGAGGGCGGATTTGCGAGGGTCGTCGGCGGGTGGTGAACTTTGAACGGGGGCGGTTTCGTCGACTCGGGGCGGGCGGTGGGGGTCGCGGGCAGCAGACAGAGGGTCGTGGTAGCTAGCAGACTGACCATGTTGGCGGCAAAGGGTGGCTTTCGAGCGACTGTCGAGAACGAGGAGCGAGAGCGAGTTGGCCTCTTGCGAGCGAGCGAGGCTCACCCTCGCCCACTCTCGACGGCGCTCAGCTGGGCTCTCTTGGGGATCAATCGGACCTGAAAACTGCTTTGTCGACTGCCGTCGAGGAGCCCACTCCGCCAGTGCGACGTTCGCTGCCGTCGCTAGCCTCCCCCTCGTCGCCTCGCTGCTTCGCAAGTCCTGGGAGATGGCGGGTAGCACGGTGCGATTACAACGACATGTAGGCATTCACAGCGATCGAGAGTACGGCGGAAGGAGACGAGGAAGCAATCAAGCGGTCGAAAGTAGCGCAGCGGATCGAGGGATTCACTCACGCATCTTCTGCAGGCCAAGGGATCAGCCTACATGCCGACAAGCAGTACAACATGTGAGCTTACGCACCTGAAATGCGTGCCTCCTGCAAGTAGACCTGCTTGGCTTCCTCAGCGGCGGTCTCCGCCTTGTCCGCCACAAGTCCTGCCGCCAACAAGCCCCTTTTGACCGTGGCCTTGAGCGTCGCCGGGCCAAGCAAAAGATGAGCAAAGCGGTTGCTGCAGCGGGAGAGGCCTGGAGGTCGGGTTGCAAGCGCTTCCGCTGCCGCAATCATGTTGGCAGTGTCGACCCCAAGCCGGAACGTCTTGAATCTCGTGTTTTCGGCGGGAGAAGCAGACTTGGGAAGCTTGAGCGGGAACTTTGTCAACGGACCTGGAAGGCAAAGCGCAGATCAGCTTCTTTCTGCCGTAGGGACTGAGGGCGGACACGTACGGCGCTTGACGCGCTTGACGAGCTGGTCGTAGCTCGACTGCAACAACACCTCCGTCTTGAGGGCGCGCTTGAGGACGACGAGCGCCAGAACTGCGAGCGAAGGCGGACTCAAGTCTCTTGAGAGCGAGAGCGAACAGGCGAAAGCGAGGCAAGCAAACTGACCTTTGCCTGATACAAGGTAGTGCTCAGGCATCCAAATTGCGTCTTGCACCTCCTTCATTTGCTGGTCTTGCTCCTCAAGCTGCCTGTCGTGCGAGTCGAGTCGCGCCTGAAGTCGCGCTTCGACAGGTGCGAAAGCGGTCTCGACGGCGAGGCGGACAGTGCGTTGCAAGTCTGCTCTGCCCATGACGTGTATCGGCTCCTTGGTATGCACCGCAAAGCCCTTCTTTGCACACAGCGGCGTCACTGTGCGGATCTGGCGGACTGGGAAGGGGAAGGTAGAGAAGTGCGCGAGGCGGGCCGCCGCCCAGACGGGCTTGACTGCGCTTGTCGGGTTGAGCGTCCCCCGAGCGTGTGTAAGGTGCTGGTCGTATCGAGCGGGGACAGCCAGCAGTTGCGTCCGCTGCACGCCGTTGACGCGTGAGGCGGTTCTGAGGCTTGAGATAAAGAAGCGAGGCGACGAGGGACGCAAGGTCGGCGAGAGCAGCTTGTCAAGCAGCAGCATCGGTAAGGTCTGGGTTCGACTTCATAGTCGGAGGAGGAGGAGGAGAACAGCGAGACTCTGCTGGTTCCCTCTCACACACCCTTGCTCGACGGCGCTGCCACACGCTCAGTAGAGGATTAAAGAACACCGCAGCCAGCCCCGCCTCGCCCTCCCCCCGAGTCGTCCTTCCCCCCATCCTCCCATCACCGCAACCCCGTCCTCCGCCCTTCACTCACCCGCCTGAACCCGCGCGATGGCGTCCAAGTCCAAGACAGTGCTGGTGCAGCCCATTGTGCGTGCTCTCGTCTCTTCTGCAGCGCTGTGCGAGGCGCTGAACGAGCTAACAACCGGTCGTCCTCTCATCTCGCTCATTCGACTCTCGACACCGCTTGCTGTTGCGCTTACCACCTCTGCACCCTTATTAACGCCTTCGCCGCGCCCTCTGCCCTTGCCGCGCCTCCTGCCGCGTTACCGACCCTTCTCTCTCCTCATCGCCCTCCCCTCCCCTTCACGAACTCATTCCCTTTACCTCCATTTCTTTCACCCTCTCACGTCACACTCCCTTCCGACGTGTTCGTACCGCGCCGAACAGAACGTCATCTTCAAGCACCTCCAGCAAGGGACCCGCGTGCAGTTGTGGCTGTTCGACAATCTTGAGCAGAGGCTGGAGGGCAAGATCTTGGTGCGTCCGACGAGTTGCTACTCTATGGCGTGAGGAGAACAGGAAGCGCGGGAGTTGCGCGCGGAGGAACGAGCAGAGGGCTAGGCGAGGGGCGGGCTGCCATCCCGCCTGTCATGGCGGAGCGCGCGAGATGTTGGTTCTTGAGTTGCAGCGCATCGACAAGCGTCTGCTAGCGTGTGGCGAAGAACCTGCTCAGGCTGTCCTTCGTCATCGCTCGATCAATCCGCGCAGACCATGGCCAACCTGACTGACTCTGCTCTGCCTGAACTCTCGCAGGGCTTCGACGAGTTCATGAACATCGTGCTGGATGACGCAGAAGAGGTTTGGGTCAAGGACACGAAGACGAAGAAGACTGGAGACCGTCAACAACTCGGTGCGTTTGCCCTCCCTCTTTCCCCTCGCTGTCAAGCTGACTCTCTGTCGCGCGGGGACAGGCCGGCTACTGCTCAAGGGGGAGAACATCACGCTCATCAGTCCGGTGCCGAGCCCGAGGGCATGAACGGGTGAGGCGCGGAGCGTAGCGAGGAGGATGCGGGGTCGAGGCCGGAGTGATTTGCGAAAAACATGTACTAGTCCCGCTTGCGCTGCTGCAGGCTCTTCTGTGAGGGCTTTTCAGATGGTAGAGAGAGCCAGCAGGCCATCATGCGAGAGTTGCTCGACATCGCTCTCCTCCCTCCTCCTCGACTCTCCACCACGCACCTCGCACACCTCGCACATCCACAAGCTCGCTTAGGACCACCTCCGCCTCCTCTCTATCCCTCTCTCAGTCGTCCCAAACCCGCCCCGAATGTCCGCCCTCCGCAAAGCCCTCCCCGCCGCCGTCCGCGAGCTCCGCCTGTTCGGGTGCCAACAGTCGCCTGGATCCGAGGGTGTGCGGTGCGTGCTGCTTCGAGGCTGGTATGTGGACCTTGCGAAGGACGAGCTGACCAGCGCGGTGCTTTGCTCGTTCCCCTTCGCAACTTTCTCGTCCTCATCAATCCCGACCCTCCTCTACTCGCTCCTCTCGCCTCACGCTCGCCGCCGGTCCGCCATCACCCTTCGTCCTTCACCAAACGCAACGCCTCACTTTACTGCCGCTTCCCGTCCTCCACTCTCCCACCCACATCCCCTCCTCTCTCTCCTCACCATCCACCCCAAACAGCGCCTTCATCCGCTCCTCCTACCCTCAAATCAAGTCCGCCAATCCCGACTTGCCCATCTTGATCCGCGAGGCGAGCGGGACGCCTGCGAGGGGGTTTGTGAGGTTTGGTGCGTTTCGGGTTGCTTCGTCTTTCGTCTCGCGTCTTTCGGGTGGATGGATATAGGGGTGGCAGTGGGAAGGAGAGTTTGCCGGAGGAGGGGGTCGCTCAAGGGCGATGGGCGGAAGGGGAATGCGGCGGCTTAGCGACGAGGAGACAGAGCCGACGACGATTTCTGGCTCGTCACTCCGCTCTTCTTGCGCCAACAAACCAACAAGTCTCACCCGCCTTCAGCCGAATACTGACTCCCCTCCCTCCTCGAACGAAACAGAGCGCGGCGTCGAGAAGCAAATCAGCCTCGAGGGCGCGTCGTCGGCAGAAGAGGTTGAAAAGAAGATTGCGTCGTTGCTGTAGGTCCACACAGCTAAGCAGGAGGTGGGAGGAGGACGGAGGAAGTGTAGAATCATCGCAAGATATCCGTTTGGCATACTTGCGGGAGCCCAAAACGAGAGAGGAGGTCGGAAGCGTGAAGGAGCGGGAGCTGCTGGGCAGATGAGCACGCTTGCTGAATGAGGCGGTTTCACGGTACCAGACTTTGCAGGCTGCATGTGCGTGTACTGTTGATGTCATTGCAACAGCGAGAAACGAAGGAGACGGTACAAAGAGACTTGTAGTTTGCGAATGCGAGTTTTGTTGGTCGTTAGAAAGGAAATGTACATGCGCGACAGGCGAAGTGGTCGCTGCGTCTACGGTTGCGTCGATGGAGCAAGCGAGGGCAAAAAAGTAGAAGAGAGACGGGCGCCGAGGACGGGACCTTGCGCTGCGAGGTGGCTCGAGATGCTTAAGCATCGTTCGTGCGAGCGCTCTCTCCATGCAGGAGGACGTCAAAGCGTACCTGCGGCAAGTGCTGAACAGCCAACCCAGCCGAAGCTAGGCCGTGAAGCGCCCAATCACTTGGTCGTCGCATCGCCCGACTTGCAAGCGACGATGCGGCACTTGCCGCTCGCGTGCACCGTCTCGCTCCCGTTCTCGAACTTGAACGTCGGGTTCTCGAGGATGAACGTCCAGACCTGCGGGGGCGAACGGTCAGTCCCGCGAGTCGTCTGCCTCAGCCGCTGCTCACTCACGTCTTCGAGGTGGTTGTACGTCTTGAGGTGCGCCTTGACGGTCGACTTGACCTTGACGTCCTTCTGCAGCGTTTGCGATGCCGACTTGTCGAACTGAGCGAGCTTCGAGGTCAACCGTCGGGTCGTGAAGGGCGGAGTGGAGGGGACGCACCTGGTTCAAGGTCATGAGCGCAAGCTGCGGGTTGATGTGCCCGCTGTTGATGAGCTCATCGAGGGCTTCTACCAGCGCCGTACCGAGCCTGCACGCGCGCGCCACACGAGCAAGGAGAGCGAGCGAGGGACGAGGTCAGCACGCGGGCAGGAGGGCTCGCGCAAGGGTGGGGACGGACGCCGAGCGACGGTAGATCTGGTAGAAGGGCGTCTGGGTCGCAGCCTGGGCCGGTGCAGCAGGTCCAGACATGGGCGCAGCGAGCGAGCAGCTCAACCTGTGCGAGCGAGCAGGCGATACAAGAGCGGGATCCTCTGTGGCTCTTCACACGGCACTGATGGGGTCGAGCGCAGCATGAGAGCTAGCCGACGCGTCTTCTGGGTCCATCAGGCCCGTCAGAGCCGTCCTTGAGCGAGGTGAGACGGCGTTATCGTCGTCGCAGAGTCCAGGAGAGCTGTTTGGCTTCCGCACTCTGCTCTACCACGACAAATCGGCTCTGACGCTTCGGAAGTAGTTCGAGACGATGCTGGATGACCGCCTGGAGCTGTCGAAGCAGCGCCGTGAGGGGTGTGGGCTCCTCCTCGTTTTCTCGCTCGCCGACTCCCATGCTGTCCACACGTCCGCACCCCCTGCCGACGCTCCGTCGTGCTGCAGGTACAGCCTCACCGTCGATCGCATGCCCGTGCGAGACAGCGCTTCGAAAGCGGCGAGCTATTTCGACGACCCGAACGTGAGCCCCTTCCTTCTCGCTGTCGACCGCACGTGCGGGCTTGTCCGTACTTTCACTACTTACGATTCGCCGCTTGAGAGGCGGACGAACGGGATTGCAATTTCCCCGGGCCCCTTGCGCGACCGAAACTGCTCCACCTTCTCGCTCCCGTCCGCCGTTCTTCTCCTCCGCTTCTCGTCTCCCTCTGCGTCTCTCTCTCTCCTTCAGATTCCCCTGCTTTCGTCCTTTGGATACCCCGAACGATGCTCCCCGTCGTTCTCTCGGCTGTCGCTGCGGCGTCGCTCTTCTCGGCCGGTCAGGCTCTCTCGCCCAGCACGAAGGATGTCGGAAACGGTGTCCACGGTGCGCCCCTCGCTTCTTCTCGCCAGTCTCGCGCCGTTGACATCTTTCTCTAACAGTCCCTGGCGCGATTCCCGCCAACCTGAACGAGCCGCTCCAGCATCGTCTTGCCTTCGCTGGCCCGACTGGCATGACCGTCTCGTGGTCGACGTTCAACCAGCTCTCGAACCCGCAGGTCTTCTGTGCGTCTCGCCTTCAGCTTCTTTCGACGTTCCAGATCTGACACACTGCTCGTTAGACGGAACGGACCCGTCGAACTTGGACCAGCAGGCGAGCTCGTCCGAGTCGACGACCTACCCGACCAGCCGCACGTACAACAACCACGTCAAGCTGACCGGTCTCAAGCCTGGCACGAAGTACTACTACAAGGTTTCGTACACGAACGCGCCCGCGGCTGCATACCGCCCGACTTACTCCTTCACGACCGCTCGCGCGCCCGGCGACACGACTCCCTACTCGATTGCCATCTTCGGCGACCTCGGCTTGATGGGCGACGACGGTCTCTCGACGAAGACGGGACCTATCGGCGGCGACAACTACACCGTTATCCCCGACGGCGCGATGAACACGATCCAGTCCCTCCTCGCCGCCAAGGACTCGTACGACTTTATCTACCACACCGGCGACATCGCGTATAACGACGTGCGTGCGATCTTTCCTTTGCGTCTCAGAAGAGACGATACTGACTTGCTGAGAACTCGACGCGCAGTACTTCCTCAAGGAATCGATCCAAGGCTACTTCGGCTTGGCCGCGAACGACACTCAGCCCACTCGCGGCGAGGTCGCCGAGCAGTACGAGTCGCTCGGCGAGCAGTTCTACGACCAGATGCAGCCGATCACTGCCGAGCGGCCGTGGCTCGTCACGCCCGGCAACCACGAGGCCAACTGCGACAACGGCGGCGTCAAGGACAAGGCTGCGCACATCACCTACGACTCGACGTACTGCATGCCCGGACAGGTGCGCCCCCTTTGACTTGGGCTGCTGCCTTGACTTCAACCTCTCCTTCGCATTCTGCTAACGCTTGTCGTTGCGCAGACCAACTTCACTGGCTACAACGCTCACTTTAAGATGCCGTCGTACGAGAGCGGCGGTGTCGGGAACATGTGGTACTCGTGCGTCTTCGTTCTCCCCCCTCTCGCCCTCGTCGTGCTCCCGCCTTTCCCCTTCCTTGCCCTCCTTCGCTCACGCTATCGCCTACAGTTTCGACAACGGTCTTGTGCACTACGTCTCGCTCACCTGCGAGACTGACCTCGGAGACGGACTCAAGGGCCCGTGAGTACAGCTTCCTCCCTTTCGCGACTGGGTTTCCTCGTTTTTGTCTGCTGGCGCTGACCCGCTCGCGTTCTCGACAGCATTGAGGACGTCAACGGTCCCTTCGGCGCCCCGAACCAGCAAATCAACTGGCTCAAGAACGACCTCGCCAACGTCGACCGCACCAAGACGCCTTGGGTCGTCGTCGGCCTTCACCGCCCGTGGTACACCTCGAGCAGCCCTCCGACCTGGCCCGCATGGCAGCAAGCTTTCGAGAAGATCTTCTATGACAACCACGTCGACGTCTATCATCAGGGACACGTGCACACCTACGAGTTCTTCTCGCCGATGATGAACGGTACCGTCGACCCGAACGGCCTCAACAACCCTCGTGCGCCTCTTCCAGTGCTAAATGGTGCAAGTGGTCACTACGATGGTTTGGACCAGTTCGACCAGACGCCTCTGTACACGGGCACGCTCCACGCACTTGACACGTTCGTCGCGTCTCCTCCGCTTCGTCCGCTTCCCTTTCCGCCTCAAACTGACCTCTTCCATCCTCTTGCACAGGGAGTACGGCTGGGGCCGCCTCACATTCCACAACAAGACGCACTTGACCTACCAGTTCATCGCCTCGAGGAACGGCTCGGTCATCGACGAGCACACGCTCTACAAGGAGCACAACTTCCGCAAGGTCCAAGGCCAGCACCCCTACACGCCCCCGTCAAACTCGCAGGGCGGCAACAACAACCAGCAGAGGAGGAACCTCCTTCACTTCTGAGCGAATCGATTACTCTCTCCCTCTCCTTCTCTCCCTCTCGTTCAGTAGACTTTCCGTTCGACGTGGTTCTCTTGGCGTCCGTAACAGTCTGTACAAAGGCCAGTCAAGTATGCAAATGCATGCAGATATTGCGATAGAGATTGCGCTTCGACCCCAAGAGAGGGGAGCTGCAAAAAGACAGGAAGGAACGAGTGTGCACCGCGACGACGGCTCAAGAATAGGCGAAGGGATATCAAGCGAGTGTGAGGGAGAGGAAGGGAAGACGCGGGAAACAAGCGGTGTCCTCCTTGCTCAAGAAAGTGGTCGACGAAGCGAAGGTGAATGTCCAATCACTCGACGAGGTCGATACCGAGAGCTTTGGCGACGTTATCGACGACGTTCTTGTCGAGCTGAAGCTCTTCAGCGAGACTCGAGCGGCGGCGAAGGCGAGTTGGCGAGGCGAGTTCCGAAGGCTGGACGCGCGCGTTGAGCTGTTCGGCCGGAATCGACGTCGTCGCCGATTCCGGGTCCTCTCGAGGAAGCTTGGGGATCAATGACGGTGGCGAGAGGCGTAGGGAGGACTTGGCAGCGGTGGTCACGCAAGACTGTGCGAGTGACGACGGGGTGAAGTTGGCGATGTCGGTCGCGGGAGTCGACGTCGCCTGGAACGAGTCAAAGACGCCGGCGACGCCGAAGGGAGAGCGAAGTGGCGTAACGGCGACCTTGGTGCGGAGCTGCTTCTTGTGGCCGAAGAAGGTGATCTGCGAGAGCGAGCAAGCGTAAGGAGGGCGGTTCTCGTGTTCCGGGCTTGAGGCAACTCACCGTTGACGGGGTGACCTCGGACTTTTCTAGATCGAGACCGGCAGTGCGGGCGAGTTCGGCGGCTTTCTCGACTTGCGTCGGGCGGAAAACCTGGCAGCGAGCGATGGCGTCGAACTGCGTGCCGTGACTTGTGAGCCTCAAAGCTCCGCGAATCAAGTAGGTCTCGATACTTACGAGAACGCGAAGGACGTAGGACCAGCGCGGCACGCGCGACTTGACGAGGGCGAGAATCTCGATGGCAGCGCAAGCGCTGTTGAAAAGGCGGACGATGGCGGCGGCGTTGTAGCTGTACTTGTGCTCCCACGGCATCTGCGTGTTCGCTCAAGGTCAGCTGGAAGAGATGGCATACGAAGCGAAGGAAACGCACCTTCTCGAGCAGGGTGACGATGTTGAAGAACGGACGTTCCGGCACCTTGCTGGAGTGGGCAGACTGCGTGTACCCGATTTTCGCCTGCATCAGCAACCCTTCGCTGCAAGAAGTGAGGCCGAAGCAAAGCGTATGAGCAGCACGCACCTGAAGCTTGCAGAGCTCGAGCAAGCCCGTCAACTCGGTCTGCAGCAGCAGCGGGACAGGAACGCTCTTCGCGCCCCGCACAGGGACAGGCTTGAGGCCGTCGAAGCCGGGCGTGTAGTTGGGGAAGATCTGCTCGAGACGCATGCGAGGCGGAGGATTAGGAAGGTCGAGGCAAAGGGCCCAAACGGGACTCGATACGCACCGTTTGCAAGAGCTCAGTCTGACTCGAGAGCGAGACGTGGACGGGGCGACTGCCGAGGTAGGTGCCGTCGCGGGCGCGGACAATCTTCTGGGCGGCCGCGAGCGAGGCGCACTCAAGGTAGGCCTGATTGAGGGTGCGGCCATCCGTGCTGTGAAGAGGAGCATGGGGTCGAATCAGCCACTTCGTCAGGGAGATGGGAGAGCTGGTAGGCCAAGACGCTCTGCGCACCGGTTGCAAAGCAGATGAACCGCCAAAGTCGCCTTCTTCTCGCCCTCGACGTCGTTCGCAAGCACCTTCCCCTTGGGCAACCAATCCTCGATCTCCTTGACCGTAACGCTCCAAGGGACGTTGTCGAGCCTGACGACGGGCCAATCGGTGTTGTAGCGGGTTGAAGAGGAGGGAAGGTCGGAGTCGCCGCGCGTGATGCTGGCGGGCGAGTCGGTCTGGACGGATTCGCGCTCGGAACGGACGCTCGTCGACGATTTGCGCGGCCCAAAGACGCCGACGTCGTCCGACCTCGTCGACATTGACCCGGGCGAGACGACATTGGAAGCGGAGCGGCGGTTCCTCGGCGAGTGCACCGTCTCGTCCTCCTCGTCGGACGTCTCGAGCGCAAGAGAAGCACCCGTGTAGCCGACCGGAGAAGTCGTGTACTCGCCGTCCGATTCGTCGACGAAGCGGGCTTCGCCATTCGAAGAAGTGGCGACGATCGACGACCGCCTGCGCATAAGTGGGCCGCGACGCTTCGAGCGATAATCTCCATCGTAATGGACGGCAAATCCATCTTTGAGCGCCTCCCGCTCGCGTTCGCGCTTCTCCTCCGCAAGCTGCTTGAACAGCGCCTGAACAAGCCCTCCTCCGCCATTCTCGATCTTGACAGCCTCGACAGCCGGTTCGAACGACTCGACGTATGTAGCGCAGGCGAAGCAGTTGGAAGGACGGGGAGGCTTGTGGGCCGCGGCGTTGACGAGGGCGTTCATGCAAGTCGGGCAGGCGGGGTGGCCACAGGGGGTCTGGCGGCGTACGAACGAGTCAGTATGAGACTCACTAGCCGACATCGAAACAGCCCACCAGGCGGACGAAAGCGTCGGTCTTGTGCGCACCGCACCCGCCGCACGCGAAGTCCTCCTCGACCGCATCTTCCTCGTCAGCCGGCACGCCCTCGTCAACGAACGCCGAGCTCTCCCTCCTCGCCCCGAGGCGCAACTCGACTTCGACGCTAAAGTCGTCCTCGTCCTCCCACGAGTCACGAACGTCGGCTTGTTCGCCGGGCGAGAGCGGGCCAGGCGGCGTCGAGAGTTCCGAGTCGGTATGGAGAGGCGGGAACGACCACTTGAGGGCCTCGATGGGCTCGTTCGGGTGCGAGTAGAACGGCGAAGAGTGCGAGACGTGACCTGTCGGCGAAGGCGGGTCGCCGAGGCTCTCTTCGTCCGAGTCAAGGGTGGCGGGTGTGATGTTGGTGAGACCGCTCTTGGCTTGCGAGGGACGGAGAGCGAGAGGCGAAAAGGCGAAACTTGTGTTTGGCGTGGAGAAAGAGGAGAGAGGCGAGTCGAATTTGAAGGCCAACGAGTTGAACGAGATGGACTGGCTCGGCGTCTGGTCGAGGGGCGAGAGTTTGGCGGGAGGTTGGAAGGTGGACGAGGTGGGGGCAAAGGCAGTGCGAGGTGAAGTGAGCTATCGAGCAGCATTAGGGCGAAGTCAGCTTAGAAAGGAGGTCGAGGTCCGGTAGGCGGGCTCACCTGGGTCGACTTTGCACGAGGAGACTGTGAGAGGGCGAGCGGAGTCGAAGGGAAGAGCTGCGAGGCCGTGCCGCGACGACCTTGCGGACGAGCAAAGGGCAAGTCTGCGAATCCATTTCGAAGGCGTCAGCCTCGCTCTTTTGCTTCGACACACCGTATACGCACCCGGGAAGACGTTCTCGAGCATCAGTCCGCTCGTCAAGCCTGCCGAACCGTCTCCTCCCGAGTTCACCTTGGCATCCAGGCTGCTCCTCCCGCCCTCCTTCTCCTCGCCAACGCCTCCGGTCGCCCTCGCCGGCGCACTGAGCAAAAGCTTGGCAAAGATGTCGACGACTCCGCCCTGTCCTGGGAGCGGCGAACGCCTTGCGATGGCGGAAGAAGGAGAGGCTCTGGGTGTCTGTGCGGGCGAGGAGAGGGGGTCGGTGCGTCCGCGGAGGGTGTTCTGCGGCGTAGGGCGGCGTGGAGGGGTCTGAAGGGACTGGAGAGTGGATAAGGGGAGCATTTGAACGAGTGTGGGTGGGTGAGCGAGGGGCGAAAACGAGTGAGAGGAGGGAGAGCGAAGCGAATCGCGGACGCCAGGCGGGACGGGCGAGCTCGTCTGTGTGGGTAGCGAGGGTGTACTGTACTTTGATGCGAGGGGTCTCAGCCAGTCAGCGGGTGTGTGAGCGTAAGCGAGTGAGGTGAAGGAGAGTGAGCTGCGAGAAGACGGGGTCAGAGCGAGCGACCAGCTCAAGTCAGCTCGCGTGGCATGACTCAGGATGCTGTGTGAGCTCCTGCGTACTTTACATGTGTGTCTAGCTAGCCAAGTCAGCCAACGAAGCGAGTTGCGAGCCAGGAGGAACGCTTTCGGGAGACGGTCGACCAGAACGGAGTCGGCGTCCGTTTGAGCGAGTGAGAAGCAAGGAGACGCAGCCCAAAGAGTCTCTCTGACTGCGTATGCATGAAAGGGGAGACGGCCGAGAGGAGTTGAACGAGCAATACTTCCCGCAAGTCTCCCTCCGCCGCTTCGAAGACACCCGTCTCGCTTCAAAGCCTTGCACTGCCAAGCCCAACGAAGGACTCAGTACAGACTCGCGAACGGCAGGAGAAGGGGAGACCCACATCCATGCAGCCATTGCGCCTCGATATGTACAATCTTCGTTTCGAACCTAGTGCTCGCCCTGCTTGCCCGCCTCTCGCCGTTCCTTCGCCTTGGTCGAGTCCTTCGTGCTGCAGACTCAAGTTTTGTCAGCGAGAGAATAGCAAGCGCGTCAAGAGCCGCTCACTAGTTCCCTTCGACGATGTTCCCGCCTCCATACTGAGCGTCCGCCGCCTCCGGTCCCGCCGCCGCTTCCTCCGCCTCCTTCAAGTCCTGGCTCTCCGACTTGGGCGAATTGTACTGTGATGCAGACGCAGTAGGAGACGTCGTGTTGCCCTTGGTCGTGCCGGTCGTGTTCGGGTGTTGCTTGTTCGTTGCGGAGTGGTCGGGCGTGGGAGAGGCGGCGCCGCCGTCCGGGTGTGAGGTGGGCTTGAGTAGGGAGGTAGTTGGGCGGTATGCGCGGGTCAGGAGTCTGTAGGGACGTCTGGTCCGTCTTCAAGGAAGTGGGGAGATGAGGAGAGAGTAAGGACGCACGGCGCGCGAGCGGCGGATCGCAGGGTTCGCAGGGCAGTCGCGGAGAGAGTAAGCATGCTGGCAAGTAGTCAGAGAACTCTGGAGCAGTGCAAGGTGAGGAGACGGAAGCGCGGAGGCGAACGTCACTCGGCTTGACCTTCGCAGGATCGAAGGGTCCCCCTATCGACTCGACTTCGCTTCTTTGCGAGTGTTGAAGCGCTGCCTAGGAGAGACAGCAATGCAGAAACGCCTGAAGGAGAGCAAGCGATGCGAGGCGGGACGAGGCGGAAGCGGCGGAGACGATATCCTCCGCCTCCTCGACCTCCATCGTCGCAAACAACGTCGATACAGTCCCCATTCTAATACTTCTCCTCCATCGGACTATACTCCTCGCTCCTCCACTCCGGAACAACCCCATCCTTCTCCTCGTCCCGCGGAAGCGAAACAACCGTCACCTCCTGCTTCCGACTGACCACAATCCCCTCCACCGCTCCTCCCCTTTCTCCAAACTCCGCCGTCGATCCGGTTCCCGATCGAGTCCGCATACGCTGCGGCACCGCGGCTTGCAACTCGAGGTTCTCGAAGGGTACTTCGGTCGGCAATGCGTCTTCCGCGAGGGTGCCGGTGCCGAAGACGGGGAAGCGTTCAGAGGCGGCGAGGGCGAATTGCGCGTAGTGTCGGGAGAGGTTGCCGTAGGGGTTCTTCTGGGTTGACGGGAAGGAGCGGGTCGGCGAGGCGGAGTAGACGGAGGGTGCGGTGAGGGACTGGATGAGGAGGATGACGGCAAGGAGGAGCGAGCCGGCTATCGTGGTGAGGCTGCCGTGGAACGTTAGCGCAGGCTGGCCTGCAGCGGAGGGTGGAGACTCACGTAGGTACGAGGATCGAAAGCTCCGTTACGCGGCCCGAAGTCAAGACCTGCTTGGCGAGCGCGGCGACCCTGTAGCGAGCGAACGTCATTTCGAGTCTGGAAGTATCAAGCTGAGGACGTACCAGACGGCGTTGGCCGAAACGATCACAACGAACCCAAAGAAGCCCGCCGTAAGAATCGACACGTTCCTCAGGGTTCTGCTGAAGACATCGCTCGCAGTCGGACTCTTGTTCTTGAAGTCGTTCAACGACCTGCGCAAGGCACGAATATAGACGAGACCGATTGTGGCGAAGAGCAAGCCGAGTGAGAGCGACCAGGCGGAATAGACGATGAAGGCGCGTCGCATCCAGTAGATCAGGCTTGTCACGCTCTGCATGACGATGAAGAGGTGCGGTGCGATGTCGTGCACGACTGTCGCCGACGACATGCTTGACGGGTTCGAGGTATATTGGAGTTCGGCGTAGGCGAGGAGTGCGTCGGCGTCAAGCCAGTGCGTCGTCATGAGGCGGTAGTAGCGGTTGCAAAAGTAGGCGAAAGGAATGACGCTGGCGATGTGGCCGATGACGAGAGTGAGGAAGACGCCAACGACGAAGCGAGACGACGAGTAGAAGCGAAAGTCGTTCGATGAGGCGTAGGTCTTGATGTGGAGGATGTCTGCAGGGCCAAGAGCGTTAGCTGGGCTCGCACAGAGACAGCGAAGCACTGACAGGTCGTCGTCAATGTCCAGCAGGCGACGATGACCGCGATGCAGCCAGGCATCCTGTGAGCCGCAAACTGGTGAACTCCTGCGCCTTCTCCCTGGTCAGCGGAAGGTGACGCACCAGCAGAAGACCACCCAAAGCATGAAGTCATACTGTGGCCGTCGATGCTGCGTCTGATAGACCTCCCTGATCGCTCAGATATACTCAGCCCTTGCTCCTGCCCCCAGAACGACCAAAGCGCAACGCACCACAAGTACCCCTGAAACGCGAGCAGCATGAACGACGCACATGCGCTCCATGCGAAGGCGTAGTGGAAGAGGACGTAGGGTTCGCCGGAGCGGATGCGAGCGAGGCGGACGAGCCAGAACGAGCCTTTGCGCCAGCGGATTGTCCAGACCAGAGCGATGAGGAGGACGGCGCTGTTTGCAGCATACGCGTCAGTGGAGAGCAAGGAATGGACGGAGGAAAGAAGGCACAGGGCCGCAAGCGCGCTGGCGAGAATCAGAAAGATCGTGGCCGACTTGGGCTGCTTCGTCAGCGCCAGGTCCGCGAGCTGTTCTCGTACATAGCCCCATCGATTCACGCCCGCTGGAATGAGTGACAGTGAGCCAGCCTGTGGAGACACGGTTCAGCTCGCGTCGAAAGTGAGAGGTAGGGGCGAACTCACGAGGAGGATCTCAAGCTGAGCCTCGTTCTTGACCTGCGCAATGGCGTCCATCTCTTGAGCCGGACAAACTCGCGTGTAGCAAGGAGATGACAGGAACCCAGCGAGGAGAGCAGGCGAGACGAGTGCAAGAACCGCCCGCTCCTCTCGCATCGAAATCGCGCAGGCTCGTTCTTCCCGGCGCTCGATCCGCGGTATTCAGTGGACATACCTCGCGAGGCTCGAGCGGGGCCATGCGGCGCGAACTCAGAAAGCGGGGATTGGAGTCTGTGCGCTGAGAGGATGAGGAAGCGAGGGCGGGTTCCAGTCCGCGTGTAAGAGGCGGCGAAGGTGAGCATGTCGCGAGGCCGGATACGGAGGTCCAGAAAGGCGTGCGAGGGAATCCCGGCGACGGGGGCCATAGCTGAGGCGCTGAGGAGACAAGGACGATAAGCTGCAAAAGCGGCCTGAGCGAGACCTGGCGGCGCAAGGGTCAGCAAGAGCGAGGCGGGTGAGTAGCAACGTGCGAGGGATGTCGGTGCGCTAGGCAAGGAGGTATACATTGCGAACGACGAGCGGAGAACGACGGCGAAGGGAGGGGAAGGCCGTCCGGCAACGAGAACGACTGCGTGGTGCAAACAACAGCGGAGGGGGTAGAGGGGGTGGACGAGGAAAGCAAGAGGCGCGCATTCTAGATGTCGTCAATGTCAAAGTCGTCGTCCCTCTTGAGGTCGTCGTCGTCGCTGCTCTCGGCCGCGCCGGCGTCCTCCTCGCCACTGACCTCGTCGAACTCGACCAACCCGTCGTGCTCCTCGTCGGCGGCAGTCTCGTTGATCTTGGCCGTCTCGGGCAACTCGCCGTACTGCTTGAGCTTGCGGGCCTCGTCGGCGCTGTACTTTTGGATCACGTCGGCTTTGTCGTCCTGGAAGTCGCGGAGCGAGAGGAGGATGATGTCGCCCTGGTTGATCCAGACCTGCAGCACAGCGCTCGTCAGCGGGCACTCTCCCTTCTGCACTCCGCCAAGAACGCACCTTCTTCCTCATCTTGCCACGGATGTGCGCCAACCGCTTCTCACCGTCGAAGCACATGGCCTCGACACGGCCGTTTCCGAGCATCTTGAGGACCTGGGCGTACTCTGCGAGTTCAAAGACAATATCCATCAGCGTCGCGCGCTCGAGCGACCGCTATGCTGAACGACTGCGATGAAACGCACCCTGGCCCTCCTCCTTGAAGACGAGCTCGCGCTTGTCACCCTCGTTCTCGTTCTTTCCGCGCCGACGGTTCTTACCACCCTGTGAGCCAACGCGGAGAGCGCACGTCAGCCTTCAACGAGTCCCGGAAGACGGACGTCGCGAGGCATGGCGATGAAAGGGAGGGACGCACTTTTCCCTTGTTCTGCGGCGGCAAGAGCGAACCGGAGCACGGTGCAAGGGCGAGCACGATATCGAGTCAGCTAGTGTCCATCCAAGCGAGTCCCCAGACAGCTAGGCGGGTGTCGTGTGCGGTGAGAGCGCGGTGATGGGACTTTGGTGAGAGTAAGCGAGTGAGGGAGAGTGGCGCGGCGGGAGTTGGACAGGGTAGGGTCGCTGCAGCCTGTGACGATGCTCAGCGTGTCAATGAGCTCTCGCGTACCTTGGGCATCGCTGGATGTGAGGAGGTGACGGAGAACGGCTCGCTCGACCTTGCCCTTGAGCTGGTCCATCAACCGGGCTGCCCGTTCTCGCTCTCTCACCGCTCTGGGCTGCTTGTTTGTGCGCTCATTGGACTCGCAGTCTTGACTTTCATAGTACTGGGCGTTGAGCGGACGCGTTTCGAGGGCGCAGGGGCACAGTGGGAATCCTCCGACCCAAGTCGAGCGGGAGTACGTGGACTAGGTGCAAGGCGGCGGCGAAGCGGGTCATCAGAGGATTCACAAAAGGTGCGCTGTCAGCTCAAGCTTCCCGTCAGCCTTCCAGGGTCACGGTGGACAGGAGGAGGGCCAGCCCGAGCGAACAGGAGGGGACGGGTGGAATGGCTCACACGGCGGACTGAGGCTCTCATGGACCTCGCTTGTAGAGGAGAAGGCTCAACCGAAGCCACAGACGCGCGAGGCAGACATTCGCGAGGTGGTCCGCCGTGTTGACATTGCTCTCCTTCCCTCGAACAGGCCACACGATGGCAGCCCGCCCACCTTTACCCTTTGGACTCGGGCGAGATCCTCAGTGTGCACCCAACCGGTGCCTCTCACCCGACACGCCCCTACCTGCACCCGGCACACCCCTCCACGACCAAATCGCCTCCGCCCTCTCCCAACTCTTCCAGACCTTCTTCTCAACTTCGTTGCGCTACCTCGGCGTCTCTGAAATCCTCGACTGGCTCGAGACGTCCGGGACGGTCGACGCTTGGATCTTGAGCGGGCTGGAGGGAGGACGGTTGCCGGATGAGATCGCAGACGAGCGGAATCTGGCGTTCGGGAAGGAGGCGTTCAGGCAGGTCGTCAAGAATGCGCTTGACGCGGATGGGGGAGCATGGGCGACGAGTCTCAGGGAGACTGGGTTCTCGTCGGCGATGAGCATGGCGTTCGAGGGCGTCATTGCGCAGGTGCGCCTGTCTTCACTTGCGCTACCGGACGCAACGCTTACGGGCCTTCACACAGCTCAAGCCGAGCAAGACCGCTCCTTTACCGTGCCTGCACACCCTCCTCACCCCGACCGGCCTCAGCATGCTCAAATCCGCCCCGCTCAAATCGACCTTTCCCCTCTCTCCCCCACGCACCTCTCCCTCTCCCGCCCCTCTCCTCGCTTCAATCCGCTCGCTCATCCAATCCGGCAACCTCGTCGACCCCGTCTGGCAATCAACCACGACCTGGCGCTCGCAGATTCGAAAAGCCTTCGCCTCTTACCATGCTTTGATGCGCCAAGTTGCCGAGGAGATCGTCTCGGACCGCTCCTTCGCCGAAGAGTACTTCATCTTCCTCGAGAACGTCTCGAGGCCTGTCCAGCTCCTCCAGCTCATCGCCGACGACTTCGAAGCCGAGTTCGGACCGAACGCGACGCGCGGATTGCTCGGTGTCGGAGACGTCGGTGGAGACAACTTGATCAGCATCATGGACTTTTGCGCGGCCAAGAAACCGAGCGAGTTGCTCAAGCGCGTCAAGCAGCGGGTGGCGGAGAAGCAGGAGCGCGATAGGCGGTCAATGCAGTTTGAGTCGCTCCGCGAACGCCTCAAGGAACTTGACGCGAAGGTCAAGTCGTGGCTGCTCAAGTACCGCTCGGCAATTGGGAAGAAGGACAAGGGCGAAGGAGAAGGGGAGGAAGACGTCGAGGGCGACGGCGAGCAGGTGGACGTCGTCTACGAGGAGGACGCGGTGCGGCTTCAGCGCGAATTGGAGGAGACGCTCGACGAGCGGGACAAGATCAAGAGCGAGCTCGACGACCTGCAGGCGAAGCAGGAGGAGGACGAGCGTGCGGTCAAGCGCGAGCGGGCGGAACGGCAGAAGCTGCGCCGAGCGGCTGGCGTCGACGAAGAGACGGGCGAGGCGGGCTTCAAGCTTGGCTCGTCGAAAGACCTGCTTGTGCCGACTGCAGCGGGCGACGTCGCGCTCGACCCGTTCTCGTCCGTCGCGCCGAGAGCCGTCTCACCTGTTCCTGGCTCTGCCAAGGGCAAGGCGCGCGCGCTTACTCAGCCGGGCAAGGTGCGTGGTCGTCCGTCTTCGGCCCTCGCGCAACCCTTGCTTACGTTGTTCGTGCACTCCAGCCCCGCACCGCCGCTCGATACGCCCCGCCTCCGCCTGCTCACCGGTACAACACCCCTCTCCACCGTCTCCCCAAAGACGCCGCTCGCTCAGCCTCTCCCGCCTTCCCTCCTACTGCGACACCTGACTCCTCCCGCCCTTCTTCACCTGCCCCTCGGCCTCGAGCCCAGAAGCGCTCGTCTTCCGCTCCTCCAGCCGCTGGATCGGCTTCCAGCTCCCCTTCTCGAGCTCGCAAAGCTCGAGCTGGCCGGTCGCAGCTTTCAAAGCGGAAAGCTGAGGGCGAGGCGGAGGTTGAGGACGATGGGTACTGCGAGTTGTGCTGTCCGCTGTGCAGGGCGGAGGCGGAGACGATGGCGAAGCAGGACGGCGCTGAGACGCTCGTCGAGCCAGCGGAGAGCGAGCAGATGAGTCGGACGGGGTCGGCGGAGACGGCGGTCGAGGTCGCAGCGCACGACCAGGCGGACCATCAGGAGCTCGCGCAGGACATGCCGCTCCAGGAGGCGACGAACACGCCTCCAACGTCTTCGTCTGGCAAGAAGAAGAAGAAGCGCAAGAACAAGAACGCCAACACCGTCATCTCTTCCGTCGTCATTCCCGCTCCTCCTCCGCCTACCACTGCCACCCTGACGATCCCGCCGTCCGTTTCGTCGACTCTACCTACATCTCTCCCGTCCGTCCCGCTCAAGGAAGGCTTCAGCCCGCTTTCAAAGTACCCGCCGCCAAGAACCTGTCCGCCTCATCGCTGTACGGGCGTCCCACCCAAGTACGAGGTATGGGAAGAGATGGACGGGCTGCTGTACGGCACGCTCCTCGCCGGGTTCAAATGTGCCTTTCCGTCGGTCCTGCCTCCCTCAACTCGCGCTAACCCTGTCCTCCGTTCTCGTTACAGACGAGCTCATCGGCGCTCTCCCCTCCCCTCTCTTCCTCCTCCGCGACAAGTGCGCCAAGTCGTACCTTCTCGGCGGCGGCCGCATGACGACCGACACCGGCGAGCCGCGCGAGATGGACGGCTTCCTCGAACTCGCCGAAGCTCGCGGTCTCTGGCACTCGGTCAACCATGCCGAGATCCAAGCTTGGGGTCAGCGGGTCCTCGCGATCAGCATGCAGAAACTCGTCGACGTCCTCGTTGCAACGCTGGGCGACATCTGCATCTGCAAGATGTCGAACCACCTCGACATCCTCCGCGAAGCGCAGCAGCGCCTCGAGCAGTGCGAGCAACTCGACCGCCAGATCCCGATTGACCTGCCGGAAATCGACCCGACGCAGTTCATGAAGTGGTGCCACGTCCAGCTTAGAGCAAAGGTGCGTTCTGTCCTTTTCGCCCCATTCACTCCCGAGCATTGCGCTGACTACTTGTTTTCTCGCAGCGTCTCTCCGGTCCCGAATGGGAGAGCGTCAGCCGCCAATACGTCGTCCAAGACTACCTCCTCTCCTTCTCCGACGCCTTCGACGCCGCGATGGACCGCCTCATGCTCAACGACCCGTTCGTCCTCGCCGAGGACATGTGCACGCTCCTCGAATGGCAAGGCGGCGTCAGGGCTTTCGAGACGGCCCTCCGCTTTGGTCGCGGTAATATCGTCGATGCGTTCGGGACGGGCGTCGAGCTGCTTGAGGGCAAGGAGGAGGGCCCGGTCGAGCGGCGGCCGCTGCAGGCGTGGGGTCGGTTGCTCGAGCTCAGCGCGGAAGCGCGGGCAAAGGGCACGCCGTTCAGCCGCGATTTGGCGGAGCAGGAGAAGCAGAAGGTGCGTCTCGAGTCCATTGGCCATGAGCTTCACACCCTTGCAGCGAGTCTGACACTCGTCATATGCGCAGGGCAACGACTTCTTCGCCGCCGGCGAGTTCGAAAAGGCCGTTGTCTCATTCACCACTGCCTCGATCATCCATCCCAGCGAGCCAACTTTTGCAGCCAATGCTGCCGCCGCGCGCTTGAAGCTCAACACGCCCGAGCAGTACGCCGAAGCCGTCTCGGACTGCACTATCGCGCTGTACTCGGACCCGACGCACATCAAGGCACTGTATCGACGAGGAGTCTGCCTTGCAATGCTCGGGCAGTGGAAGGCCGCCTTTGCAGGTGCGCTTGCTCCCCATTTCGCTCTCCTACGCTTCTTGCTGACGCAGCTCGCCTCGCTTTCCCTTGTAGACCTCCGACACCTCGACCAGATCGCGCCCGACTGCGAACCCGCCAGGCAGGCTCTCGCATGGGCAGAAGCGCGGCACCGGGCTGTCACGACCGCAAAGGTCAAGTAGCATAAACGCGGTGCAACGCAGAGCGCGGTTGAACGGGACTTCTTCAGCGCCCTCGTCCGCAGAAACGAGCGGCTCCAGAGAATTGATGCTCAGCGCTCAGCTCCGCTTCGCGTTGCGCTCTTTCGCGAGCTCCTTCGTCGCGCCTCTGCTGCTTGCCAGACAATGATTGCACCGGCACGTTCGACGGACCCTACCAGACAAAAGCTCCTGCTTCTCGAGTCACTCAGGAGGAGGAGATCGAGTCGACTCGCCTCGCTCGCTCCTCTTCCTGCCTCTCCTTCGTCTCCTTGCTGCCCTTCGCGCTCTCATGCTTGTCCCAGTCTGCCTAACGCTCTGTGCAGTCCTCCGAGGGAGGAGCACGGGACGAGCGAGGAGGCGCGCCTCGACATTTCGTACGAGACGGGCGCGTGCGTCCTCCTCCTCTCCTCCTTCTCTCTCTCGCTTCATGCCGATGCTGACGTTCTTGCAAGTGCTCCTCGACCAGCAGCACTCGACTCAACCCACCCGCTATCGCCGCGACCGCTGCCGCCCGTCGCAAAGCTTTTCTTCGCCGCTCGTTCGCGGATCCGCGTGCCGTCGACCATGCTGCTTCCTCACGCTTGGCCCGACGGCTTCTTTTCCTCCCTCGGTCGAAGAATCTTTTCAGCGTGGAAAGAGCGGACGAGCAGGCGGTTTGGCAGGAGGAACACGCTGCTCTCCTATCCCCCGACGACGGAGTGCCGTCCTTTCGACAATCTCGTGCGGAGGAGCGGGGCAGCTCTTCTGCAACCGCATCGCCAGATGAGGCGGCACACCGCTGGCGCGCGGGCGGAGGACGTTGCAGCGAAGCGGACCCTTCTGAACGCACGCTCCATGCTGTTTCGCTTCCGCCACCGCTGCTGAGCGTTCTTTAGCGCGGTTCTGAGTTCGGGCGGCGTCGACAATCGAGGGCACTTATTGCGGAGAGCCGCATTTATACGTGCGGGGGATATCAAGGGGAACAAGCTGGACTTGCTTGCTGGCTCGCCTGGAGGGGCTCGAGGACTGCGTTGGAGGACAAGGGGGAGCGAGCAGCTCACACTATGTACTCTCGACAAGCCGCCATTGTGGCGCAGACGTCCCAGGACGGCGTAATCTGACGCAAAGGCGCCAACCTTGTCCGACCTCTCGAGGGCTCTCCTTGCTTGCGGCGTGTACGAATTAGATCGGCAACGAGCAGCCCGCCTGGCTGTTCGGTCACCAGTGTACCGGCAAGGGCTTCCTCGACGGCGCCTGTGGCTGCGAGACGTCTCGAGCGGTGCTTTGACCTCGTCCGCCTGCTTCTTCCTGCGCTCGCGACGGTCCGTACGAGGTGCACAGCGCTGCACTGGCTTTGTCGCGCGACAGAGGAGCCACAATCAGGTTGGCGCTAAAACGGGCCGAGACCCGGGACTCCGGCCCTGTCCTCTTGCGCCGCGCGCTCCTCGTCGACTTGCACGCGGTGTCGCCCCTTGCCCCGCCGCGGTGGCGCTATCTCTTCACGCGACCGACCGGCGTCTCCTCCGCCCACTCTTCCTGAGTCTTGCCGGACACTCGACCCCCCCTCGCTCCCCTCTCTTTCCCTTCCTCCTCGCCCTTGCTTGCACCCGCTCGAGCCTAGCGACATCTAGGCCACACCGCCAGTAAGGATGGTCAACGTACGAAACCCCTTCAGGCGCCAGGACTCCGTCGACGCGACGACGGCGCCTGAGCTGCACCGAAACGCCTCCGACGACCTCGTCAAGACGCCTACCGACGAGAAGGAGGCGTACAACGGCGATGTCAAGGCTACCGACCCCGCCGACTACTCGCCTGACCAGCTCGAGGACAAGAACGTCCTCGCGAACGGCAAGGAGCGGCCTATCGAGGTGCGACCTTCTCAGCCCGCCTTCACTTCGTTTCCTCGTTACTGACGACGCTGCTTGCTTCGCTCTCTTCGCTGTTCCCCTCGTTGCTCTCGACATCACCTGCCGCGACTATGGAACCACCCCGCTTCGACAGACCGCCGAGGACATTGCCACCCGCTGCATCTCCCTCGAAGACGACCCGAACATGGCGATCCACACCTTCCGCATGTACTTCCTTGGTGCACTCTCACTCTTTTGACTCGCATCGATGTTGCGCTGACCTCAACGCGCGCCCCGCAGGTATCGGCTTGACCGCCTTCGCCGCCGTCCTCGGCCAGATCTTCTACTTCCGCCCGCAAACCGTCTACGTCTCCCAGCTCTTCCTCCAGGTCATCACCTTCTTCATGGGTCGCGCCTGGTCCGCTGTCCTCCCCAACGCCTCGCGCGGCAAGTTCTGGGCGTTCCTCAACCCTTGCCCCTTCACCCTCAAGGAGCACGTCGCCATCGTCATCATGTCCGCCACCGCCGCCTCGTCCGCCGAGGCCATCTCCGTGTTCGCTGCCGACGAACGTGAGTGCATTTTCCCGACCGCTCGATCCGCCGGCGACCGACCTTCGCCTGGTCGCTTCGCCGGCCCGCACTTCCCCTCCATCCCCGATACCAACTTGCTCTTGCTTCGCCCGCCCGCACCTGCCCTCGCATACGATACTGACTCGCTCGTGCGCTCGCAGTCTACTACCACATCACTCCGAACTACGGCGTCGCCATCTTCACCCTCCTCGCCTCGCAGCTGCTCGGCTACGGTATCGCCGGCCTGATGCGCTCCTTCTGCGTCTTCCCGACATACATCGTCTACCCCAATCTCGTCCCTACCGTCAACCTCTTCGACGCCCTCCATCGCGACAAGAACGTCGCCGCCCAGAAGAAGCGCCTCAAGTTCTTCTGGATTGTTTTCGCCGTTATCTTCGCCTGGGAGTGGATCCCTGAGTTTATTGCACCGACGTTGACGGGCATTTCGATCTTCTGCCTCGCCAAGCGCGACTCGGCGTGGTTCACTCGCATCTTCGGCGGATCCAACGGTAACGAGGGACTCGGCATGTTCTCCCTCTGCCTCGACTGGAACTACGTCGGCTCCGGCGGTGGCTCGCTCGGCGCTCTCTTCACGCCGTTTACGACCCAGGTCTCGCAGTACATCGGCGTCGCCCTCTGCATCATCATCTTCTGCGGCATGTACGCGACCAACGCCTGGAACGCCTCGATGTTCCCCTTCCTCTCGCAAGACCTCTTCTTCGCCAACGGATCGCAGTACGACCAGCTCCTCATCCTCAACCCCGACTACTCGCTCAACGAGACCGCCCTCGCCATCTACGGCGTCCCTTGGTACGCGGCCTCGAACGCCATCTACTGTGAGTCTTTTCGCTTCCACTGTGTGTTCGAACAGCTGTTGACTCGCTCCCGACGCAGATCTCGGCTGCAACCTCGCCATCGGCGCGACCCTCACCCACGTCGCCATCTGGTACTGGCGCCCGATCAAGGACGCCATCCACGGCTTCCGCACTCGCACCCTCGACGACCCGCACTACCAGAAGATGCTTGTGTACAAGGAGGTTCCCATGTGGTGCTACGGCGCTGTCATCCTGTGCTCGTTCGGCATGGCGATGGCGACTTGCTACACCGGCCACTCCCAGCTTCCCTGGTGGGCGCTCATCGTCGCCATTATCCTCGCCTTCTTCATGTTCCCCTTCGTATGCGTCATCTACGCCATCACCGGCTTCAAGACCGACGTCCAGCAGCTCGCCCAGATGCTTGGCGCCGCCCTCGTCCCCGGCAACTCGCAGGCCAACATGGTTCGTACCCTCTCGGTCTGTACTCTTCCTGCTCGTACTGACGACGCTTTTGCTCGCAGTACTTCACGCTCTACGGCTACAACTCGTGCGCCCAGGGACTCGGACTCGCTCGTGACCTCAAGCTCGCCCAGTACACCAAGGTCCCGCCTCGCACGACGCTCTGGGTCCAGTCCCTCGGAACGGTCGTCGGCGCCATCCTCCAGCTCATCATCATGAAGTCTGTCATCAACAACCAGCGCGAAATCCTCCTCGACGTCCAGGGCTCGAACATCTGGTCCGGCCAGCAGGTGCAGTCCTTCAACTCGCAGGCCGTCTCGTGGGGCGCTCTTGCCAAGCACATGTACGGACCCGGCTCGACCTACTTCATCATCCCCATCGTGAGTCCTCGATCCTCGCCTCGTCGAACTCGAGGCTAACCTTCCTCTCCTCCTTCAGGCCATGGTCATCGGTCTCGCCGTCCCTCTCCCCTTCTACTTCGGCCACAAGTTCTTCCCCAAGCTCCGCCTCAACACCGTCGTCACCCCCATTATCTGCTGGTGCCTCGGTGAGTGCTCGCTCCGGCCGCCTTCGCAAGCTTTCCCTGGCTGACCGCTTCCTCCTCCTCAGGCTACCTCTCGGTCGGCATCAACTCGTCCGTCTTCACCACCATGCTCCTCGGCATCATGTCGCAGTTTGTCCTCCGTCGTTATTACGCGACTTGGTTCCGCAAGGTTCGTCCACCTCCTCGGCTCTTTCTGTTCTTTCGCTGACGATCCGCCTCTCTCCTCTTCCTCTCTCGCTCTCGTGCGGCGTCAACACACACAGTACAGTGAGTCGTGACCGCCCCGTCGACGTTGCCGAGTCACGCGCTGACCTCCTCCTCCTCCCACCAGACTTCCTCATGTCGGCCGCCCTCGACGGAGGCACGCAATTCTTCGTCTTCATCGCCACCTTTGCGCTCTTTGGAGCCTCGGGCAAGCCCGTCACGATGCCGGAATGGTGAGTCGCCGTCGCCGTCGCCCGTTTCGCCTGGCGCTCCTCCCGGGCTTCCTCCCTCGATACTGGACGCTGATCATTCGTTTCTGATGATAGGGCACTCAATCCGAGCGGCAACCTTGATTACTGTCTCCGATTGACGTGATTCGGGGCCGTTTCGGGCGTTCTGTGGACGTTTCCGTCCGTTTCTCGCATTGTACCGCTGTGTCTAATTCGTTATACCGCTTCACGGGTTAGTCTATTGCTGTCCCCTTCATCTTTGCAACGATACGGCGTTGCTCCAGCACCTGCGTTACCGCCTGGGTGTCGTCGAGAGTCGCTGCAGGCTCGAGGAAAGGAGGGAGGAGAGGTTGTTCCCCTCGCTGCGCTTCGACCTTCAACGTCGCCCGCGTGTCTCTTCGCGTCGTTTCTAGACGTTGTGCATTGGTTGCAACCTTCAAAGCGGCGCGAGAGCGAGTAGGCGACGTCGAGGTTGTCCTCCTCCTTCGTTGCTCCTCCTTCGTCGGTCGTCCACGACGCTTATGGGTGTGTCGACCCAATGTCGAATGATACAGCGTAGGTGCGCGTTGAATGGAGAGTCAAGAAAGCGCGAGAGCGACGAGTCTTGCTGTCCCTCGGTAGGAAAAGGAGCGACTCAACTCGATGATCCTCGAAACCTCAAGCAATCACGTTGCAGACCAGGCCGAGTCTTCCGCGCGTACTGTACGACATGCAACAAACCTCCGCTCCGCCCATCACGGCTCCCAAGCGATATCAACGCGCTCCTCGCCAGTCCAGACACGGTTTGGCCCCCCCGGCACGCTCGAACTTCCCGAGGTTACCATCCTCTTCAGTGGCGATCAGCTTTGCAGACGATACCTCAGTATGCAAGACTTCAGCGGGCGGAGGGTCTGCGTTGCGCACCTTGTACTCGACTTTGCCAGCGAGCGACGAGTGGAGCTTGAGCGTGCCCGTGTACTCGCGCTTGCCGTCCTGCGTCGAGCGCTGGAGCTCAAAGTTGCTCTTGTAGCCCCAGTTGCCGAGTTGAGGGATGTTGCCCGCGACGAAGAGACGCGACTGCGAGCGAGCGAGGGTTCAGCAGAGCGAACTTGAGAAGGGGAGAAGCTTGGCTCACTTGGCTGCGGTTGAGCATCGAGGGGTTCACGGTGAAGTTGACCGTGATGCTACGGAGGAGGGCCGGGTTAGCACTACCATAGGGGAAAGACGAAACGAGACCACGAACAGCGACGGTTCCCTGCTTCACTTCGTCACAAGCGCTTCCTCCGACACCTGCGCCTTTCACGTCAGGACATTCGCAAAGAGCTACAACGAGCTGCAGGACGCACCGAAAGCCTTGTCGCCCTTGCGGAGCGAAATCTCGATCGTGATCTCGAGGGTCTGTAAGACGACGCCGGCGTTTGTTTAGCCTCATACCCATTCTCAACGACGGTCGGAGAATCTGACGCACGTTGTCCGAGCGATCCGTGCTGGCATCGAAGTGCTTCGTCGCCTCTTGCTGGCGGTCGAGGCGAGGGGCGGCAGCGACTTGCGCCCCGCTCGGAAGGTCTTGCATGGGCTCGGAGCAGGGATTTACGTTGTACCAGGACTTGTAGGAAGCTGACTGAGTCATCTTTGCGACGAAAGAAGCGAAGCGAGCGTAGTGAGTGAGCAAGAAGGTCGAGGGACAAGTGGTCGACCTCGTCGACAACCACGGGCGCCTCGGTCGAGCTGCTAAGCGTCAGAGAACGTCGAGACTGGACGATGCAAGGCTAGCGAGAGGCGATACAACCGCAGACGAGGCGAGAGACGACTCTTTCTCGTCGACCTTCCCAGACGACGAGCTGTCCATCCCCGGGTCCGTCTCTCCTCGCCGTCCAGCGTTTCGTGCGGGCTCCTAGACGCCGAACCCCGAGGTCTCCACACCCCAGAGCCACGCCAGATCCCCACAGACGATGCTCCTCCTCCTACCGCTCCCTCTCGCTCGTTCGCCTCGCTCTTCGTACGCTGCTCCGGCTCCTTCCGCTGCGCCTGCTCGAACCGGAAAGTACGACTGAAGAAGGCCTCGACCCGACCCGGTAACCTCGACCCCCACCTTTACCCGGCCCTTCCCTCGTCCTCGTCGTCGTCGCTCACTCGCCTCGCTGCACGCACACGCTCGCTCGCTAGAAAGTAGACTGCAAAGATGGTGCGCACACGCTCACGCACCCACGCACACGCGCCAGCTCACCCACGCACCGCGCTCGCAGTCCAACAAGCCCGACACGCTCAAGAGCGGCGAGGAAAAGGTCGCAGAGCAGAGCGCTTCCGCTCTCAAGAGCTTCATCTCCGGTGGCGCAGGAGGAGTCGCAGCGGTCCTTGTCGGTGCGTCTTGCTCGCGCGAGGAATGAGGCAGCCGGTTTCGCGTCATGCGGCCATCGATGCGGCGGCTTACACTTGCTGGCGAATAGCACTGACACGCTCAGGAGGCACTCACAGGCCAGCCGTTCGACTTGACCAAGGTGCGACTGCAGACCGCCGCGCCAGGGCAGTACACCGGCGCGCTCGACGTCGTCAAGCAGACGTTTGCGCGAGATGGGCTCCGCGGGTGCGCATTCTCGCTCGTCCTGCCTCTCATGCCGTGCCTAGTATCGCTGTGTACTGACCTGAGGCGCGCCCGGACAGATTCTACCGCGGAATGGGTCCCCCTCTCGCGGGAGGTAAGTCGCGCTTTCGCTCGTTTCGCTGCCGAGTATGGCGCTGGAAGAAGCTCGCTGACTTTGATTTCGATACGCACAGTCACGCCCATGTTTGCCGTCTCGTTCTGGGTGCGTCCGCAGCTCTCCTCGCGAAGTTCACCTCCTCTCGCAATCCTCAACTCTCGCTCCTCTCTGCGTCCGGCACAATACTCCGCGAGCGCCTTCCCTGTGCACTCACTAACCCCTACTGCACGTCGCAGGGCTACGCGATGGGCAAGAAACTCGTCTACGCCCTCACGCCCAACCGCACCTCGTCCGTCCTCTCGTACGGCGAACTCGCCGCCGCGGGATTCTTCTCTGCGATTCCGACTACCCTCGTCGCGGCGCCGGTGGAGAGGGTCAAGGTTTTGCTGCAGGTGCGCGCGCTTACTGCGAGATTGAGAGGGAGGCGAGGTGAAGTGCTGATAAGGTTGACGGCGGGGTGCGCAGATGCAAGGACAAGGCGGCAAGCAGCTCTACTCGGGCCCGATCGACGCAGTCTCGAAACTCTACCGCGAAGGCGGCCTCCGCTCAATTTACCGCGGCACGCTCGCGACCGTCGCGCGCGACGGACCCGGCTCGGCAGCGTACTTTGTCGTGTATGAGATGGTCAAGAAGGCTATGACGCCGCAGGGACAGGACCCGAGTCAGTTGAGTTTGAGCGCGGTCATGGTCGCGGGTGGAAGTGCGGGTGTCGCGATGTGGACGTTGGCGATCCCTCCAGATGTGCGCCGCCCTTCCTTCCTTCTCTCATTCTTCGCCTGCTGACCTCCCTTCCCCTCGCTCCTCCTCCCTCGCTCACCCGACCCGCTCCCCTTCTCTCCCCCTCACTCGCCCCTCTGCCCTCGCTCGCCCACGCACGCAGGTCGTCAAATCCCGCCTCCAAGGCGCACCCGAAGGGACCTACAAAGGCTTCGTCGACTGCGCGCGGCAGACGGTCGCCAAGGACGGGGTCGGGGCGTTGTTCAAGGGCTTTGGGCCGGCGATGGCGAGGGTGCGTATTGCGCGACGTGTCTTTCGTCTGCTGTAGGGGCCAGCTTGTGGGAAGAGATGGCTGACGGCTAATCGACTTTGTCTTCGGAACGTGCAGGCTTTCCCGGCGAACGCAGCGACTTTCGTAAGTCCCGCCTCCTTCTCTCCTCTGCCTTTCCTCGAGCACGTACTGACTCCGCTCATCCCCCTCTGCGCGAATTGCAGCTCGGCGTCGAACTCTCGATGCAGCTCATGAACGCGTTGTTCTAAGCCGCGCTTCGCCCGCCTCGTGCTCGCCAGTTCTGTTCGACGGTAGCTTCGGATACCCCTCCCCTTCTACAGTTCTATCAGTCACTTTCCTTTCACTCTCGCCGTCTGTTCCTTCTCTCCCTCTGCACAAAAGCGCATTGTAGACGTTCGTTCTCTTCCTCCTCGCTACTCGCCCGCTACCTCTCGTTCCCTTTCCTCCACGCTTCTTCCGCTCCGCCCTGCTTCCTTCCTCCACGAGCTGTTCCCTCTGCGTCACCGCAAGCAGTCGTCGCCGAGCACACCCTCCCCCGCTCGAGGCAAGTCTCTTCTTCTTCTCCCTCGCGCGACGACCCCGATCGAGCGAGTGTGGCTCGAGTTGCAAGATTTGGTATTTCACTCGAGCGTCATTCGCTAGCAATACACAAGCGGTGTAAGGGAGGAATAGGAGGGGAGTAAGGAGGGTTGCGAACGAGGTGGGAGTTGGACGTGCTTGCTCGGGTGTGCAGAGGGGTGTTCAGTAGCTGTACGAGAGGATAGGGCAGTCTGTGCAAGAGTGAAGTTGGCGTTGTTTTGAGGGTTGCTCGTCCCCTGTCCTCGCTCGCTGCTCACTCACGGCGTCGCCTTTCTCCCTCTCCCAACGAGACACAGACAAGCCAGAGAGGAGAAGGAGGACCACAGCAGCCAGCTCACCGTCACACGCGACCCCCTCACCCGCTTCCCCCGGCAGCGCAGCCTCGAGCGCTCGCCCTCAGCCACACCGACCAATCACCCGTGCGCCCGCTCAAGCGACTCGCCATCGACTCGCACGGCAGTTTGGGTGCTATCAGGTGGACCAGGAGGCTGTGTTTGGTGAGTGGGCACGCTCACAGCGCAGAATGGGGGTGCAGCGAGGCGCGGACGGGACGCTGCTTCGTCTCGGTGACCGCGCTCACTCCCGGGCAACTCGCGCTCATGAGGGACCGCTGGGACTGACGCGGCTTCGTACCGCACAGACACGCTTGTGAACATCAGCGCATCCGCCAACACCGGCGCCCGCTTGTTGATCCCACTTTCCTCCGCCAACCTCCCTCCTTCGCCCGCCATGGCCCTCAGTCAATAGAACCCCGTCTCCACGTCCATCCTCCCAGGACAACCAACTCCTCCCCCGACCCATCCAGTCGACAGTAATATCGACACTCATCCCCCACCCTCTCACTTCCCGACTCCGACTAAGCCGTCCGACCTCCTCTCTCTCCCTCTCAGAGAACCGAGCGACGTCCCCGCACGCACGCACGCTTTCGCTCGCCCCGACTCCTAGAACGAACGACACGCCATGTCGAGCTGCTCGTTCGCGTCCTACATCCAGATGCGCACCGCGGCATTCTGCTCGTCGCCCATCACTTCCTCCTCCTCGCCCTCTTCGCCCTCCTCTGCCTCCTCGTCATCGGGCCCGACATCCGTCGCTGCGTCCCCAACACTCGTCCACCTCGCCCCCTCACCCGTTCCCTCGGCCGACTCGGCATCCCCTCACAAGCGCCAGCGTAACAAGTCTCCCGACCATTCCTCTCCCGCCCTTCCCTCTTCCGCGCACGACTCCCCCGCCGACTCACCCACCACCCCAACACTGACCAAATCAGGCCCGAAAGTCGACCCCCTCTCGTACTTCTTCGCCGCCGGCTCGCATGCGCACCCCCCGACTAGTGGTGGTGCTGGTGCGTTCGGCGGGACGGTCCCGACGCATGCGGCACCGAGTCCGGTGTGCCCGCTGAGGTCCATCCTGTGCACGTCGCATTTTGACGAGACGTGCGTTCGACACGCTTTGGCTCTTTCCCGCGTCTCGAGAGGACCCCTGAACTGACTCGCTTCGCGGCGCAGAGGCAGCCTCGTCAGTACCTCTTCACCCGCTACCTCCTCGCCTCCCATCTCGCGCCCTCTCTCCCGGCGTTCCTCAACTTCAACCTCGACCTCGCTCTCGCACTCGACCTCGACTTCGAAATCCGTCCGTTTCGCCCGCTGCACCAACGCCTCGGTCTTCCCAACCCACTCGACAGCCGACTACGACCGCTCGCCCATCGTCCCGACGTGCGAGGCGGAGAGTCTGGAGATTTATCGCTGTCCGCGCGGGGGGTCTGAGGGAGGGGAAGGAGAGGAGGGAGGTGGGTGGATCATGTGTCATGCGAAGAAGGCGGGTGCGACAGAGGTTGAGGGGGGGAAGAAGAAGAAGTTTGTGGCGGCGGCGAAGACGGGAGCGGCGGGCAGTGGGAGTGCGGGGGGCTCGATGATGCCTGTTGAAGGCGTCAGAGGGCTCTTTGCGGGAAGCTACTTTGAAGGCGAGGAACGCGATCACCCGCTCTTTCCTGCTTCGACACCCGCGTGTGGGTCGGCTGGGGTGGTCATTCCGGAGATGGTTGATGAGGAGGAGGACGAGGACGAGGGGATCCTTGGGGAGGGCATTGGAGATGATGGAGAGTTGATGGAGGTGGACGATTCGGCCGAGGCGGAGGATGTCGAGGCGACGAACGCGGTGGAGGTCGAGATGGACCCACACGACGAGGTCGTTGACGCCGAGGTCGAGGCCGAAGTCGGAGCGATGGAGTTGCTCGCCGTCTCCTCGACCAGCAGCCGCCGGCGGGGGAGCGACGCCTCGGCCCACTCGACAGCCACCTCGTCCGCCTCGTCCGCCACCTCAACCGAAGAGTCATCCTCGCACAACCCTCACCGCGCCTCGTCACCCTCGACGCCTACCTCCTCCCCGCCTGCCGAACTCGCAAACGACGAAGAGAGGGAGAAGGACAAGGCCCAGCGCTGCGCCGAGCGCAAGAAGCGATTCGGACTGATCGGGTTGGGCAAGTATACCCGCCAGGAGTTGTTCCAGAGCCACGACAGCTTGTCGGGTTTCTGAGACGGCGTCGACCACGCGCGCCGATTCTTATCCCCTCTTCGTCCTTCGCATCCCGCAATTCCTCGTTTACATACCGCCTCCTCACCCCACCCCCTCGCTCTCCTTATTCCTCACGCCCGCACCCGCAGCTGTCCAAACTCCTTCCTCTCCATCTCGCACCCCCTCCTCAAGCGCCCTTATTCCCCTCGCAGCACCTCTCGGGCTTCCTCGTTTCTCTTTCTCTCGCAGTGTTTCTCTCCTCCTCCTCCTCGTTTTTGAGCTTCGATCGTTGTGGTTGGTTTGGCTGGCCCTCTGGTGCAACGAGCGGCTTTCGCACTCTCTTTCGCTCGTCCATGACGCGGCTTGCTTGTTCGTTCGAGAGCTAGAGGACGTGAGGACGCAGGCGCTGGTGTTGACAACAACAGTCTCGAGGCACCTGATTCTACGTACACAACCGCCCCTCATCGCGGACTCGCCTTCGCACCCGCCGCCGCCGCCCAACTGGGCACGACCACCCTCGTCGGCCGACTAACCACCACCACCTTCTCCCCCTCCGTCTCTCTTTGCTCCGCTCCGACTCCGACGCGCGCAGGAGGCTTAACAGGCGGATCAACGGACTTTGTGAACCGCCGAGCGGAAGAAGGCAAGAGCAAGGGCAGCGGGAGCGAGTGGGTGCTTGTTGGAGTTGCGGACGCCGAGACCGAGGCGGAGGAGGAGGAAGGAGGGTGAGGGAGGGAAAAGAGGCCTGATGAGCCGCCTTCTGTTATGCAGCTGCGGGACCGGACGAGGTAGGCGTCAGTAAGGGTAAGGAATGGGAGGGAAGGAGGTGAAGGTACGCACGAGCAGCCGCAGCCTGTTGGGCAGGTCGGGGACGAGGAGAACCAGGATGAGAGGCAGGAGAGGTGGCCGACATGGCAGCAGGTCGAGCAGCTCTGTACGAGGCCTGCGCGAGAGGAGTCAGCGAGCGAGTCTCCCGGCGACTGAGAGGAAGCGCACCGTTGACGGGGAGGTGGCAGAGGATGCAGATGACTGCGCGCTGGCGGAGACGGCATTTCGGGCAGGTCGGCTCGGCAGACTTGACGCTCGTGCCGCAGCGTGTGCAGGTCCGTTGTTGCTCTGCGTGGCGAGCGCCCGTCAGCCCTACCGAACGCTTTGTAGCGAGAGCGAAGCCATCGCACCAATCGTAGCCGTCTTGCCCAATCCGTTCATCTCCTGAATCCGGTCTCGCGCCACAGCAAGTCGCGCGCTCGACTGCTCGACAGCCGCGCGGCAGAGCTTGAGCACCTGCGCCCGCTCGACGTCGCGACCCCACCGGTTGAGCAGCTCGGCGTAGCTGAGGCGGATCAGCTCGAGCTCGAGTTGCGCTCGCGGCGAGAGCCACCAAGGAAAAGGTTTGCTGTAAGTCAGGGAACGTCAGCGTGAGCGCAATGAAAGTGAACGGAGGGGACGCACTGCAAATGCATGGTCTGATTGAATGTGACCGCAACTCGTTTAAGCTGCCTCGGCTTCTCGTCGTCCCCCGACAACGCCGCCTGGGCGGTCGCTTTCGAAGGAATAAGTGCAACGCTCGTCGCGCCGAACGTGACGTTGGGGGACGTCTTCGTCCGCTGTTCCCGCGATTCGCCAGCCGTCTCGTCGCCGTCTCGCGCAAGCGGAGTCGACCCGCCGGAAGGGTGCTGCGGCGTCATGTGGTGGGCTTGCTGGACGCGAAGAGGACTTCTGGCCGACATCACGCCGGGTGAGAGGGAGGACGGGCTCGACTTGCCGCCTCGAGAGGGCGGTCGAGTACCGCCGCTGCCTGATCGATCCGGGCTGGAAGGCGAGTTGGGCGACGCACTACGGAGCGAGAGCATCGATGAGTTGAAGAAGCCGGATAAGTTCGCCCAAGACGGCTTTGGCGAGAAGGACGAGCCGTCGCTTCCTCGAAGACGAGGCAGGCTCGCGGTCGTCGGCAGCGGAGTCTGCTCGCCCGAGCCGTCTTCAAAGTCGATGTCGACGACCGGCTCAATCGGGCGGTGACGCTGGCTGAAGTAGTCGATCTCGGGCGGTCGTCCTGCCGAACGGAGGCGGCTGGCCATCTCGACGTCTGCGAGAGTTGCTGTTTAGGAGTGTGCGAAAGCGCCGAAGGAACAACGAGGCGAACGCACCTCGCGTGTGGATCTCCAGCAGGCATGCGATGATGCCGAGAGTCTGGATGTCGCGCAGGTAAGCTAAGTACTTGAGCCTGTCGACATCGGACGAGAGGTCATTGGGTGGTTTCGAACTTGGAGGAGCGCGAACGCACAGTTCCTGCAACATCCGCTCCGCAAGCAGCGAGTCCAGTCTAGGCGAGCCCGCCCCGGCATCCCCTGGCAGGCCGCTCTCGAAGAAGGCGACAACCGTCGTCCAGATCTTGGCAAGCAAGAGATCCTTCGCGGCGATCGCACCGAGGGCGTTCTCGCGTGCGACGTCGACGGCGGGTTTGCCGAGCGAGGAGAACGAGCGGGCAGGCGAGTTGACTGTGAGATGCGAGACGTCCTTGATCTTGACAACCGTGCTGAAGGAGGGCGACATCTCGCCATGAGGGGCAACTGCGCGGGACCTGTCCCGCATGGAGGGGTACTGTGAACGTGGCATCGTCAGCGAGATGTAGAGTCGGCAGAGATGTGGGCAACTCACGGAGCGCAGGTTGTGGGTACGTGTAACCTGCAGCGCCTCGTCCGTCTCCTGGTAGTCGCCCTCGTAGTCGGTCGACTCGGACGGCAGGTAGCCAAACACTTCGGACAGTCGCAGCGGGAACTTGCGTTTTGGCAGCTCCGGCTCGTTCGGCGGCGACGTCGTCCCGTCCATGTCGCTGCCAGGAGCGACGAAAACGTTCGTTGGGAAGAAGACGACGAGTTGGCCTGTGCGAGAGAGCATGAGCGATGTTTCAGGAGGACGCGGCAAGACCATACGCACCGGAGGGACCGAAGCTTGCGCCGCCTCTTCGCGGAGGCGGGACGTTGATGTTGTTGCGCAGGATGTCGGCCGTCAGGTTGTTCATCAACGAGCCCTCAAGTCCCTCTTCCGCCTCGTCATCCTCCTCTTCCTCTGCCCGCTCGACGGACCGGTCGCCAAGCAAGTACCGCAGCGCTTGCTCGAACGAGGGCAAGCCGCGTTCGGCTCGCAACGACATGAGCCGTCGCACACCCTGAAGGATGTTTGCTCGCTGCTTGAGCGAGACGTCAATGCTGCGCTCGAGTTCGATGGCGGGCGGCGACGAGGCGGGATAGCCTTTGGGAAAGGAGAAGGTCGCGCGGATGAAGAGCGGGCAGTACAGCGAGACGGTGCAGGTTCGGCCGGCGACGTGGACCTGCTCGGAACGGCGTGAGCATATGACTCGGCAAGTTCAAAGAAGCGCGACGCACCTTCTCAAAGTTGACGCGCGGGAAGCGTCGAACGACGCTCGTGATCTCCTCGCCCAAGTTGGCATACAGGACGTCCTTCCCGACCGCCGTGCCAGTTTGCATTGACTCCCTCGACATGACGCTCTCCGCTCGTTCCGTTTCCTCGCCTTCCCTCGCAGTCGCCGTTCCGGCGTCTGTTCCCCTCGCGACCGAGTCCGCCTTTGCCAAAGCAGCTTCGGGCGTTTCATGCTCCTCACCACCTGCGCCAGCATCTGCCTCCTCTTCGTCATCTCCTGCTTCGGCTGCGCCAGCTTCGACAGCCTGAGGCGGGCGGATAATCTTGACGCCCTCCATCCATGCGAGACGGTCATGCTCCTTCTGCCGGCGACTGCGGACCTTCGTGGTCGTCATCGTGGCTGCCGAGGCACGCTGGCCAGCTGAAGGAAGCGGGTACGGAAGAGGTGAGGCGAGGAGGTTCTCTTTGTTGGCGGAGGCGGACGAGGTAAGGTTTGACTTGAGGAGAGAGGAAGTGAGAAGCGAAGGGCTTGAGGCAGGAGATTGTGAGAAAGAAGTCGAGAGAAGTGACGCCCCGGAAGGAATCGCCTTCGTCGCGCTGTTCGGGGTTGGCGGCGAGAAGGTGAGCGGGAGAGGCGGGGCAGGGGCTTCGGCGAAGGACCGGTACGAGATGTCGGGTCCGCCGCGGCGAGTAACGGGGACTTGGATGCGAGATCCCTTGACGTGGCCAACGTCCTTCGCAATCTGCTCCGAGATTGGCCACAAGCGCAAACGCCGGTCTTTCGCCCAGGTGACGAGCTGGAACTGGCGGTCATCTGCAGGACTCTGCCTTAGCAAAAATGTCGACGATGAGATGTTCGAGCTCACCAGACTCGAGATCCTCCCCTCCCCTCGTCCTCCACACAAACTCCTTGACGCCCTCCCTCGCACCCTCGAACCGCACGACCGGCTTCGGTTTCTCGCCCGCCTCGTTCGCCTCGTCGATATTCTTGACGCTCCAGACGGACAAGGCGTGGTCGGAACGCTGAGGAAGGGTGAGCATGCCGTCGCCGAAGGGGAGCCAGCGAGCGCGCCAAATGGGGGAGGTCGTCTCGACTGTCCGGACGGGTGTTTCGGTGTCGCTGATCCGCCAGGACTGACGAGAAAGCTCGTAAGCGCGACCTGTTGAAGAGGCAAAGCGTGAGTTGCGCACCTTGAATGACTTGTCGAGCGAGCAGGTGATGATCTGCTTCGAGTCCTTGCGGCACCAGTCGATGCCGTCTGCAAGGGAAGTGGCGTCGTTAGCGAAGAGCGAACAAGAGTCGAGTCTTCTGCTCACAGATCTTGGCAGTGTGCCCCTTGATAGTGGTGACCGGTTCCGCGCCCATCTGCGACGATCAGCGAGATCAGCGAGCGCCTACCGAGCCGGGATCGAGTTGAGCGACGTACTCGGTCGTCCCAGATGTTGACCACGTTCGCGTGCGAGCTGGCGATGACATGCGGTTCGCGCCGGTTAAACTTGACTTGCGTCGCGGGAGCTGCGAGCGAGTGCGTGGTCAGCGATAATCACGAGATGCCGCAAGGAGTCTCCCGCTCAGCTGGAGCGAGAGGCGCCAGTCGAAAGACCTGACACTCACCTCCCCAACCACACACCCGCCAAATCGGCTTTCTCCCTCTTCCTCGTCCTCCGCCTTTTCCATAACCCGCCCTCAAATCCCACGCCATTACCCACCCGTCCATCGCGCACGTCGCAAGCACCTCGGGCGATCCGGGCGACCAGTTGATGTCTGTTACGGCACGGGTGTGGCCGTAGAGGGTGTGTTCGACGGGCGAGCTGGAGAGGGAAGGCGAGAGGGAGAGGTTGTAGACGACGGCTTGCTGATTGGACTGCGGGATTGAATCGTCAGCTTCGATGTCAGGCGGGAGAGAAGTCGGGGCATACGGTCGAGACAACCCATTCGCTCCGGTGCGGGAAAGGGTTCCACTGCATGACGAGAAGCGTAAGCGCATAATGAATGGAAGTAAAGCGGACGAGGGCTCACCTGCACATCCGCAACCTCCCACGACGAGTTGTGCGGCAAGAACCGAGGCGGGTCGTAGGGATTCTGCAGGTCGACGATGAAAAGGCCTTTCCGGGCGCCGAGAGCGACATCACGATTTGCGGGACCTGCGTAGGAAGATGTTAGTCCAGAAGGACAGAGGGGAGAGGCTGAGAGGCTAAAGACGCACTGATGCTCATCGACCCGATAGGCTCGTCGATCATGATGCTCATCAGCTGGTGAAACGTGTCCTCGTGGTCTGGCTCGAACGATGGGAGAGACGGCTCGTCGTCCAGCGTGGGAGCGCCATCTCGAATCGAGTTCTGTCGAGGAGGGGTCGTCGGATCGGCGCTGTGAGGCGATGCGTCCGCCATGAAGAGGTCTAGAGGGTGTAGCTAGGAGGGTGGGCGCCTCTGCAAGGATGGGCGAACGTCGTCAGCGACCGTCTCCTCGTCGTCCGAAGCCCCACCAGAGCAAGCCAGTCGCCAGCCTTCATGCCTGACTGTGCGCCGCCCGCTAAAGCTATCCCTGAGCCGTAGGACGGCAACGACGCATCGGACGCACCTGCCTGCCGCCGTCGCCGCTCGCTTGTCCTCCTCGGCGAAGAGAGCAACCTCGACAAGTCCTCCTCGACGAATCGCAGCCGCTGGAAGCCTCTCAGCGCAATACTTGACTTGTTCAGCCGTACGAAGCTTAGCGAGCTCAGCTTGAGCGCGTGAAGCGTTGTGGACGATGAACAACCTGCCATCTTCATCAGTTGGCGGGTTTCGCGAACACCACGCCGCTGCCACAGGTTGCAACGCTTCTTGCTTTGCCCAGCTGGCTCTGATTCCTTCTGAGACCGCCACACGCACTCACCCTCGCTTCTCCACGCTCGAACGGCTCTGCCGCACCCATTCCCGGACTTCGCCTCCTCCCTCAATCAACAAAGGCGCACACGCGTCTGGGTAGTGCAGCTTGGCCCGGAGGTCACTCGTTAGGATCGTAGAAGGATGTCTGGTGCGCGACTTCCCCATCCTCTACGACACTGGCACCAAAGAAGCTGACCACCCCGTTCGCGGACTGTTCCCTCGCAGCCGTCTACACCATCTTCACGTCGCCGAACCACCCGCTCGTGCCAGGACACTTGCCGACGCTTATCGTGACGCCGCATGGCCGGCCGATGCAGACGCTGTGTGAGTTCGGGCGGTTTGACCTGTTCTTCAACCGCAGGCTGACCTTCTTCTCCCACAGACACGTACCTACACACCGTGCGCACATTTCACAAGCCTTCGTGATCTGCTAGCTGACGTCCTGCGGCGCCCAGAACTCCAATACCGAGAACTTCCTCCTTACACCCTCCGAAGGCGGCGACCTCTGCGTTGCCAAGCTCTTCCCGCCCGACCAGTCTGGCAGCCTCCGAAGTGCGAGGGCGAGCGGTGGAAGCGGCGTACAAGTGCGATGTGAGGCGAGTCGCGGGTTGAGTTGGCGGATTCAGCAGACGGGCATCCAGGTGCGTGCCGACGTTGTGCGCCAAATTCAAGAAGGTTCGCTGACTTGCACTCCCGGCAGAACCCGATCTACAAGCTCACGCTGCCGAATCCCGAGAACCCCGAAGAAGAGCAGCCTCTCTTCCAGATCTCGAAGCCAAACCCGAGCGCTCCCTTCTGGTCCCTCTTCTATTTCGCCTACGCCGGCCACCTCATCCCGCCAAAGCGCGTCGAGTTTGGTCGCATCAGCAAGAACGTACCCGAGCAAGGTGGAGGGACGCGCGTCTCGATTACGGGAAAGACGGATGAGGAGAAGGCGGTGTGGAAGACGATCGGAGAAGGGAACGAGGATGGCGTCGAGTGGATCGTCATTTGCGCGGCGATGTGCGTTTTGGACGACGAAATTGTCGAGGCGGCGGAGAAGGCTGGCATTCCGCCGGCCTCGGGTCCTGCGGGAGGAGCAAAGTCGCGGGGGAACGGTTCTGCACCACCGATGTTGGCTGCGCCTGTTCCGACGAGTGCCTCGACGTCAGGCGGCCTCCGACCTCCCAGCCCGCACAAAGCCCGCGTCCTCCCTCCCCTACACCTGTCGACCGACCTTCCCCGCTCCGCCTCCTCGAACTCGCTCGGCCAGCTTCACGGTCCCTTCGCGCCGAGTCCGCAGCTCCCTCAAGCGCAGATGGGTTACCCTGCACCGCCGCGGAACGGACCGTCGCCGTCCGGTTCGCGGCAAACGCCCCCGACTCAGCAACAGCAACCGCCTCCTCGGTCGCGTCCGTCGAGTCGCGGCCAGTCCGTTCCCCCGCCGCCCGATTCCTCGCAGAACGGCTACCCGCCTCCTCCTGAACTCCCTCAGCACTATCAGCAGCAGCAGCAGCAGCGAGCGACGCCGCCTCAACCGCAGCAACAAGCGCCTCCTCCTCGCGGGTCGTCTCGCGGCGTCCCGATGCCGCAGCCTCAGCCTCCTTCCCAGCCCATGCCACATCCCCACGAGCAGTATCGGCAGCCCTCGTCGCATCCTCAGCAGCCGTACACCCATCCGCCTCAGCCTCAACAGACTTACCAGCATCCGAACGGCTCCCAGCAACAGTACTACCAGCCGCCGCCCCAGCAGCAGCAGCCTCCTCCCGACCAGCGACGGTACTACCAGCTTTCCGACGCGCCTGTCCCGCCTCGACCGGTCAGCGGCGGAGGAGGAACTGCGGCAGCGAGGATGGTGCAGCAGCAAGTCGAGCAGCGGAGGTTGCAGAAGGCAAGGGGCGGGTGAGCGGGACTGCACAGACACTTAGGCGAGCGGAGGCGTGTACGACGAACCTTGTCCATTGCCTGTTATACCATCTTCATTTCCGGTCTTCGAGAAGTACAGACGAAGGAGGGGAGTTCCAACACGTGTTTCGAGGCAGCAGACTGTACCCAGAGGACGAGATAAATACTGATATCGTATCGCAAGCTCACTCGGCGTAGAGCAAGGGTTGACCGGGCTTGACGACGTCCCCCATCTCGACCGCGATACCCGTGACCTTCTTGCCGAGCAGCGTTCGCGAGAGCTTGACCGAGATCTGGGTCTTCATCGCCTCTAGGACGATGGCAGAAGTGTCGGACGTCAACTCATCGCCGACCTTGACGCCGATCGAGCGGACGGTCGCCTGGACGGGCGACTTGAGGGGCGTGCCGCTCACTGCGAGGGATCGGGGCGGTCAACCAAGGCTGAGGAACGAACGAGGAAGAGCGAGACGTACTGCTGCCGGTCTTTCCGCCTGCGCTCGATGCTGCCGCTGCTTCCGCCTCCTTCGCCTTCTGCAGTTCCGCCTGGTACTCCGCAACATAGATCGCCTCCCTGCGACGAAGTTGTCAGCAGGAGTCGTCAAGAACGCGGGCAAAACCAGGAAGAAATGAACGCACTGCTTCGCGAGAGCTTCGAAGCCCTCCTTCCGCTTCTTCGCGAGCGCCTGAACGGCCGACCGCGTCGATTCCTCGAAAGCGATCATCTCCTTCGCCGAGATGTTGTAGTCCTCAACAGTTGGCTTGAAGGCGCCGGCGTCAAAGTCCTTCTCGACCTGCGAGGCGAAAGTCAGCCTTCTGCTCCGCCATCTTGACGCCCGGCTTTGCTCCCTCATGAGTAAGTTGAGACGCACCTTGTTGAACTCCTCCTCCGACATCGGCAGCCATGCCACAACATCGAAGTTGCGGAGAAGGAAATGCTTCTCATGGCCCAAGCCTCCGTAACGACCAGTGACCGAGAGTGGGGTCAAGGTGCGACCAAGAAGTTGATAGCCGCCAGGGCTCTCGACGCTACAGGAGAAGGCGGAGATGGCAGAGAGTGGGAGTCAGCGAGAACGCTCGAGCGCAAGACTCCCCGAGTCGACGCAGCCGCAGGACGAGTTCCCAAACGCGACAGATTGCTGGACGCACGGGTAAATAGCCGACATGACGCCCGCATACCCAAGACTCCCGCGCTGTGCTGCAAGCCACCAGGTCAGGCGTAGCGGGAGGAGCGCAGACAGAAGGGTCGCGCACTGAAGGTTCGGGTCGGGCTGCGCAAATTTGAAGGTCAGCAACTAAAGACTGCGATGAAAGAGGCCTACGCACTTGTACTTTTGCGACGCCAGGACACAGCGCTGATCCAACGGCGCGATCATCGGCAAACCCGCAAAGAAGCTCCTCGAGCAGACATACCAGTCTGCCGAGGCGAACGTCTTCGCAATGTCGTCAATGCCGTCGAAAGCGTTGGCCTTCGCGAGATACTCAATATTGGACGGCAGGTAGACGGCTTTCTTGCGCCCTGTCGAAGTCATGTACCTGTTGGGAAGGACGTCAGCATCTCGCTTCGACCTGGAATTCAGCACGCACTTCTCGATGACATCCTTCGTGCCAGCATCGTTGAAACAGACCGGCAGCTGAATGCGCCGGGACGGGACGACCTGGTCGAGACTTTCGCGAGCAAGGCCGTCGGACGTCGAGACGAGCACATCGAGGAGTTCGTCTTGGGAGATCAAGTCGGGGTGGAACTTGACGAGCATCGAGGCGACGCCGGGGATGTAGGTGTAAAGGCCTGTAGAGCTAGACGTCAGTAGCGAACGGAGCTGGGAAGGAAATGAACGCACCGTTGTGCTTCTTCGCCTTCAGCCGCCTTTCCCAAAGCTCGACGATGAGGCGAGTACGGAAGAACAAGTCTTGCTCGCCGACCTCAATCAGGAGTCCACCGTCGCCGGCGAGGCGGAATGTCAACTTCGGCGCATCGAGCGCAGCGTCTCCCTCGATGACCTTGACGACGCCGTCCGTGACAGGCTGCGGCTTCGTCTTGACATCGAGCGGGAACGATGACAGGTCGTCAAGCGAGCCGCTCTTGACAGAAGCCTTGACCGCTTCGAGCCACTTCTTCTGCTCCGCGACATGCGCCGGGAGGGACGAGGCTGTCGGCAGGACGAAGCGGAAGGTGTCGCCTGCTGACATCTGTCCCAGCTTCCACCAGTCGGAACCGACCACGCCGAGGATGCAGATCAGGCCGCCGCAGTCGGGACCGTCCATACCGAGCAAGACAGGTGTGTCGCCGTTCATATTGAGCGCGCCGACGGTGTCTGCGAGCGTGTGAGGTCAGCGATGGGTGATTGAGTGTATGACAAGGTTGGGTACGCACAGCCGTGTTCGAGGCAGTTGCTGGGGTGCGAGCCAGCTCGTCCGCCGTCCTGCCTTCTCGGCGAGTCTGTCAAGAGGTGATAGTCAGCAAAGAGAGAGGCAGCAAGCGAAAAGCCGCCCAGCACGCACACTTGAGCGGCTTGAGACCGTCGAAACGCAGTCCGAGACGGTTCGAGGCGGGCGAGACGGTGAAAGTCGACGAGTAGAGGGTCTGGCGGTCCTCCTCGGTAAGGTAGTCGTCGTCGGCCTGTGGACCCGGAAGCGCTGCGAGAGTCCACTCGCTTGGATACGAGGGAAGAGCGGTTGAGGGAAGGGTGAAGTCCTTCTCGTCCGCCGACGTCGGTGCAGCCGAGGGCGAAAGGGTGATGATATCGCCTGCGACGACCTCGCGTCCCTGGATGCCGCCGAGCTTGGCAGCGGTAAAGGTCGATTTGGAGCCGAGGAAGAGCGGGACTTCGGGGAAGCCGCCGCGAACAGCGATGTAGACCCTGTTGCCGGTACCTTCGCAGCCGCCAACTTCGACCGTCGAGCCGGCTGGGACGACGAAGCGCGTCCACATCGGCTTTGGCTTGTCGTCAAGGAAGATCTCGGCTGTCGCGCCGCAGACAGCGACGACTGCGGCCGTCGAGAACTTGAGAGACGGGCCAGAGACGGTCGCCTCGAAGACCTCCGTCTCTTCCGGGTTGCCCACAAGCAAGTTGACCGCCTTCGCCGCAAGCTCATCGCTGAAGCCTGAGCGAGGGATACCGTCGCCGCCGGGAAGAAGACGAGGCCGTCCGTCCTGGACCGTCGTCGAGAGACCGCCGTCGACGACCTCGATGCATGACGGGAGGTACACGTACGAGTCAAGGAACTTCGTCGTAACGTCGCCGTGCTTGAACGCATCGCAGTTGACGATCTCGCGGAGGTAGGCCAGGTTGGTCGTCGTGCCAAGGAGGGAAGTGTCAGCAAGGGCTTTGTCGAGGCGAGAGCGGGCTTCGTCGCGAGTCGAGCCGTAGGTGATGAGCTTGGCGATCATCGGGTCGAAGAAGGGCGAAATCATCGAGCCCGAATCAACCCAGGTGTCGATGCGGATGTAGTCCTGCGGTGCAGGCCACTTGACCTCCTGCAAGAGACCGGGACTCGGCTTGAAGTTGAGGTGCGGGACCTCGGCGTAGATGCGCGCCTCGATGGCATGCCCGTGAGCCTGTGCGACCTCCTCCTGCGGCGGGAGCGAGAAGGCGGAAAAGCCGTCCTGCGACAAGCCGAGGCGAATCATCATCCCGACGAGATCGAGGCCGGGTCGGACCATCTCCGTCACAGCGTGCTCGACCTGGATGCGCGAGTTGAGCTCGAGGAAGTAGTACGACGCGTTCGAGTCATCGACAATGAATTCTACTGTGCCGGCGGACCGATAGTCGATCAACTCGCAGAGCCTGACCGCTGCAGCGCACATGGCGTCGCCGAGATCGGGGTGGCGCACGATGAACGGCGAGCGCGCCTCCTCGAGCACCTTCTGCTGGCGACGCTGGGCGGAGCACTCGCGCTCGCCGCAGTGGATGACCTTGCCCTTGCCGTCGCCAAAGACCTGGACTTCGATGTGGCGGGCCTTGGGGATGTACTTCTCGACAAAGACGCCGGCGTTGGAGAAGAGATTCTGCGAAAGAAGTCGTGAGCCCGAGGAGAGCGGCGCGCGTAGATGGAAACGCACCTTGCTGAGGTCGGTCGTGCCCTGGAACGCCTTCTTCAGCTCGGCCTCACTCCAGCAGATGCTCATGCCCATTCCTCCACCGCCGGCAGTCGCCTTGAGGAGGATGGGGTAACCGACCTTGCCCGCCTGCTCCAGCGCCAAGTCGAGCGTCTCGACGAGTTCCGAGCCCGGGAGGACAGGGACGTCCGCCTTGATGGCGCGAGCACGCGCTTCGTGCTTCAGACCCATCGCCTCGATCTGCGACGGCGTCGGTCCAAGCCAGATGATTCCGGCTTTCTCGACTTTGGCCGCGAACGCCTCGTTTTCGCTGAGAAAGCCGTAGCCTGGGTGGATCATCGTGACGCCCTTCTCGCGGCAGACGTTGAGAACGGCGTCTTGGTCGATGTAGGCGGGCACGAGAGCCGCTTCGTCGGCCTTGAAGACGTGAGGAGCGGATGCGTCCGCCTCCATGTAGACGGCGACTGTCGGGATCTTGAGCGCCGCTGCTGAACGCATGCATCGCAGAGCAATCTCGCCGCGGTTGGCGATCAAAAGCTTGTGATGCTTCGTCGCGGGCATGGCGAAAGAGGGACTCGAGGGGGTTTGGGCGGAGGAGGTCCGTCGTTTGGAGCGAGTAGTCGCTGCTGCGGGTTTCGCGGGGGGTCCAATAGTAAGAAGAAAGGTTCAACGTGTAGGGAAGCTTGTCGAGCGGGCGGCGGAAGGCGTTGTCGCTGTTTGAGAGATCGAAGAAGGGGAGGAAGTGGGGAAGGGTCTGCAGAAGAGCAAGGGCTGCGCTGGGGTCGTTGGGCGAGTGCGTAGGGTAGCAAGCAGCAGTCGAAGTCCAACGGCAGGCCAGCGAGGCGCAGGCTCGACGTTGGGCGCGGCAACAACCCTCGGAAAGGACGAGGAGAAGCGGGGAAGAGGCGTAGCCGCCAAGCGGGGGCGGAAGCGTCACGGATCGAGCGGCAGAATGCTCTGGCGTTTCGTCTGAGTATCGCAGAGATAGCGGCGCGGCTACGAGCGGAAGATGCGGAGCGAACGGAGAGTGAACGCCCGAAGTCGCCAGGAAAGGGTCGTCGAACACGGTTTCGATGCACGAGATAGATAGATATGTACACCCTCGAGACCAGCTCTTTACGCTTTGTTACCGTGGGCGACGTCCTCAATAGCCCGCTTGACCGCCTTGGCCGTCTCCACCGCGCCCGGAAAGTCGCCATGAACACAAATCGACACCTTGTCCGTTCCTTCAGGGAAGCGCAGCTCCTTCCCGTCGTTGAATGACATCCATGTACTCGTCTCGAGCATCTTGCGGACGCGCGTGTACACCTGGTCGGGCGTGATGGGGTGGCGCTGGGCGGCGGAAGCAGGTGCGAGCAGCTGGCCTTCGTCGCCGTACTGCAAGTCGGCGTAGAATTCTGCCGGTCGAGCATCACTACAAATGTTGCGGGGACGAGGAGAACGACCGCTCTCACCTGGAATGAAGTCGGCGCCTTCAAGCTTGCACGCCTCCTGGTGCTTCGAGCCAGGCAAGCCAAGCAGGGGGACGCCATACAGCTTGGCGATCTTTGCGCTCTGGCGCGCAAGCTCGAGGTCCTTTGCCGACATGACGTACGCCTGGCCGTGCGGCTTGAAGTGGTTGAACTTGAGTCCGTTCAGCTTCAGGAAGGCGTCGATCGCGCCGGCTTGGTAGAGCAGGCAGTTGAAGAACGACTCGGGAGGGAGGTGCATGATGCGCCGACCGAAGCCTTGCTGGTCTGCGCGGAGTGGAAGCGGCGTGAGCAAACGTACGGGGACTGAGGCATCTGTCGCGCGAGGAAAGTCCCGCGCACCTGGCAACGATGGGTGCGCTCCGATCCCCACGCCATGCTTCTTCGCCAGCAAGACCGTCTTGGCCATCACGTCAAAGTCGGACGCATGGAAGCCGCAAGCGCAGTTGGCAATGTCGACGATGGGGAACAAGCCTTCGTCGTCGCCAATCGTGTACTGCCCGTACGACTCGCCGCAGTCGCAATTGAGAGTCGCAGAGAGGGGCATGGCGCAAGACTAGAAGGATAAGGTTGTTTGGAGCGCGAGTGAGAGGAGTAGGGAGATGCGGCGAGAGATGGAGGGTTTCGAGGAGATCGGTGCTGGTCACTAGGCCGGTCGGCGGATGGGAGCGGGCGCAAGGAGACGTTTGCTTGACGGTGCCACCGACTGCTTCGACGTGCGAGGGCTGGGTGAGCTCGAGGACTCGTCGAGAGATGAGGAGGTGGGGAAGGTGCAAGCTGCGGGTGAGACGCTTGAGCGGCGGTTTCGCGGCTGTACGTCGGTCGAGTGTGAGCTGTTGGGACGCTTTAAGCAGTCAAAGCGCCAGAAGGAGCGGTGTGAGGAGGGCGAAGCGGACCAAGAGGTCGTCGTCCCGCTGACCGCTGACCAGTTCTGCCTCTCGCCCCAAACGCGGCTGGCTTTTCGCTCTGCGTAACGCACTTCCGAGCGATCACGACCCGCCTACTGTAGCGAGCGACTGCGGGGTGTACAGCTATCTCGCGCGCTTGCCGCCGCTCACCCGTCGGCCAATCTGCTCGCCGCGAGTGATGCGCGATGGTGGCGCACCGACAGCGCTGGGCGGACCGCGAGAACTTCAGAGGGATTCCAAGAGGGTATAATCAGGGCCAGGAGTTCGAACGAAGCGTCGCTGTGCTGAGGGGCGCGCAGGCGACGTTAGGCGCCCTCTCGCTATCTGCGCCCGACTGTCTTCCGCGTCTCCGCTTCGGCGGCTCGCAGAACTGTTCATCCGCTAGCGTCGATTGTACGGACCTTTGCGCACAAACGATCCAACCGCTGAGCTTTGTATAGGGCTATTTCGATAGACGGGCCTCCTCACGCCACTGTTCCGTCGTCCGTATCGCTGCACCCTCCTCTTCTTCCGCCTCTTCGACACTCGACAGCTGCTCTTCGTCGTTTCTCACGCCTCTCGCCAACTCTTTCCGACAAGTGCTAGCGCTCAGATGGAGACGCTTCGCAGGATTAACCGCACCATTGCGGTCAAGCAGGAGGCAGGCTCACTCGGCTCGTCGCGGTGGTCCAACAAAGGTGTGTGCAGAGACTTCTCTCGATGCATCCGATGGCATAGAAGCTGACAGTCTCGTCGATGAAACCAGACCTCGACCCCGTACCGGCGAATCAGCGGACATGGACAGCGATGGACGTCGCCTCGTACTGGAACAGTGATCAGATGGCGCCTGCTACGTGGGACCTCGGCTCCACGTTGGTCGGACTCGGGCTATGCGCTCGCGAAGCAATCCCGCTCTCTTTCGTCGCCTTTTTCGTTATCGGCATCGTTCTTACGCTCAACGGCAGGATTGGCGCGGTGAGTCCATTTATTCAATGTCACTAGACATCGATACTGACGCTTTGTGACGCAGACGACGCATTGCTCCCTCCCCGTCGTTATTCGCGCGTCGTTTGGCATGTGGGGTTCTTACCTCGCCATCCTCGTCCGTGCTGTGCTCGCAATTCTGTGGCTGGTCTGCCTCACGTTTCTTAGGTCGATCCGTCACTGGTTGGAGCGGAACCAAAGCTCATGCGATTCCACCAGCAGAGGGAGGCAGGATCGTCGCTGTAATGACGGGAGCGATTTGGCCCAGCTTCCTCAAGATCCCCAACACGCTTCCGCCGAACCTCGGCATTGATACGCAGACGATTAGTGCGTCAGGCGCTCGAGCCGGCGAACGAAGCTGACGACCCTCCCTCGCAGTCGGCTTCGCCATCCTCTGGGTCTTCCAGGCGCCTCTCGCCTGTGTCCCCGTCCGACGCCTCGCCTTCTTCTTCAAAATCAAGGCGTGGTCGTCGTACATCCTGTTCGGAGCGCTCTTCATTTGGGCGATGGTCGTCACCAAGGGCAAGGGCTTTATCCTGACTGGCCACTTCGACGAGAAGTTGCTTCCCCAAGGGTCGCGGAGCTGGGCGATGATTGCGGGACTGAATGCAGTGACGGGACTGTACTCGACGGTAAGGCGAAGCGCTTCGCTCATAAGCGTTGTTCCCGAGCTGACATTCATCCGCCTCCTCCCCTCTCCACCGTTTCGATCATTCTCTGGTCCTTCACAGGTCTCGATCAATATCCCGGATTTCAGTCGTGAGTCCAGGCCGCGAACCTGCGGCGACTCCGCTTCCGACCCGCAACTGATCCCTCTCGCCCGCAGGATTCGCCAAGTCGCCCAAAGCCAGCTGGGCACAACTCGTTGCCGTCCCCGTCTTCGGCTGCATCCCTATCGCCATCTCGATCTGCTGCGCCGCCGCCGCCGAGCAGAAGTACGGACAGCAGGTCTTCGACCCCGCCAGTCTCTGCGCCTTATTCGACTCGCGCGCGGCCAGGTTCTTCGCCGGGTTGGGATGGTTCAGCAGCACCATTGGAGTCAATATCAGCGCGAACTCGATCTCTTTCGCCACCGACATCACCTCCGTCATGCCTCGGTACCTCTCGATTTTCCGCTGCTCCGTTCTCGCCGGCATCCTTTGTTGGGCGACGAATCCTTGGCGCATTGTCACGGACGCGCCTCAGTTCTACTCCTTCCTCTCGTCGTGCGTCTCTTTCCTCCATCTTTCCCAATAGCGGCATGGCTAACTCCTCCCTCGCAGCTACCCCGTCTTCCTCGCCCCCGTCGCCACAATCCTCGCCACCGACTTCTACATCGTCCGCAAGGGCAAAGTCGACGTGCGGCAGTTCTACGACCCCGAAGGAATCTACCGCTACTTCCACGGCGTCAACCTCAGAGCCGTCATTGCCTGGATCTTCGCGCTCGCGCCCAACCTCCCCGCCTTCGCACACGCCGTTGACCCGAAGAACCCGAACCCTCAGCCTTACACGTACTACTTTTCATGGTACATGTCGACCTTTGGCGCCTTCGTTTGGTACCTCACTCTTCAACTATCTTTTCCCGCCGCACTCTTCCTTCGTCGACGAGGCGGTCTACGAGGTGGGCACCATCGAATACTCGGAATCGACTGTCGCGTCGAGCGCGGAGAAGGGCGAGGTGGACGCGGAGAAGGATGACGCTGCGGGTGTCGTCGCTGTGTAAGGCGGAGAAGGAAGAAAAGGGCTCGTCTCGATAGACTCTCCGGGCTCTATAGTCGTTTTCTTGTATGTTTTTGGTCAAACAAGCTGTCGTTGTCGGTCTTCCAAGCGGTGTCGCTTCTTGTCGAGCGAGAAGAGCGAGAGGACCTCCCCGTGCTTGAGCGTCTGAAAGTGTTCATCCGTTACAAAGGTCTTCTTGGGGGAAGGAAAAAGGTGTCAAGGCCGAAGGTACAGAAAGCCGAGCCAGCGGGACATGAACGACAGAGGACGAGGCGCGAGACGAGGAGAACCGAAGCTTAGGAAGGTCATCGCAGAGTCGTGATGCCCGGCTTGCGGCGCACGCGCGGCCTGTTGAGCGAGAGGCGCGGCGTCCTGCATGATGGAAGTGGTCAACAAGTATCCGAAGAGCAGAGAGACGGCCGGAACTACTTGGTAAAAGTCAACTCGTCGGTGGCCTCGCCCTGCGCTTCGAGTACGCCTGTGTCGTCCGTCTCGCTGTCGCTCCGCTGCTCTGCCGGCGCGCCGATGCCCTCGAGGCGCCGCATTGCCGCATTGAACTGACCCTGCCTGCGCCTCGTCGCGTTGTCGCCGAGGAAACCGGTGTCGACGCGCTTGGGACTCTTCGAACTCAGCTTGGTACGAGCGCCGCGAAGCTTGGCTGACAGGCGAGGCGGAAGAGCAGTGAAAGGCGACTGCTCGTCCTTGGGCTTCTTGCTGGGCGACGAAGTCGAGCGCGAGAGGAGGGCGACCTGCTGGTTGACGGGCTTCTCCGAAAGCACCTTGCGCCGTACTGGTCGTGCCTTCGACACCAAGACGACCTCTTGAGAAGCGGGCGGAGAATCGACGATGGGTGGCGGGATGACGATGGGCGAAGGCGGAGTTGGCGGGTCATCGTAGGCAGGCGGGACGAACGAGGTCATGCGGAGGAGGTGAGGCGGCGACGGCCAGCGTGACTGGGAGAAGAAGAGAAACTCGAGAATGGCGTGGTAGGTGCGAGGAAGGATGAAGTCTGAACAGGAAGCAGTGTCAGCAGGAAAATAGCGGCGCGCGGGAATGGCCAACTCACGGGCAATGACCTCGCGCGAGTAGTCGGTGTCGGGCCAGACGATCCGACTGCGGTGGACCTCCGTCTCGGCCTCGTACGCGAATGAGGCGTGTTGACGGGTGATCTCAGGATTTGTCTCGGCGGTCAAGTCGAAGTCCTCGTCTCGGACGGACATGAGCAGGCTCTCGTCCGGCTCGAGCTCGACGATACGGCCCGACAAGTGCTCGGGAGGCGCAACGATGACTTCGAACGCGATGGAGGAATCGTCGAGCGGACCGAACGGCATCGGCTGAGGCGAGTTTGGCAGGTAGGCGGGCTCGAGCGGGCGGAGGTGTGTTGACGACGGGCTTGCCGAGAGGTTGTCCTCAGACTCTTCGGCGATCACGCGCTGCAGGATATCCGAGGTGTGGCGGAGGTGGCCGATCGAGCCGAGAGACTGGCTGGGGATGGTCGCAAGAGCAGGCACTCCGTAATGTTCGAGCTCGAGCACACGGCGCTCGTCGTCCGAGATTGACGGAGAGGACGGAGGAGGCGTATCGGGTGGAATGGGACCGTCGACATAATCTGCCAGCCTGATCGGCTTCGGAAGCGGTTCGCCAGGCTCGACGGCGACCAGTGGGCGAACGTAGCGCGGCGAGTGCGAACCTGTGCGACGATCAGTCAGTACTGTTCGTCCAGACCGCGACAGGTGTACTCACCCCGGCCTTGAGCCGGATGCGCCTGCTCGACCCGATCCTTCGCAGGAGGGAAGCGGAAGGCTGGCTGCGCCGGCAACGGACCCTCGGCGCGAGTCAGCATGCGGATGCGTCCGCTTCGCGGTACGGGACACGGCGAGCTTGTCAAGGACGAGACGCTGAGATTGGTCGAACGACTGCTTGGAGCGACGGACAGGTTGGTCGTCTCGTTCGACGCCGGGTCGGTCGATGCGGCGGACAGCTCAGAGACAGGACGGGCGCGGTGACTCGGTCGCTTGGTCGGGAACTTGTCCTGCGAGTACCGCTGCAGACTTTGGCGCATCGGTCGGCCGGAAGGCGGGTTTGGCGAGGGCGAGCCCACGAGCGAGAAGCAGCTCTCGAGCGACCCTTCGGCGGTCGACAGCGTGCTGCCCATCCGCGCGTGGTGGTGGTACAGCGCCTCGCGCCGGGCGAGGACCTGCTCGGGCGAGACAGGCGGCGAGGGACTGTTGATCAGGGCATTGAGCGAGACGTCCTCGTCGATGCGCTCAAACATCTTGTCGCCGGCCTGTGTGAGCAAAAGTGAGCTTGTGTGCGACGTTGCAGGCGCGAACGAACGCACAGTCGGCCGCTCGAGCTCGAGGGCGTCTCGCACGCTGTCCCGCAGCGTCGACCTCGGCTCTTCCTCGTCGATATTGTCGAGGCGGAACGCCTGCAGAGTCGCCGACGCTGGCAGGGGGAACGCCTGGAGTGTCGCAGACCCCGGCGAAGACAGGGTCGTCGTGCCCGGTGCCGAGAGCATGTGGCGGATGGCGTCCACCGCCGTCGACTGCAGGCCCTCGAAGCTTGTCGCGGTCGCCTCAAGAGCCTGTGTGGCACCACCAACGATGCTGAAGCGACTCGTCGTGTTGTCGACGACGAGATGACCGGAAGCCGAGAGTCCTGCGCGGGCTTGGAGTACGGCTAGGTCGTCTTCGCCGCTGCTCTCGCCGGAGGAGCTCGAGTCGTCGTCGTCGCCGAAGCTGTTGTAGGACAGCGGAGGCTGCTCGATCGAGAAAAACGGGATGTCGACCTCGGAGATGTGGTCGTCGACCGTGTTGATGAGCTCCTTGAGGTCGAGTGGCACATCGCTCACGCTTGAACGGAGCGACTCGATCGACTCGAGGTGCGGAAGCTTCCCTCGAAGGGAAGCGGACAGGTCCGAGACGTCGCGCTGGACGTGCCTGCGACTTGCGACAGACTGGGTGCCGACCTTCGACGTATCGAGCTCATAGGTGTCCTCGAGACCAGACAGTAGCTCGGCGAGATCGGTTGTCGCGCCGCGAACCTCCGAGATGGGATCTGTGAGGGAGGCGAAGTCAGCTAAGCCCGCCGTGATGGCGACGAGAAGTGCGCTCACTGCCGGTGAGGTCGTCAATGCCCATGCATATAACGTTCTCCGGCCCCATCGCGAGTTTCCTTGGGCTGCCAAGCGTCTTCGCGATCCTCGGAGTCAGGACGAGCGGCTGCGGCAGGCCTCGCTCGTTCTTCTCAGGACTGCTACCGGCTGATGCCGAAGGGAGCAACGCTCGCCAGCGAGCGGGACTTGGCGTACGGAACGAGCGAGCTGGACTCGGGCAGCGCCGCGACGGGCTTGACGACCATCCCGACGAGCCGCTGTGTTCGGCGGGCGAAAGGCTCGAGTCGGATGCGTCACCGAAGTCGGGTGAATAGCGGCGGCTCGGCGGGAACGAGTGCGCCGGGTAGATCGGGACTGGCGGAAGCAGCGAAGAGTCGAACGGCTGGCCGATCGAGAGGCGCTCGTTCGGCAGGGGCTGGTAGATGGTCGGAGGCAGCTCGTCGACGGGAGAAGCGGCAGGGATCCGCTTGGTGGTTGGCGCACTCGCTTTGGCCCGTACGCGGGGAGCGCTGGACTCGATGACGAACGCATCGATGGCTGCTGCGCGAGTTTCGACGGGCGCGATCTTGTGGCCGTAGAATGTCGTGTCGTCTGACGATTCGAGGTTTTTCGACGGGCGCGGCGGACGAGCAGGAGGAGCGAGGTCTTCGGCGCGAGTTGGGAAGACGGTCGTAAGCGGGAGTCGAGCAGGTGGGCGAGCGGTCAAGTCGGGCGATTCTGCGAGAATAAAGAGTAAGCAAGGATGGTCTAAGCGTGCCACCGAAGGGTTGCTCGACCCACGAGGAGCTGCGATCTTCTCGGCCTGCTGGACCGTAACCGGCTTCTCGAAAAGCGCCTTCTTCGCCGCAACGTTCTTCCCCTTCACCGCTCGCGTCAGTCGTCCAGCCCATCCAAGCTTCGCCTGCGGCATATCAGCCGACGAGCCGTTCGACGAGGAAGTGGCGTTGGAAGCTCGCCTGTCCTGCGCGGCAGCGAAAGCGCCTTCGCTCGCAACCGAGACCGGTCGGGAGATGAGCGACGGCGATAGCGGGCCTGACGAAGTCGTACTGCGAGACGTGCGCTTGATGCCGTCCGAGTTCCGCTTCGAGATCGAGCGGAAGAAACCAAGTCGAGACGGCTTGCGCGACGGTGGGCCAGAATCGCTTGTGGTCGACGAAGGAGCGTACGAGCTGATGCTCGTGGAGGGACGGTGACCGCTCGTGTCGCTGCTCGTGACGACAGGCCGCGACGACGACGAAGCGAACGAGATGCTGCGAGCTTTGGTCTCGCTGGACGAAGCGCCGCTGTCGTTCGTCCCGCTCAAGCCGGCAAAAAGATTCGCAAGGCTGGGCTTCTTCTTGACGCCCGGTCTGCGTGTGCTCGTGCGCTTCGGTATCCGGCTCGTCAGCGTCTTGAGGCCGTCAGTCGAAGCGCGGCTGAACGTCCGCGCTCGGTCCTTGAGCCCTTTGCGCTTCTTGTCTGCGGCAGGTCCATCGAACGCGACGACATGGATGATTGAGTCGCCCGAGGAACCAGAGAATTTGGACGGCGGGTCGAGCGGCGGTTCGAGGCGGGAGAAGCGCAGAGGGAGGGTGCCGTAGTGGTGATGCTGTGGTGGCGAGGCGGGACGGAGGGACGGGCTGTGGAGGGTCTCGGTTGCGGAAGAGAGGTGGTTGGATGAGGAGAGAGCGCGACGAGCCACGGTTGGTCGAGGTAGAGAGGGTGACTTGGCGGAGGAGTCGGCGCGTGGAGAGGTCTGAGATGGCGCAGGAGGACTGGCCATGTCGAGCGGAATGGACTGCGTCTTGCGAAGCATAAAGCGCTTCGGGCTAAATCGCCTGAGGGGGTTGTTCGACCTGTCCTGCTCGACCTCTTCTCGCCGCTGCTCTTGCACATCCAACTCCTCCGTCTCGTCCTCCACCCCCGCCGCCGCAAGGTGCTCAATGACCAGATGCGCGCTGCGGACTTGCCGATCCCTCCAGCTCAACCTCGCCTTCCTCCGCTCGACCTCGCGCTCGTGCTCGCTCGCTCTGAGCACCGCCTCGGCTCTGACGAGCGACGAACGAGTCGAGTCGTCGAGGTCGAGGTCCAAGTCGAGCAGGGCGGCTGAGCGGCGCCGGCGCGAGCCGGTGTTGGTCAAGGCGGAGGAGGTCGAAGCTGTTGAGGCGATTGAGACGGCTGAGAGGGTCGAGATGGTGGATAGAGGGCAGGTGCGGGCTCGTTCGGCGAGAGAGGCGCTGTAGGGCCGGAGATGAGGGGGGTTGGTCGTGTTGAGCGAGGAAGAGGAGCGAAGAGCGGTGAGGGTAGACATGGTCGTTGGACGTGAAGAGACGTAGTCGAGTCGTGTATAGTCGTGAGAGAGTTCTGGTGAAGTCAAAAAGAGGTCGTGTGAAGGAAGATCGAGCGAGATCGCCGGGGCTGAAGGGGAGTCGTGGCAGATGGGGCGTGGGAGGGCGTGAGGAGCGTGAGGACGGCGGTGAGTCGAGGATCGTGAAGCGTCAAGGGGTCGTGTCGGACGTGAGTGGTGGGCGCAAGCCTGGACGCGAAGACTCGTCAGTATTGATGAGCTGGCTGGGCTGTTGAACGAGAAAATGAGGCGGAGGGAGCGAGAGAGAGGGACACACCCTGGAACCTCAAAGCCCTCGTACCAAGCCCTTCTCGTATCGTCAAGCAGTCGTCAGAGAAATCGTCACAGCAGCGTGAAGAGGGAGGAGAGGAGAGGACGTGACGGGGACAAACAAGACTCGTCGCTCGTTTCGGCGAGAGGAGGCAGGAGGAGGTCAGTGCGACGACGCGTAGGGGCGCCCGAAGCTGGTGAGCGCGTTCTTCGTCGCACAGTAAGGCTGCTCGTGTCATTCGCGCGCAGTGTAGCCGCTTGTCCGCATCCTCGAGTCCGGAAACTGATGAAGCGGTGGAGAGTGGGAACGGGAGTCTGTGGGCAGCGGTGGAGCACTTGCGGAGCGTTCCGGCCGTCCATACGAGCGAGCGAGATGTCCAGTAAAGCCTTGAGTGAGCGTAACCCAACGAGACGAGCGGCGGGAGGAAAAGAGAGCGGAGTCCGGCTATCCTCGACTCGGTTCTTCTCCCAGCACGAGGGCTGCGTAAATTACGTCTATCATTACGAGTCTAAAGATGCGAAACGATATGCTCGACAAACCCCCAAAACCCCCTCCTCCACTCCTTCCCGCCCCACGGCAACAAATACACCCCATTCCCCGGCGCGCGCTCACATGAGCCAGTCCCAAACCTTCTCCCACCAAGTCTGCGGCGGCCTATACATCCTCTGCTGTTCCTCCTCCATCAGGTCGAGCGCTCGGCGGCCAGAGGAGAAGTCCATCGCTTCGAGGCGGACAAAAGTCGTTTTCTTCCAGACCTGCGCACGCGGGCGAGTGTCAGCTAGCTCAGAGCGGAGAGGAGGAGAGGGGGAGGGGAGGGGCGTACCTTCCATGCGATGAGCATGAGGAAGAACCAGGGAATGGTGATGTAGGCTGAGAGGAAGGAACCGATGTCCCAGCTTCCGGCAAGGAAGACCTGATAATCCGAGAAGATGATCTGTTCGCGCCCCCAAACATCCTCATCAGTTCGCTATCCTTCTTCGCTGGATCGGAAAGGAGAAGGACGCACGATAACGGTGATCATGAACGCAGCGGCGTACGAAGCCCAAGGCTGGAGCGGGGCTTTGTAAGGGAACGCATCGCGGTCGATTCCTTGCTTGCGCGCGCCGTAGAAGAAGCGCAGGTAGGTGATGAGGATGACGAGCCAGGAGATTAGGCCTGTGACGGAGGCGATGGCGACGAGGTAGCTGCAGCGAGTCCGTCTTCAGTCGACGCGAGGAAGCGACGGAGGAACGCACTTGAACGCCCTCTCCCCTCCCGTCCCACAATTCATATACGCCAAGAACCCAACACTCGCCGTCGCGACCAGACTCCAGATGGGCAACCCATTCTTGAGGCACTTGGCAAAGATGCGCGGAGCTTGACCGTCGCATGCGAGGCCGTAGAGGGTGCGAGAGGCGGCGTAGAGGTCAGAGTTGCCGGCGGAGAAGGCGGCGGTGAGGATTACGCCGTTGACGATGTGTGGGAGGACTTTGATGCCCGCCTTCTCGATGCTGCGCAGCGGGAGCGAGCGTCAGCGAGTGTTGGCGGAGGAGAGAGAAGGGAACGCAGACGCACCCGATAACCCAGGGAGACGCAGCCGTTCCCGAGTTGTTCAACAACCCCGGATCGTTAGGCGACACGATCAAACTCATCATGAACACTCCCACCACTGCGCTCCCACCCCACGCAAACGCATCAGCCTCGTCCTTGACTGGAAGGTGGAGCGAAACGCACCGTAGAAAAACACGATCCTCGCAAACACGCGCTTGATCGCTTTGGGGACGTTCCGGCGCGGGTTCTCGGCTTCTCCAGCAGTGAGAGCGACTATTTCGGTACCTAGGAAACTGAAGGAGGCTTGGAGGAAAACTGGGGGTGCGACCGAGCGTTAGCGAGGGAGTGAGGGAGACAGTGGGAGAGGAGGAGGGGGACGAACCAGTCCAGAAGGACAAGAACCTTCCAAGCGAGCCTGGGATCCCGTTCTGCTGTTGGAACGGCACTTCGTTCCAATCTGTTCGCCGACCTTGTCAGCGCGCACGAAGGAGAGGGAGAGAGGGGAAATGGACGGACAGCGGAAGCCGATGGGGTATTCGGAGGAGTCGCTTGTCGGGACGCCGCCGGCTGTGATGATTAGTGCGACGAGGATCAAGCCGAGGAGGGTGACGATCTTGATCAACGCGAACCTGCTCATCCAAACCATCAGCACCTTTCCCTCGAATCGATACGACGAGCGAGACTGACCAAAACTCTGCCTCTCCGTACGCTCCGACGCCCATGAAGTTGAAAGTGGTGATAACGATGAAGAAGACCGTTATCCATACCGCGACGTTGATTTCTGCGGCGCGGGGCCAGTAGTCGAGGACGAGTGCGGCGGCGACGATTTCGGTTGGGATTGCTGCGTAAGCGATGGAGGGTCAGTGGGGAGAAGGGAGGGAGGGGAGGAGGAGGGGACGGACTGATGGCCCAGTTGTACCAGTAGTTCTGCAGGCAAGCGGAAGGGTGAGCGAGATGCGAGGAGAGGAAGGGGTGAGGGGACGCACCCATCCCAGCGCAAAGCCGAGTGAGGGGTCGACAAAGCGGCTGGCGTAGTGTACGAAGGCGCCTGTGCGTCGCAAGTCGGGTCAGAATGCGAAACGAGGCGAGGACGCATGCGTTCGACTCACCATTTACGGGATACAGAGCCGTCATCTCGCCCAGTGCGACCATGACCGCATAGACGATCACTGCGTGCGCCAATTCTCAGTCAGACAAAGCACAAGGGAGGGAAGTGCGAGCGCAACGCACTGCCGACGCTCGAGTAGCCCAAGAAGATCCCGGCCGCTCCGCCCGTCGCCAATGCCGAGCCTGCGCCGACGAACAAGCCTGTACCGATCGTTCCGCCGAGCGCAATCATCTGTCCAGCCAGAGGGTCAATACGAGGCCCCCTTCCTGCAGTTCGTCCGGGCGAAGGTGCTCCTCACCTGCAGATGCCGCGCCTTGAGATTCCTGACGCCCAAACGAGCTCGTCAGCGCGACACTACAGAGCTAGAGGACTGGCCCGGACGCACCGCTTGACACCCCCCTGCGCGCCCAACTCCGCCCCCTCGAGCGCTTCCTTCCCACCATACACCCTCCCTGGCTCGACCTTTACCGTCCCTTCCTTCTCGACGTCTACTTCAGAGCTCCGTGCAGACATCCCTTCCCTCGTTCGTTCGAGTGTGGCGCGAGAGGAAGAGAGATGGAGCGTTGACTCCGAGCTCGAGAGCGCTGAAGGCGGCAAGGAGCGGGTCAAGGTGAGGCGGTCGAGTGGCGCTGGGTGAGCCTCGAGCTGGGGTGAGCGGGTAGCAGGCAGCGAGTGCTATTTGAGCTGGTTTGTACGGGCAAGCAGGAACTGGCTCGAGTGATGGCGCGAGGCAGGGCGGGGGGAAATGTTTCCCTCGCTCCGGAGCGACGTCGGCAAGAGAGGAAGAGCGGGGCAACGCACGGCGACGTCCAGCAGCGCGATGAAATGGCCAAGTCGCTCGAGCAGGGCAGTCTGGCTGTGAGTGTGTGAGCTGGTCTGGCAGCGTGTGGTCGCGGCGAGGAGGCAGGACGCGGGTTGTTGAGCGACGCTTGACCTCGACTCGCTCGACTGCCGCGTGGACAGGATCGCTGGACTCGCAATACACGCCGGACTACTCGGGCCCTCACCCTCAACCTCGCCAAGCCGTCGCTCGCCGTCCTGCTCCACCGTCTCGCTCCTCTCGCCTTGACATCCGTCCACCTCGTCTCGCTCGCCGCGAGGGATCTTGCCGACTTTGTGATGGCTGAACAACCGGCTACTCTGCGATACACCTCGAGGGCGCGCGCCCAGCGGCCGTCGACCTCGTCCTGCTGACCTGTCGATGCCTCTCCTCCCTCGACCGACGATCAGCTTCGCCCGACATACGGGTTTCGTGATGCGGACGTAGCGGAGGGTGGTGGCTGACTGAGCGAGCGAGGCGGTCACGGAGACGCAGACTCGAGGGAAGGAAGCGTGGCCTGGAAAGTCGTGCATTTCCCTCTCCTCGTGCTCTCTCGAGACGTACGGCTAACCTTTCTCGGGCAGACGACGATTCACTCTGCTCTTGCTCAACCAGACAGACGGCACGCGTGCGCTCGCTCGCTTCCTGCTGTCCTCTCGACCCTCACTTCCTCGCTCGACTCGACTCGAACGGCTACGATCGATTTGTGCCCGAGGTTTCTGCGCGACACATGCCCGTAGAGGGTGGAAAGGAGAAGGACGGCGGAGAGCCGTTAAGGAGTCCGAGGTAGCCGCTCGAAAGGGCGGTCTGGCTTGCGTGCGTCTCCATCTCCCTCTCCTCTCCCGCCGACTCCGATTGATCTTTCTCGCACACTTGCTTTGCACTTGCTTTGCACTTGCTTTGCCCAGCCCTGCTTCTCGTCGACGTACCTCGTCAAGCGACCGACAGACCTGCTAGCATAGCCGCCAGTTGAAATCCCGCGATTCGCCAACGCTGTTTCTTCTGCACCTGCACCTGCTCCGGCGACAGACGCAACCCGCGACCACGCCTACGCGCTGCTAACTTGTTCCCTCCTTCTTCACCGTGAAGGAAGGGATTCGCTCGCGTTTCTTCCGACGAAAGTCCCGACAGAGACCGCGGATCTTCCGCACGTCCTCTCGCACCGCTCGCTTCTTCTCTCGCTTCTTCGCTCCTTCTCGACGAGTCTTGCTTCTCTCCATCTTTCGCCGCGAGTCCAGGGCGATCACTCCCGACATGCCCGTGAGTTTCGAGCGTGTCGTCGTGCACTCAACCTGGCAGCGCGCTCACCGCTTCTCGCCCGCTCACAGCCACAGTTACCTCCTTCGTACAGAGTGAATGTGCTCACACCACTAGCTCAGCTCATTGGCTCGATCAACCGCAAGGACCAGCACGCGTCCTTCGTCAACACTCCGCCGGTCAGGGCCTTTCGGAGTGGCGTCCTCGAGGTACTCAGCGAGGCCTGGTGGAGGGCCGAGCTTGGGCAGGTTGCCAATCTTACTCAAGCACAAGCGATCAGAACCCGCTTGACACGCAACGACGACGAGGTGGGCAAGGCGTGGCTTGAGCGTCGCGACGGGACCTACGGGCGGTCTGCGTGCCTCACCGTCTTCTCCGAGACCATCGTACGCTGTCAATCTCCTCGTACATTCGGAGATTGGGCTCACCTCTCCGCCTTACAGCTCGGAGCTGCCGTCCACAATGTCGTCGTTGCCCTTGGTCTTGGCGAGGTGGACATGATGCTCCAGCTTGGCAGGGTTTACGGAACGCTGTTGCAAAGCATCGCATTCGGGAACTACATGTTCGTGAGTCGCCCCTCTCACACACTCATGCTGCAAGTCCGCCCGCTGACGCACAGTCTCTTCCACCAGGACATTGCGATCAGCAACCACATGTTCGTGCGTCGGACTCCCTCACACTCACGCTACAGATCCGCCCGCTAACGCACGGCTCTTGCGAAGGAAACGCCCGCCGGCTTTTCCTACCTCAACGTCCGTCACACATTCTCTCGCTCATCTCGTCTTGTCTGCCACTGATGCACTCTCACGCGCAGGGCGAGCTGATGTCCACCTACATGAGGTACTTCCTTGCGCCTATCGCAGACCTAGTCGACGGCACCCAGAATCCGCACGTCTTTGCACCGACCAGCCTCGCCCGCGCCTTCTGCCACGGCGTTGAAGCAGCCCTCTCGAAGCACGACTGGGATGGACTCAGCCTCGACGCTAGTAATGCGATCGGTGGGCGGCTGCAGGCGGATCACGCCAAGGTTGTCGCGGTTTCGCCAGCAGAGGGTTCAGGTCACGAGCATCGTTTCACAGCTCTGGTCAGTCCTTTTACACGCCTAGACTGAGCACTTGACGACACGAGCGGCTTGTCTGACGCCCTTGCCGCCCTCAGCTCGGCACGGCTGTCTGTGAGGCCATCCCGCTGAACGGCGGAAGAAACGTCGTCAAGCTCGGCGAGATGTACGGGGCGCTCTTGAAGAGCCTCGCCTATCCGCATCATGTCATCGTCTGTCCTCTCTCTCTCTCTCTCACGCACTCGCCTTCGACCTTCCCAACTGACCTCTTGCGGTCTCGCAGCACGCGCCAAGCGGCTTCTCCTATCACAACGTGCGTATCAATCTCGGCTCCAGTGACGTCTGAAGCTGACTTGACACGCATCGCAGGGCCAGCCGATGTCGACGTCGTACGAACTCGCTCACCGCCAGCGAGCTCCTGCTCGCTCGTCCGTATTCTTCCCCGTCGCGAGGAGGTGGTTGAGCGGAGCCGTTCAGTAGTGGAGGCGACTGTGCGAAAGGCTCTTTGGCTGCAGGACGCGTCTCGTCACGCGGACGCTTTCGACGCCTTGCCGCTCTTCACCTCGCCTCCGGCACTTCCCTCCTCGCTTTACTCGAGCTTAGCTTGGTCCTCGCCGGCTCTACTCCGCGCACGGGAGGTCCTGCGCTGCCTGGCCACGGCGTATCCTCGCATACACCGCGGAGAAGCCATGGACCTTCCGCCGGTTCACGTTCTCTAGAAACCAGCTTCCCCTTCGCTCTTTCTCAATCTACTCCGGCTGCTCACTCGCCTCCACAACCTACACGCAGGGCCGTCATGTCTGCGCATCGCGTTAGTCTTCCTTCATGTCTCCTTCACGTTCGCGCCGAGTCTTGACCGCTTGCTTGCCTTGTCAGAAGGCGCCGTCGTACACAGCCTATGTAGTCGACCCTCTCGGCCATCTCATGACCGTCATATATCGCGCGGACAAGAACGTGTCGTTCCGAGGCAGCGCTCCCGCCAAGTCCTTCCGACTGGGCGTCAGGGAGGCGGTCAGCGAAGAGTGGTGGGCGGCGAATTTCCGCCACGGAGACGACTACCTGCGCGCGCTCGCGGTTCGGGACCGCCTGCAACGGGACGAGCGCGAGGTCCGTGACGAGTGGGTCAAGCGGAGCGGCGGGAGCAATCTGCGATCCTTCGCCGTCCAAGTTTTCTGCGAGACTGTCGTACGTTGCGCTGCTCGTTCTCGTTGTGGAGGATGCGCTGATTTCGTGGCCTACAGGTCGGACTCGCAGTGTACAAGGCTATCGTCGCGCTCCACCTGAGCGAGGACGAGACGATGTCCAAGTGTGGCCAGGCGTACGGAGCGCTGTTGAAAAGCCTCACGACGCCAGGCAACTATGTCGTGCGTTGTGGTCCTCTCTTTCTCGCCGTTCTGGATGCTTGCGCTGAGTTGGCGAAACCTTGCTTTGCAGAACGCGCCTGGCGGTTTCTCCTACCTGAACGTCAGGCAACCGCCTCTCTCTCTCGCAAGGATCTACAACTGACAGTGACGCATGGGCAGGGCAAACCGATCTCGACGACGTTCGAGTCGCCTTCGCACCGCCAGACGACGAGGCGCTCGTCCGCGTTTTTTCCCATCGCGAGGCGGACGCTTGGGAGGTGGTAGAAGCAAGGAGACGAGTGGGTGCATCGCGGGCTCTCTCGAGGCGTCTCAAGCGGTCCTCTTCCGCCTCCACCGCAACGAGAGGGGAGAGAACGACAAGATTACGAGCGAGCTACGTCTACGGACGCCCAGTATAAAGATGCGATCACGAGAGAGAGAGAGAGAGAGAGGTGTATGAGGAGAACGGAACGAACAAACGACAATCTCGGAGCGAAGGAAAGGTGAACGAGAGAGGGAAAGGGAGGTAAGGGCGAGGCTACATCAACCAAGCCCACAGTTTCTCGTACCACGTCTCCGGGGCCTTGTACAGCGCGCGCTGCTCTTCCTCCATCAAGTCGATTGCGCGACGGCCGCTGTCGAGGTCCATCGCGTCGAGGCGGACGAACGTCGTCTTCTTCCAGAACTGCGCGCGCCGAGGGTTCTTGAGTTTCGTGCAAGGGAGAGATGGAAAAGGGAGGAGACGCACCTTCCATGCGACGAGCATCAGGAAGAACCACGGGATCGTGATGTACGCCGTCAAGAACGATCCAGTGTCCCAACTTCCGGCAAGGAACACCTGGTAGTCCGAGAAGATGATCTGCTCCACTTCCACCATCAGCACGCGCTTCCCAAGCTCCAGAAAGGGAAGCCAGAACGCACGATGATGAACAGCATGAAAGCGCCAAAGAACGACGCATAAGGCTGCATCGGCGCCTTGTAGGGAAACTCGTTACGGTCGAATCCTTGCTTCTTGCACCCGTAGTAGAAGCGCAGGTAACTGATCAGGATCACGAGCCACGAGATCAGGCCTGTTACGGCGCCGATCGAGTAGAGGTAGCTGTGCGCGAGTCGAAGTCAGCGAGAGTCGCGAGTGCGGGAGGACCACACGGACGCACTTGAACGCCTTAGTACCCGTCACTCCGCAGTTCATGTACGCCAAAAACCCAACGCTAGCCGTCGCGATCAAACTCCAAATCGGCAGTCCGTTCTTCGTGCACTTGGCAAAGATGCGCGGGGCCTGGCCGTCGCATGCGAGGCCGTACAAAGTGCGAGAGGCGGCGTAGAGGTCGGAGTTGCCGGCGGAGAAGGCGGCGGTGAGGATCACGGCGTTGACGATGTGTGGGAGGACTTTGATGCCTGCCTTCTCGATGCTGCGGGCGAGTGCATTGTTAGCGGAGCTCGCGGCGGCAGGAAGGCAAATAACTACGCACCCGATAACCCAAGGCGAAGCAGCCGTGCCCGAGTTGTTGAGCAATCCTGGGTCGTTAGGCGAGACGATCAAGCTGATCATCAACACGCCGACCACTGCTCTCCCCAACACAATCGCTCGTCAGCCCCATTCTTATCAGGGAAAGGAAGAGAGTGGACGCACCGTAGAAGAACAGGATACGAGCGAAAACGCGCTTGATAGCCTTCGGGACGTTCCGGCGCGGGTTCTCGGCTTCTCCAGCTGTGAGTGCGACGATTTCTGTCCCGAGGAAGGAGAAGGCGGCTTGGAGGAAGACTGTGACGCGAGCGCGTCAGCGCGAGTGGAGGAAGCGTGGGAGAGGGAAGGGGGACGAACCGGTCCAGAAAGACAAGAACCGTCCGAGCGAGCCTGGGATCCCGTTCTGCTGCTGGAACGGCACTTCGTTCCAATCTGTTCCGCTCTAATTGTCAGCGCGCGCGAAGGGAGAGGGAGGAAGGGAGGGGGACGAACAGCGGAATCCGATGGGGTATTCGGAGGGGTCGCTGGTTGGGACTCCGCCGGCTGTGATGATCAATGCGACGAGGATCAAGCCGAGGAGGGTGATGATCTTGAGCAGGGCGAACCTGCGCGCCAGCGACCTTATCAGCTCTTTGCCCAAAATCGAAGAGAGTGGAAAGTGCGCACCAGAACTCTGCCTCTCCATACGCCCCCACGCCCATAAAGTTGAAAGCGGTGATGACGATGAAGAAGATGGTTATCCACACTGCGACGTTGACGCGTGCGGCGCCCGGCCAGTAGTCGAGGACGAGGGCGGCGGCGACGATCTCGGTTGGGAGGGCTGCGTGCGCGACGCGGACGTTAGCTAGACTTTCTGGATGCATGAGGGAGAGAGGATGCGCACTGATAGCCCAGGAGTACCAGTAGTTCTGCGCGCACCAACTCTCGTCAATGTCCAACCTCATCCTGGGGAAAGGACTTCGCACGCACCCATCCCAACGCAAACCCGAGCGACGGATCAACGAACCGACTGGCGTAGTGCACGAACGCGCCGTTGACTGGGTACAAGGTGGTCATTTCGCCGAGGGCGATCATCATCGAGTAGACGATGACTGCGCGCGGGAGGGCGGGTTAGTATGGTCAAAGGAGGAGTGTGGAGGAAGGGAGACGGACAGCCCATGATGGTGTAGCTGCGAGCGAAGATACAGTGAGCGAAAGGAAGCGGAAGGATGGAAGCGACTCGGAACGCACCCGAGGAAGATTCCCGCCGCTCCGCCCGTACTCAACGCTCCTCCCGCTCCGACAAACAAGCCCGTTCCGATCGTCCCGCCGAGCGCGATCATCTGCGGACGCAGAAGAAGCGAGGTCAGACTTGATCAGTCGGGGCGAAGCGCAATCGCCGTCGAGGGACAACTCGCCTGCAAGTGCCGGGCCTTCAAGTTCCTGCAAGTCGTAGTGAGACACCGTGAGCTCCAGTGCGCACATCCACGACGAGTGATAAGGGACGCACCGCTTGACGCCGTTCTGCGAGACGGCGTCGGCGCCATAGACGTCTCCGGCGCCACCAGAACCGGCGGGTTCGACCTTGACCTCCTTCTCCAAGTCGGGGTACGAGTCCGTCGCGTGTGCAGCAGCCATCGCGTGCGGTCGAGGGGTGGCGGGGAGGAGGAGGGGGTTGACTCGGGTGTGTGGGTTGAGCTGGGCGAGGAGGAGCGCGGAGGAGGAGGTGCTTGGACGACCCAGAGACCAGCGACGGACTGGGCGAGTTGCGCGCGTGCACGGGGAAGAAGCGAGCGAGCGATAGAGTGACAGCAGCAGCTGAGGGTGGCAGCTCGAGCAGCAGCAAGGCGGGCGCGGTGTAAAATCCTTCACGAGGCGGGACCCCAGCATGATCAGGAGAGCCGGGATGCCTCGACAGCGGGGTTGCCGCGCTTGGGAACAGAATCGGCACGCGAGCGAGTGAGCAGCAGCTGGCCATCGGGTTCGTGTGCGAGTGAAGCAAGTAAGGCAGCGTCGAGTGAACTGGCGGAGACAAGGAAACCGCGCGGACTCTGCGGCGTCGACGAGTCGGCCGAGTTGGCAATGGACAAGGCACGCCTATTTGATCGGGCATTACAAACACAATGTATATCGAGAGTTGTATTCGCACAACTGGCTGTTCTGCCACGACGCCGACTCTTGCGCTCGAACTCTTCCGCGCTAGTCCAACGACGACACGCTGCTCGTCCTCCTCCTTTTGCGCTCCCCAACAGCGCCAATCTCGGCTCGCACCTGCTCAACCGTCCGAATCCGCGGCTTCCACGTCCACTTGACGTACGGGTCGCGCGCCTTGTGTCGCTCGTGTTCGAGCAACTTTTCGCGGAGATCGTCCATGCTCGTGTCGAGGATCCTGCGCCGAAGAGAGGGGTGTCAGCGACGAGGTTAGGAAGACTCCTCATCCTTCAAAAGCACAAGGAGCGGCGCACAACTCACTCGCCCGACTGCAACAAATGCCAATCCTCGTCCCTCCCCTGCGTCATCGGCTCGCTCGCCACAACGACATGCGGCCTCTTCTCCTCCCTCCCCCTTCGTCCCTCCCCTCCCCCTCCATCTCCTCCATCCGGCTCACCCTCATACCTCGAATCCATCCTCACACCCGCCCGAGTACTCCAATACAAACTCGGCGCTTCACGACTCGGCGTCGCGTACCTCATACACACAAAGTCGGAGCCAGTAGAAAGGGCGATGTTGAGACTGTTCCAGTGCGTGCGGGAGCGAGACCAGCCCCCCAAGGGTCGGTAGAGTTGGTAGAGGACTGAGACGACGCGGATGAGGGCCGAGACGAGCGCGGAGCGGGGGAGGGGACGCGTCCAGCTGCCTGTGTTCGTCGGGTCGAGGAAGGTCAGGAAGAGGGCGACTGGCGGCGAGCGGGCGTCAGTGAGCGAGCGGGTTGGTGCGGGCCTTCGAGAGTGAGAGCTGGTGAACGCACAGATGCGCGCAGAATCCGTAGTCCCGCGCACGACCTTCCTCGCAGCAGGCGAGATCAACTTCTCGAGTCTCTGCGGGTCCTTCGAGAAGCCTGACTCTCACCGTTCGTCAGTTTGAGCGAGTGGGAGAGGGAGGAGGAAGGTGAACGGACCAGTCACAAAGCCGTTGTGCATGAAGAGGAAACGGCCGAAGGTGAAGGGGTGGCAGTTGGATTCGATGCGATTGCTGCCCTACTCCCACCCTCCGAGTCAGCTGGACATGCTCGACGAGAGGGAAAATGAGTGAGACGCACCGCCCGAACGTGACCAAAGACGACGGAGCTCTTGACACCCTCACAAATCCTCCTCACTTCCTCATCGTCCCACGCCGGTCGAACAAGCGAATGATAAACCTCCGGCTCCCACATGCCGTTCCTCAGTTCCTCCTTCTGCGACTCGTATTCGCGCCGAGCGGAAGGGGAGATGTACCAACCCATCCCGAACCCGTCGAGGTTTGAGAGGGCGTTTGGGTGAGAGTGGTTAGAGGGGATGTTCCAGGGGTAACGGACTTGCGGGAGGTAGTGTTCTGCGGCTGTCGCGGGGGTGGGAGTAAGCGACCGAGGAAGAGGGAAAGGAAGGGGAGACGATGGGGAGGGAGAACGGGAGGAGACGGACTTTGGTCGAGGATTGAGTGGTTCGGGCGCTTGATCTGCCGGGAAATGAAGAGTGTGCGTGCGCGCTTGTCCATCATATCAACGAGCTGTCACTGCCAGCACGCCAGGCGGTGCCCAGGACGAGCGAGAGAGGAACTGCTGGACTCACCACATCCTCCAGCCGAATCGGCTCAAGCGAGAAGTACGCGATCCAGCGACACATTCCCTTTCACAGCTCGTATGTAGCGCACATCGAGAACGGAAGAAACGAAGCGAGAGTTCGGGCTTCTTGAGCGCAGAGATACGGAAAGGAGGCGAGACGGAGGTACCGCGGAGTTGGGGGCGGGCGGGTGCGATGGCGACATGGTGGTGTGAGCTGAGGCGAGCCAGGAGGGAAAAGTCTTCGGGTCAGGTAAGCTGCTGAAGGCGGTGCTCGGTGTGGTGGATGGCAGCAGGGAAGGAGAGGAGAGCGAGACGAGGTCATGGCGGGCAAGGGTGGGAGCGCCAGCATGGTCCAGTAGCAGTATATGAGTTCGCAAGACTGCCTAGTAGGCCAGCAAGCCGTCTCCTTGACAAGCGAGTGAGCGGTCGATGGTCAAGGTGCGCCGGAGAGGCCTCGCAGTGGGTTTGCTTCTGGCTACACTCGTCAATCCACTCTTGCTGCTTATCTGGGGGCTCTGCGCTGCTCTTAGACGCTATCTCGACATCCACACAAACCGCCAACACCCGCCACTCCCTCGTCCCTCTTCCTCGTCCTCGTCATCAGTTTCCCCCACTTCAGGTCGAGCAGGGGCGCACATGCGCTGGGTGGCCTGGGTCGCGCCGTTGGCATGGCTGGTGGACGTAGTAAGGGCGTCTGAGGCGGCGAGCGTAGCAAAGGACGGCGGAGCGGGATCAGGTTCGAAGCTGCCGCTGTGGGTGCTTGTGTCGGCGACGATTTCGGCGGGGTTGTCGACTGTCTTGAGTCTGGGGACGATCTGGCTGCAGCTCAAGCACTATCACAAGCCGAGGCTGCAGCGGCTTGTCGTTCGGATCCTCGTCATGTGAGTTCAGCCTCGAGTCCTGAATGCCTCTCGCGCGACACTGGACATGCATTGCCTGCGCGATCTCCGCCTCGCTAAGCATGATCTTCCAGAGCCTTGCGCGCTGATGCATCGCTCTTGTACAGGGTCCCCATCTACTCCCTCTCGACGCTCATCTCGCTTTACTCGCTCGACCTCGCCTTCTTCGTTGACGCCGTGCGGGATATCTACGAGGTGCGCTGCCTTACGCTCCCTCATTCCAAGAAGTATTGACGTTGAAGCTGTACGACAGGCCTTCGTCATCTAGTCCGCATTTTCAGCTCTTCGAGTGGAAGCTGGAACTGACGCTTGCGTTCGCAGCTGCTTCTTCTCCCTGCTCGTCGAGTACCTGTGCGTCGCAGCGGTCTCTGGTTTTTTTTGCGGCCGCTCACAACGATCCTCTACAGTGGCGGCGAACGCTCGCTCATCATCACCCTTCACGGCCGCGAGCCCGTCAAGCACCCCTTCCCTGTCAGCCTCTTTCTCCGCCCGATGGATGCGAGCGACCCTTTCACTTTCCTCGGTCTCAAGCGGGGCATCTTGCGTGCGTTCCCGTTTCTCCTCCTCGTCCGGGATCGAACGTCGCTGAGCGGGCTGGACCGGCGCAGAATACGTCCAGATCAAGCCGATTCTCGCCGCAGCGACCGTCGTCCTCAAAGCCACCGGCACCTACAACGACGGCGCTCTCCGCAAAGACTCGGGATATACCTACGTCTCGATCGTCTACAACCTCTCGGTCTCGCTCAGCTTGTATTGCCTCGCGATGTTTTGGGTCGCGACAAACGACGATCTGAAGCCGTATAGGCCGATGCCGAAGGTGCGCGCGACGAGTGCGCATTCGTTACGAGTTGCGAGCTGACCGCTCTTTCACGACTAGTTCCTCTGCGTCAAAGGCCTCATCTTCATGACCTTCGTCCGTCTACCGCCCGTCCCTTCCTCTCTCTTCGCTAACCCTCCGACGCGCACAGTGGCAAGGCTTCGCCGTCTCGATCCTCGTCGCAACCGGCCTCCTCCGCACCTCGCGCTACGACTCGGAAGAGCTCTCCGTCGCGATCCAGGACACGCTGTTGTGCTTGCAGATGCCGCTGTTTGCGTTTCTGCATCTCTATGCGTTCTCCTGTGCGTTGAAGACGGTGTTTCCGCGGTAACAGGAAGGAGTTGGTGGAGAGCTGATGGCTCTGCGGCGCGCAGACACCGACTACATCGACGAGAAGCACATCTACAGCGGTCGACTGCCGGTCTGGCACGCGTTCAAGGACGCGTTCGGGTGCGTCAGCTTGCGTGCCGCTTCCTGCAGACGCGAACTTCCTCCGACCAAGTTGTGCATGCGGGTGGAAATCCTCCACGGTGCTGACGCACATCTCACGCTCGCCCCGCAGCTACAAAGATCTCCTCCTCGACTCTCTCACCACGCTCAAAGGCACCGGCTTCTCCTACCGGACCTTCGAGCCGGCCTCGGGCGCGCTCCACGCAGAAGGCCTGATCCGGGACCGCCGCATCCGCGCAGGCCTGCGCTACTCCGCTTCCGGACAACGGAAGTACTGGCTGAACCAGCCTGGGGCTGAGGAGGATGCGTTTGGTCGGAGAGGAGAGGGGATCTTGAAGCGCGGGTTGGCCGCGAGGCCGTTTCATGAGATTGGGAGGGTGCTGGAGGAGCGGTTGGAGCAGCAGGAGGGCTATGCGCCGTTGAGTCATGAGGAGGAAGAAGGCGGCGTCGTGCGTATTGATCCGGAGTGGAGGGCAGAGGAACTGGCGAGGCAGAAGGCGACGGGTGGAGGGGCGGTGGTGGGATTGGGATGGTGGGAGGGAGGGAGGACGTATGATGACCTGAGCGACGGGGAGGAGAGCGAGCCGGAGAGTCTGGACTTCGCGGATCCGAGGGACGCGGAGGAGAAGGACATGGAGAAGCTCTATCGCGAAGCGAGGGAGCTCGAGTATGGTGCGTGTGCAACTTTCTCTTTTCCCAAGAAGTCCCGCTGACAAACTCGCGCGCAGGCGACTGGTCGTACCCCGTCCTCGACGCATCGCGGGAAGCAGCTCGGCGACGGATACGAGACGAGGAGGACGCGCTTCTCTCGGGCAAGTACGGCGCGCATCGACGACGAGGAAAGGGCAAGGAGGCGCTGCGGCCGCCCGCTCAACATCGGCCAGGCTCTTACGGCGCTCTCGCGGAACGAGAACCGCTTGCACAACATGGCTCGTCCGGCGGGCCGTCGTGTTCGCATCGCGACAGTCGCTCGCCACGCCCTCCTTCCGCCGACCCTCTCCCTCCCCCTCCCGCTCAACACCAGACCTCCGCACCTTCCGACCCACCAACTTCAGCCGACCACCCGGCCGCACTTGGCTCGTCCATCATTCACGGCGCCCACGACCTCCTCCACTCGGCACCGGACGACGCAGCGCGCCTCGCTACTCGCTTGCGCCTGCGGAAGAAAGAGGAGCAGTCGAGGTTGCCGCCTGATGCGGTGGATCTGGTCGTCGAGGATACGCAGGCGGAGGAGGAGGAGCAGATTCGGCAGAGGCGGAGGGGCGAACCAGGTGGGAAGAAGACGAGGGTGTATCGCTTGGCGTATGTGCCGCCGGAGCTGAGGGGGAAGGAAGGGACGGACGAGGAGCAGGAGGAGCGGAAGAAGGGGAACGAGGTTCACGATGCGGTTCCGGGCGAGCAGGCGCGGGTCAAGGACGTTGTCGAGCGGGAGGAGGAGCAGGATGGGCCACTCCCGCCGCCGAAAGGGTCGGTGCCGGGCGGAAACGAGGGGAGGAAGGACGAGGTCGTGCGGATTGTGGTCGAGGAGGAGGAGCAGCAGGCGCGGCAGGCTGGCGTCGACGAGCGACCGCCCTCCGCGCCAGTTGGCGGATCGCACGGCGGTGTGCTCGACGCAGCAGACAACCCGTGGCGGTAATTCCACGAGTTCCCCCTCTGTACGGGTCGGCGACCTCTTGCGAGCGGGTTCGTTCTCCTCGCTCTTCGCTTCGTTCGCTCTCTTCTCTCGCTTGAGTTGCTGGTCGGATGCTCGTTGCACGGCTGCCAACAGGCTCACCACTCGTGCGCACGCTCGCAGCCCGCCGCTCGCTCGCCAGCTTCACCCCCACCAACTCGCTCTCCTCGGTCCACACTACGCGCGCAGACCAGATGCCGCCCGCGAATCCGCCAGAATGGCACGACTGGCGCATGGGAGTGCCCTCGTCCACCCCGACCGACTCGCCCATGCTGAGAAACCAGGGGAAACTGCCCCGTTTGCCGGTCGTCCCCCTCGAAGAGACTCTCGCCCGCCTCAGACGCTCGTGCGAACCCCTCGCAAAGGACGAGAAGGAGCTCAGGGAGGTGGAGAAGAAGATCGAGGCGTTTGGGCGGCAAGGGGGCGTCGGGCGCAAACTGCAGGACCTGCTGGAGCAGAAGCGCGAGGAGAAGGGGATGCGCAACTGGCTCGCAAAGGTGCGGCGTGTGTTCCCTTACCTTCTCGGGGTTGTTCAGGGGCTCCTCCCTGTCACTTGCGATGCGGTCGACCGGGAAACGCTCATTGAACCGGGACGTACTGACTCTTTGCGCTCTACAGGACTGGGACGAGCAGGCCTACATGGCCTACCGCGACTCGATCATCATCAACGTCTCGTACTACTTCGGGTGAGCTCGCTTGCAACGGGCCTGCGTCTGCTGGACTTGACTTGACCCTCGCGCGTAGCTTCGACCGCCTCCCGCAAGCGCCTCCCTCCGCACCAAACCCTCCCGCCGCAGACCCCGCCTACGTCGCTGCAAGCATCGCCAAAACCGCCCTCGAGTTCCGCCGACTGATCGCAACAGGCCTTCTCGAACCCGAACTCGTCGGCCGCAGCAAGGAAGACGGCGAACTCTGCATGGAGTCGTACAAGTGGGCTTTCAACGCTTGTCGCGTACCGGCGAGCCCGTCTGATTACGCGGTCAAGACTGCCGAGACGGATCCCGAAGCGCAACACTTTGTCGTCGTCAAGCGCAACAGGTTCTACAGCGTGCCCATCGTTGATGTGGCGGGACAGGAGTTCAGCGTCGAGGGATTCAGGAAGGCAATTCAGGAGGTTGTCGAACAAGCGGAGATGGAGGGCGACGCTGCGCCTCCAGTCGGCGTCTTGACGGGCATCAACCGCGACCGCTGGGCCGAGGCGCACGGGCACCTCTCCTCGAACCCGACGAACGTCAAGACGCTCCGCTCCATCCACCAGTCCGCATTCGTCATCTGTCTCGACGAGGCTGAGCCGTCGAGCAAGACGCCCGAAGAGAACGTCGACTTTTCCTGGCGCTTGTGGACGGGCGGTGAGGAGGCGGGAAACAGGTGGTGGGACAAGCCGCTGCAGTGGATGGTGTACCGGAATGGCGAGGCGGGCTTTGTCGGAGAGCATTCCTGCATGGACGGTGCGTCGCGCGTGCTTCTTTCGAGTCTGTCGTTCGGGGTTGACTGACTGTGCCGTCACGTCGCAGGCACGCCTACCGCTAGACTCAACGACTTTCTCACCAAGCGCCTTCTCACGAACGAGCCCTTCCCTCACTCGTCCTCCGCAACCTCCAGTACCCCCTCTCCCTCGCCACTCCCCTTCGAACTCGACTCGACCGCCCTCTCGCACGTTGAAAAGGCGCACGAGGAGCACCGCAAGCACATCGAGCCGTATGCGCTGCATTACCTGAGTTATGAGCGGTATGGAAAGGAGGGGATCAAGAAGATGAAGGCGAGCCCGGATGGTTGGTGCGTCCGCCTTCTCCGCCCGAGTCGACTTTACGGGTCTGACGCTTCTCGCGACTGAAGGGTCCAGATGCTCTTCCAGATCGCCTACTACCTCACCGTGCGTCCACCTTTTCAAGCTAGCGCTTCTCGCGTACTAAACCCGGTCCGGCATGCAGTTCAAGAAGCCCTGCGGCACGTACGAAGCTGCCCAGACGCGCCGCTACCAGCTCGGCCGGACCGAAACCGTCCGCATCCTCACTCCCGAATCCCTCGCCTTTGTCAAATCCCTCGTCGACTCTCCTTCCTCCTCGTCGGCATCCGACAAAGTCGCCCTCTTCCGCGCTGCACTCGCTCAGCATGGGAAGGACATGAAGCTTGCCTCCGCCGGGATGGGCATCGATCGCCATTTGTTCGGGTTGAAGATGCTTGCGGCGACCAAGCTCGGCGAGCAGGAGAAGAAGGAGGTGATGGAGGGTGACGGGTTGTTTGCGGATCCGCTGGTCAAGGAGAGCGGGACGTGGAGGATGAGCACGAGTCAGATCTACATTCGGCACTCGCCGGCGTATGGGTGCGTCGCGCGACTAGTCTTGTTCTTCGTCTGGTCGAGACTTTTGCTGATCTGCAGTCGCTGCAGCTGGGGACCCGTCGTCGACGGCGGACTCGGCTTGCCCTACATGATCCGTGCGTCCCTCCCTCAACCTCCTCCATTTCGCCCTCGCTAACCTCGCCTACCGCGCGTGCGCAGATCCCGAATCGCTCCAGCTCACCGTCAGCTGCCAAAAGACCGTCCCAGGCGACCTCTACATCAAGAACTTTGCCAAGGCCGCCGACCTCTTGATGGACTTGTTTGAGCAGGCGGAGCGGGACGGGCAGGGCAAGGCGAAGGCGTAACGGAGGGGTGAGCGTGTAGATAGGAGACGTTTGAGCTGTTGTAGACGACGTGCGAAGACAAGCAGTACCTTCTTGCTCTCTGGCTTCGGCCTTTGCGCGAGAGAAGCCGGAAGGAGCGATACAGCGACAGCGGGACAGATCTACAAGGAGAAGAGTTGACGACGGAAGAGCCAGACAAAAACGAGGAGGTACAAGACGAGGAAGCGCTTCCAGTCGACGCGCAGGTAGAGTGTGTACCGCTCGAAGAGCTGCACCTCGGCCAAGGCGAGCTTCTCGTACCATCTTGGTGGAGCGAGGGGAATGACCTTTGCGTCGCTGGGGAGAGGGGCGCCTGCGGCGTACGGCTGGAAGATGGCGTTCAACCTGCAAAGGAGCTGAGTTTCAAGACACTGAAGGAAGATTGACGCGAGGAGTCGCACCTCGTTGCGCTCGTCCTGGTCTTCTCGACAGTGTACCGGCCATCCTTGAAGACAACCCAGCGAGGGGTTATGCTGAAGCGCAAGGAGGACGAGATATCCTCGCCCTGCGGGAGGACAACACGCGGAATGACTCGCAGAGGCGCATATTGCGTCGCCAGGCTCATCAGCGACGTCTCGCCCAAGCAGCACTCCTGGACATTGAAGGAAAGCGTCAATCGGAGCCGTTCAGCGAGACGAGCAGGCGGCGAACCTGGTCAGGAGGGGTGTAGGCGACCTTCTCGCCGTTCACGGACTTGGTCGCCTGCTTGAAGAACTCGATCTGCAGGGAATGTGAGCGTTCTTAGCTCGTACACTGCTCGGGCCAGCAGGGAGCGCACGATGACCGTCTCGCCTTTGCCCGTCGCCCCGCCTTCCTCCTCGAGCAAGCGGTGAAGGTCGCGGAGGCTCGCAAGCTGCGTCGCGCCGTCGTCTGCCGGTATGAGTGCGGCGCCTTCCTCCATGTCGTCTGCGTCAGGTGTCGCCAGCGACGCAGGCATGGCGAGGGAGAGAGGAAGAGAGGGGAGGTGAACGGTGAACCCCGCGCGGTCAGATAAAGGTCGGCGAGCGGTACCGAAGGAGATACGGGCCGGCTCCCGAACAAGGTTCAAGCGACGACGTCAAGGCAAATGTGCGGCGTACATAAGCCCTGTGGGCTGAAGTACACGCGTAACTGGGAAGAGCGAACAGCGAGAGCGACGTTGAGACGACACCTTGACCTTCCCAAGTCGAGGCAAAAATCCGTCTTGTGCAGTGCATACAGGTCGTACAGGTCTACTTGGCCAACCGACGGGCCTTTTCGAGCTTTCGGAGGGCGGAGTGGAGAGGGTCGACGGTTCCGGGCGGAGGAGGGACGCCGGGAGGTCTTGCGGCGGCGACTGAGGGAGCAGGGTAAGCGAGTGTCGACGAGGACCAGCGAAACATCACGCACGACGCGCAGTAGCGACCAGCTTGTCTGGCAGAGCGTGCAGCTCGCGGTCGAGTGCCTCGATCGAATGAAGGAGGTCGTCTTCGAGCTGCGACTCGGTTTCCGCTTGGTCCCGCATGCGCTGGTACGCCAAGTCGACCTCATCGGCGAGAAGACGACTTGACTCGGCAAGCTTAGCAGCGCCGCCGGACCTCGCCATCTCCTTGAGACCAGCAGTGATCGCATCAAGCGTGCGAGCTGTGGCAGGGTCGACCTGCGGAGGCGCGACCGTCAATGCAGAGCTCGCCGCGGGACAAAGATTCCACTCACTTTGCGCCTGCGCTTGTGGTGCAGAGGTGAGCGAGAGGGCGGCGGGACGACCTCGTGGAGCGACGGCGTTACGTTGCGAGACGGTGGCGGGCTATCGATTGAGGACGGAGGCTTTGGCGGCGAGCGCTTGGTCGGCATACGAGGCGAATGTATGGCGTCGTCGAAGGGAAGAGGGGTGTTGCGATGGGAAGTGCTGGGAGAAGCAGGACGGCGAAGTGTTGCCGGCGAGGCGAACGAGCGCGCATTGGTGGGTGCCGGTGACTGCGTGGATCAAAGCGTCAGCCAAGACCTCGAGGGAGGGTAAAGGAGACGAGGGCACCCCATGGTCTCGCAGCGAGCCGCCTACACTCCTTACGCCGCCCAACCGCCTCAAACCGCCGAGCACTGTTTCCTCGATCGCGTCTAGGCCAGACCACCTCGCGCCCATTCGAAGAGCTGGGTCAATGAGGCGCAATCTGGCGAGGCAGTCGAGCGCGGCCTCGTACCCCTCCCTCGCAGGTCCAGGCTCGTCCGTCGCCTCGTACGCGCGGCCCAGCTCGTACAGCCCGATGGCTTCGTAAGGCATGTTCAGGAAGGTGTTTGAGAGGTCGAGGAAGGCGTTTGTCGCGGACGGGTAGTCGGGGAGGCGGGTCAAGGCGAGGCCGAGCGAGAGAAGGTACTCGGGATTGTCGGGCTGCAACTGCAGTGCGTGGCGACTGTGAGTGCAATGAGAGTCAGTCTGCTTTGATCCGCCAAGCGAGGACGCTGGTTGCTCACTGCCAGTGCAGAGATTCGTCGAGGTCTTCGTCCTCAAGCTCGGCAGCGAGAAGGTGCGCGATGTCCGGCTGCGTCTCGTCTGCGAGATGCCGGCATCAGCAGACGGCGAATGTGAAATGAGACCAGGTCGACTCACCGAGAACGAGGGATTGCTGCAGAAAGTGGACCCCTTCGCGACGAGCGGACGCAACGGCTGCGCCGAGATGAAGGTGAGCGAGAGCGTTGACGATGGGAACATCTTGTCGGCCGAGCTCTGCGTCCCCGAGCAATTGAAGGAGGCGAAGCTTCTCTTTCTCGAACTGTGCGAATGGGTGGTGAGTGAGCAAGTCCAGTAGGGAAGTTAAAGAGCCTACCTTCTGCATCTCCTCCCACGCCCTCCTGCGCATGTTCATCTTCGTCTTCTCGCACGGCAGATCGTACTCCTTACTCCTCCCAGTCTTGCGGAACGCCCGCCTCGCCGCACGCTCTTCTTCCGTGAGGACTGGGACGGGGAAAGGACCGGGGCGCAGCGGCTTGACGAAGCGACGCGCGGTGCTTGGTGGCGTCGGTGGTGTCGAGCCGCTGTCGACTTCAGAAGCTGAAGGAGAGGGGAATGAGGCGGATGAGGGTGCGGGAGTTAGAATGTCCGCTGCGAAGGAGGGCGAAAGCGTTTCGGGGAGAGGCGGAGCAGTGTATGTAGAGGCGGAAGTCGACGCGAGACGGCTCGAGGAGGGGCCTGCCGGAGCCGGCTCGAGGTAAATGTCGGTGGAAGGAGGAGGTGCAGAAGTCGGCACCCTGATCGTGGTCGGCCTCGACGAGCTCGACAACGAGTCGAGCGAGAGATTGCCGTGGCCGCTCAGGTCGGGTCCAACGGAGCTACTCGTCACCGTGGGCCTGCTGGCATCGCGAGTCAAGCTCGTCGTCTTGGACCTGCGAGTTGGCGAGCGAGTCGACGCAGAGACAGGCGAGCGGTCCTTCGCAATGTCGCCGTCTGTCACGGTCGGCGGAGTAGTTGGAGGCGGACTGGTTGGCGGCGAGCGAGGCGACCTTGTCGTCGAAGTTGTTGATTTGCCCCCGCCGAACGAGCTGGCCGTCGCAGTTGTAGTCTGTCTCGCCCAGCGCGCTACGTCGTCCATGCTCCGCCCGCTACTGACTGAGAGCGAACGGGTACGCCTGCTCGTGGCCAACTTGCTCGGTGACGTAGTGAGCGTGCGCAACGCTTCAGACGTCTCCTGCGTGGAAGGCTGCTCGGCTCGAGGCGTCTCAGTACCCGATGGCGGTGTGGAAGGCGGGCTTTGAGCAGGCGACCTCGACAGAGTGGGCATATAGTCGAGCGAGAGCGGCGTCGTCGGCGAGCGGCTGGAGGAGAGCGGGCTGGTAACGCTGCGAGACTTGCTGCGTGTCGGCGAAGGCGGCGCGGACTCGCTGCTCGGCGCTTGTCCCGGGATAGCTGGAGCGGTCGAAGTTGTCGTCGTTGAGGCGGTCAGGTCGGCAAGATCGGAAGGTTGCCCGCTGCGACGAGACGCTTTTGACGGAGACGGCGTTGCGACCTCCCGCGCCCAGCGCGAGATGCTGTCATCTCTGCTTCGAAGCGAGTCGGAGACTCCTTCGCGGCTTGGCGTAGCGCTCCCGAGCGGATTGAGCGGGACGGCAACCGTGTTTTGCGACTTGTTCGGCGAAGCGCTCGACGAGCGCCTGTGAGACGACGTGCGAGGTGTATTCTCGTCGACCGAGAGCGCCGCCGAGGCGGAAGCGCCGGGCCTGACTCCAGCATCTCGCGACGACGAGCTTTGAAATCGAGTCGAGCTGTCTGCCGCGGTCGACAAGCGAGACGGAGGAGGCGGAGACGGCAGGTCGACCGAATGCGAAGTGCTGCGCCTCGAAGTCGGCTGGTCGCTCGTTGAGGCGCGGCGAGTTGACTCGTCGGGAGTTGAGGCGAGGCGGGAAGGCGGCGGAGGAGAAGGGATGTCGATCGTGTGAGACGTCACGCTTGGCTGACTGGCTGACCTGCTGTGAGACGGGATCTGACCAGAACGGCTTGAAGTCTCGGTCGTTGGAGAGACACGCGACGGAGGAGGCGGCGAGGCGAGGTTGGTTGAGGGCGACCTCGCGAGACTTGCTGTGCGGTCATGCGACGAGGCGCGACGAGGGCGATTCGTCGACTCTGGGGCGGTGGAAAGGCGGGATGGCGGCGGCGGAGAAGGCATCTCCGTCACGCTCGACCCGCCCGTCATCGAGTGCCGGCGACTCCGACTTGTCCGCGACCTCGTCTCGCACGTCGCCGCATGACTGACCCTCGTCGTCGAGTCCGTTCTCGAACCCCTACTCTCCGCCTGCGGCGTCTCAATCCCCTCATCTTCGGGACCTAAGACTGAGCGCAAATCCGGACTCGCAACATCGACGCCCTCAAAGTCCCTCGGAGACGGGAACGGCGGCAAGTCCCCTCCATGTCTCTCGCGCTCCCTCGTCGCGGACGTTGGGGTTGTCGAGGAGAACCGAGGTGAGTGCGAGGAAGAAGCGGGGTCGAGGGAGGTTGTGGAGGGAATGGCGCGGGTGCTGGGGATGGTCGAGAGGGAGTGGTACGCGAAGCTATGCGGCGACTCGGGGAGAGGAGAGACGGTGTGAGGAGTGTTACCTTCGCGAGCGGGCGGCATGGAGGGGCTCCTCCTCGTTACAGTCGGAAAAGGCGAGTTGGCCGGCACATTCGGAGTGTGCGAGGACCGCGGCGACCTCGGGAGCTCAGTCGCATCACCGCTTCCAACACTCGGCTTCGTCTGGCGCGAGAGCGGCGAAGGCACGAACGGCATCGCCCCTCCTCCTGCAACCCTTGTCCTCTCGCTACTACTCCCACTCCCGCTCCCTCCGTCGACCTCCCTCTCGTTCGCAAGCGGAACAACAAGAGGCTGATACGCCCCTTCGTGCAGGTCTCGACGGACGACGTAGCGCGAAGAGGAGACGATTGACGAGGGAGGCGAAATCTCGGGTGATGAGTGCGTCGGCTCCGTTTCGGTGACGATGGGACCTGCCACGAATTCCTCATCAGCCCAACTCGAGGAGAACGAGCGAAAGGAACGCACTCAGCACCGTTCGTCCCCAATCTCCTCTCTCGCCCACCTGATTCCCCCACCAATCCACCAAACCCCCATCGTCCCTCACCCGTCCTGTATTCTCCACCCACTCCTTCTCGTACTCGCTCAACGGCTCATCGACCGTCGGACCGCGCAAGGTTCGACGAGCGGTACGGGAGGGCAGGTAGGAGTAGTGCAGGGTGCGATAGAGTGCTGGGCGGGAGTGGGAGGGATCCGGGAAGGAGGGGAGAGAGGCATCCGGAGGAGTGGGCATAGGCGTGAGGGTGCGGTCGGCTGGTGCCGAGGGAGGAGAGGCGGGAGGAGGGCAAGGCGAGCGGGAGCGTAGGGCCCCGACGGGCGAGAGGGGAGGAGAAGGTGACGAGTAGGCCGGTAGAGGGGGATATGACCCCTGCCGATGCGGAGGTGACTGCTGCGCCGTAGGAGGAAACGCGGAAAGGACAGGCGAGAGGATCGCTTCGCGCTGCTTGCGACGTTCTGAGCGTCTCGACGCTGCGGACGACAGCGGTGAGTCGATGCTGTCGATCTCGTCGAACGGAGGCGACTCTTCCGGCGGCGGACGAAGGGGAGGCGAAGTTGGCGGCGGGAAGAAGGCGTCTGCCGCTGCGGCATGTCCGTTCGCGTAGCCTGAGGGTGCATCTCTGCGTCAGTGGTCTTTCGAGTAGTGAGCAGTGTGCGGCGACGCACCAGTCGCCCCTCCGTACCCGCCCCAAACCCCCTCCAGCAACCTCTGCAACTTCTCGTCCCCGTCCCTCCCAACCGCATACTTCTCCCTCAACCTCCTGCGCCCCTCCGCCTCACCATCCTCACCGCGTGGGAGAGACCGCGCGGTCAAAGCAGGCGAAGGCCCGAACAACTCTTCTCCCTCTGCTCGTTGCGCAGCCGAAGCGAGCGCAAACAGGTCTTGCGGCGGTGAGACGCCTCCCAACGCGGCCGGAGAAAGCGTGGCAGATCGATTCGCGCGCAGGTGCGATGACCGGATTGAGAACGGCGCAGAGGTGTCGCTCCGAGGCGAGTCGGGTCCTGCGCGGTCGTGGTCGAGTTGTTCGGGCGAAGTGGTCAGAGTCGGTGCGAGTGGGTCGGCTGGGAGAATCGGCGGTGTCGTGGATGAACGGATTGGGTGTCTTCGCGGTGGACGAGGCGGAGGGGGAGTGTTGGCGGGGTGTTGAGGCATGCTGCGAGGACGGGGAGAGGAAGAGGCGAGAGAACAGCGTGGGCGGGGTGTGTAGCAGTGCAGGGGCAGTCTGAGCAGTCGAGTAGAGTAGCAGTACAAGCGGAACAGTCGAACGTAGAGTTATTGTCGAACTGATGAAGAGAGAGGAGGTCAGCCAGCTCGTGGGCGAGGCGAAGGAGGAGGAGCGTGCACGCACCGTCGCTGGAGGACAAGCTGGCGTCGTCGGAATACAGGCAACGTCGATTATGAGCGACCGAGCCCGGTCAAGGGACAGGCGAAGGCAAAGCAGGCGATCGAGGGCGTCCACGAGATCCTCCTCGCCCTCGAAGAGCGGAATCGTCAGCCATCAAGCCTCTCTTGCCTGCAGAGCTTTGTCACAGAGTGTGAGAGCACCGCTAGCCTCTCTCCCCCCGAGCCAGGCGAAGCACTGCGCAATTCTTGGGAATCTCAGTCGAAGAAGAACAGCCTCGAGCCCGAACAATCTTCCGTCTTCCTCCAGTCCTCCCCCGCTTAGTGAGCGCCTCTTAGAGCTCTCGGGTGGCGTGTGTTGAGTGGCTGTGGGACGCGACAGGCGGAAGAGGCGGAGCGCTTAGTAGCCGACCGAGATGAGGTAGTCGGCAAGTTCCTACGCGAGTGAGCGGTCGTCAGCTTCCCCCTCCTTCGACAATCCGTCCAGCTCTAGTCTGGCCTGAGCTGCTCAGGACTGATGCAAAGACCGCAATCGGAAGAGAAGACGAATGCGCAACTCACCTCGACAACCTTGGTCGCCTCGCCCGGCTGAGTAGGGTGCGCGTACTCTGCGACCAAGATAGCTTGCTTTGTCTTGACGATGATGATGCCGTCCGCCTACACTCCTCGCGCCCATCACGAGTCGAGGAAAGGGAAAGGTCGGCAGCCAGGTCAGCTCTCGGCCAAAGATTCGAGCGAGGGGGAATAGGACGCGCGACGCACCTGCTTCTTCCCATACACGCTCCTGTCGTCCGCACGGATCGTCAAGAATTTCTGTCCCTGCGCGCGGACGCCGTTCGCCTGCGCGTTCGACGGGTCCGAGTGGATCTTGATCAAGTTGTTTTGCTCCTCTTGCGAGAGCTGCGTATCGTCCGGTTCATCCCAGACCACTCCTCGGTCAGCCGGGTAACGCAGGGAGAGGGGGAGGAGCGGACGCACGTTGTAACCCGCCGACTGGGCCCAGATACCCCCTTGCTGTCCCAAGATCGCAGCCTTCGAGACCTTTCCCGATCCAACGAGGTTCGTGTCGACGTAGGCTGTATTGCTCACACAGTCCCAGCGAGCGAGGGACGAGGCGCGAGCGATGAGAGATGACGAGGATGAGAGCGGCGAGGAGGGGACGAGCGAGGGCGGGAGTTGGACGGGTCAGCTCGGAGTGAGTCCAGCAGTACGCCGAGAGTGCTTGCAGGCGCACCTTGCCAGGACATGGTCGAGTTTCGTGTGCGGGTTCGAGGACGAGAAGCGAGTCGGTCAAGGGAGGAGCACCGCCCAGACAGGGGACGACGAGCGAGCAAGGCTTTCTCTCTTGCACAGCGACCACGAGCGTGTGCGTATGGTGGTGTAATTACGGGAAGGAACGAGCGAGAGCGTGAGAGAGGACGAGGAGGAGAATGTCCCGAGTCTACACTGGCGACTGCTTCCGCACGCCGCATATCCGGTCCGTAACCTGTGCAAGCCGGAGCCAAGACAGCCTGCATCAGCCATCCTCTCGCATGCGAAACGAGCGGGGACGGGAGACACGGGAGCTCGTGGACGCACCTGTCGCACGCCTGGCGCGCTCAAGAAGTGCCCGATCACGGGCAGTTGTCGCATGAAGCTCAGCACGACGGGGAAGAAGTCTCTGTGCATGTCGAAAGATCGCTTTGATCAGCAACACACTTCCGCAGGAGAGAGGAAGGGATCGAAGGACAGGGAGTCCCGGCACGCACCCGAAGAGGTTGAGGAAACCAAACATCTCGATGATGACGCCGAAGAAGGGGTATTTGAGGAAGACGAGGAGGATGCCAGCTGCGAAGGCGACGGCTGTGGGAGGGAAGAGCGAGGGGAAGGAGGGGGAGCGAGACGTCAGCTACCGTTCGAACAGGTCCGGTGGGCGCAGCCCTGCTAGTCTCGCGGTTGGGAGACCGACAGAGCAGCCGCCAGTGCCAGTCCTGAGCGAGGAACTGCACTCACTCCCTCGCAGCTTTTGCCTCCGGGAGAAGAAGTACATCGTCTTTCTCAGCCCAATGATCAGCGGCAGCCCGCTCACGAACAAGATCTGCGCGCGCCAATCACCCCGCACTCGTCAGCTTCGTCCCGGGCTTCAGCTGCGAGAGCGAAAAGAGGCAGCGTACGTTTCCCAACGCAATCAAAGGCCCGTCGAACAGCATCACCACCCCGAGGAACATGAAGAACGCGCCGAACGACGTCAGGCCGACCTGTGTCCATGTGAGTGGTGCATTGGCGAGTCGTGCGAGGGTTGGGAGGTGATGAGAGATGTGGAGATTGAGATGAGGAGGGAGTGTCAGCTCGTGTCGCGCGCCGGGGGTCTTGGAGCGGGCGTGGACGATTCGTAGCGGTCCAGAGACTGTCTGCACGCGTCGACCCGACCGACCGGAGCGAGAGGAGAGCGAGCGTACGCCAATTTCTGCGCGACGAGGCGTCGACGACGACAAAGGTCAGCTCTCGCTCGAGCAGACGGTGAGGCAGCCAGTGACGAGCACGGGACTCACTTTGTGCGTCTGTCAGCCACATCGTGCGATTCGAGCGTGTCTAGCGGGTGAAGCGGCGGAGGCGGACTGACAACTCGCTGGAATACAAACTCGCATTAGTCGGCGTTCGTATTCGAGTGCATTACAACTTCGCACACGACTCTGCGACGATAAACACCCTGTCGAGCTCCTTCCCGCCGTCATACACGCTCACAGACCGCCACTCGATCACATCCCGCACGACCTGTTCCGTCCCGCGACATCGCCGAGGCGGATTGGGTCGAAAGACGCTCGGCGCCTTCTTTTTCCCTCGTCGCTGCATCGCGCGGTCTACCTCCTTCGCCGCCGCTGTGTCGCCAAAAGACACTGCCATCCACCCGGTATGATGTACACCGCTCACGGACCGACTCATGAACCCCCAATTCTCAACTCGGTCCTCGTCCAGCGTCCCGCCTGCTCCGCCGAACGTAATCAACACCGCGCCCTCGTCTTCCACCGTCCCACGCTCGCGAACGCTAGTGCTGCGCTCCCACGATCGTTCGAGGGCTGCGGCGCGGGCGAGCGCAGGGACGGCGGAAGAGTTTGGCGCGGAGGCGAAGGATGGGACGAGCGAGAGGGGGAGGAAGCCGCGCGTGTAGGCGTGCGAGTGACCGGAGAGGACGAGGGAGGCGCCAGAACGGGCGACGAGCGGGATGAGACGGCGGCGAACGTAGGAGGACCTGCGCCCGACGAGGGTTAGCTTCATGCTGTGCTCGAAGGGGAGGGTGCACGCACCATTCGGACTCTCCGCCCTGCGTCCACGCTGTCCTGTCCCACCACTCGATCCACGGCGCCGTGTGCACGACGACAACCCTCAAACTCGCCTCGCGCCATTCTCGCCGCTCGACCTCCCACTCGACCCACCGTTCCTGCGCAGCTTGTTCCGCCTCGGTCGGCAGATTCGAGTCGAGCACGAGGATACGCATGCGTTGGTGAGGCGAGGAGGAGTGGTAGATCCCGCGCCTGGAATGCACGGGTGTGATCCCCTCTTCCAGCCCTTCGTGGCGAAGGTGTTCCTCCCACTCGGGGCGCAAACTCGCCCCGCTCACTCCGCCCGAATAGACGTTCCGTCCCGTCGAATCCCAGTCGTGGTTCCCCCTCGCCAGCACCATCGGCGTCAATTGACCGCTCATCACGCCCGCGCCTCCGCGCGTAAGCGGGTCCCACAGGTCTGTCTGCCACTGCGCGAGGTCGTGAGGGTTTTGGACTGCATCGCCCGCGTGAAGGAGGAGGTGTGGCCGCTTGAGAGGGGAGGAAGTGGGGCGAGTGAAGGAGCGAGGGAGGAAGGAGGGGTGGAAGTAGGTTGAGGAGGAGAGGGAGGAGCAGAGCGAGGAGAGGCGGAGGAGGGCACGGCGGAAGACGCGCAGGTTGTATTGATTGTCGGCGACGCAGGCAATGTGGATGGTCGTAGGCTGTGGGGAGGAGTACCCGCCCACCCAGGGGAACGAGTGTCGGATGAGCGTGCTCGTTCGGTGTGAGGCGGTGTCGACGAGCACGAGCTCGTACTGGTACATCTCGCCGCCTTCGAGATCGTCCAAGAGTGCAGTGTAGACGACCCGCCCGCCCAATTGGGCAGTCTCCTCGACGACCGTCTCCGTCTTGACGACCGCATCGCTCCATCTCCCCGCCGACGCCAATCCAGGCATAGCCGTCCCGACCCTCCTTTCGCCCGCTCCTTTGACCCATCTCGCGCGCCACTGCTTGTCCAGCGAAGCCGGACAGTCATTCGTCTCCCAGACGACCGCGACTTGTCGTTCACCTCGGACGAACAGGAGGGGTTGTTTGCGGAGGGAACAGGGCGAGGCGCGCAAGCCGAACGGGAGGAGGAAGAGGGAGGTCCACTGAGCGCTGTGGGCGTGGTCGCGGAGTTTGAAGCGGGCGAGGTAGAGAAAGTCGATGAAGGGAGGGGAGAAGCGGGACCAGAGCAAGAGAGCGACGAGGATCAGGGCGAGTATTGCTACTTGTCGCCGTCTACGGTGGGGTCGCGGCGGTCGAGATAGCGGCTTCGTCGACGCGGCTTTGACTGGACTGGGCGGACGCGAGCGATTCTCGAGAAGCGGAAGGGGAGGGAGCGAGGATGCGACAAAGGCAGAATCGCCCGCGAGGCTCGCCGAGCTAGCCATGCGGTACATCGTGTTCCGTGGCGACGCCGTGGCCGAGTGAGGCGATCTGGTACGAAGGGCGCGCTGTGCGGGAGTGTCGAGACGTTGAGCGGAAGGGTCGAGACGAGGGAGAGGGGCGGACATCGCAGCAGGATGCGGCGGGACTGCACGCAAGTCTTTTGAGGACCGTATCATACCACGCAGAGCAGCGAACCGGACCTGCGCACCTGTTGTTGCGTGTACCGTCACTTCTCACTCGACGGAGCGATGAAGACGGTGGGGAACGTTGTGCGCGAGCGGAAAGCGCTGGGGGTGCTATGGACGCAGTCCAGCGTGTACGTGCATGCCAGCAAGCCCTTCCAAGCGGCAGTCCAGCGGTATGAGGAGCAGTGTCGCGCGACAACCTCTTCCTCCTTGCCTCGTTGCCCGTTTGCCTCGCTGTCACCGCTCCGTAGGGCTGCGAACCAGGTCCTACACAGTGAAGCATGCGTTTTCTGTAGGGTGCTTGTCTCTGGGGCGGCTCTGGAACGTGGTTCTCTTGCAACCTCGTCGTCTCGCAGAGAATTCCTCCCGACGGGCAAGAAGAAATTCCACGAGACGCACGAAACCTCAACGTAGCACTACCATCTCTGGCCCGACTGCCTCCTCGAGAGTGGGTAAAAGACTGACGCCTGAGCGGCAGTCGGCTGGCGGTGCGCGAGTTCGTGCGAAGTCGACGTTGGCTGGCCCTTCGATGCGCCTCGAGTCAGCTGGGAGCGTCGCTCGAACATAGATAGCGACACACGGCATGGTAGGAGAAGCCGCCGGGCGCGTGCTGCGAGATGCGGAAGGTCAGTGAGGAAGGTCGACGGAGGGAAGAGGGAGAATGTAGGACAGACAATGACACAGCCCGGGAAAGCGATGCTCTTCAGGAGGGCTCCGTACACCTCGCCAAGCATGCGGACGTTTCCTTCGCTGTTCACCGGGAAGACGTTACACACAGCCGTACCCAACTGAGGGAGGAAGCAAGGTCAGCTAAGCGACTCGGGCTATCGGCTGCTTAGTCTAGGCGCGGCAACGACTGACTAAAGCCGTGAAGATATCCTGGGGCTTCGCCGCTTCGGGCTGTACGGCGGCGGCGACCCTGGCGCGGTCTCCCTCCACTCGCTGGCGGATTCCATAACTGGCGGCCAGGTCCAGGCTGTCCCAATCGCGCTCGGGTAGCGTGATCATGACGCCGCTGCGAAATTTGCGGGCGAGGTCGGCTGGTTCGAACATGTGGAAATGGCGGCTATGGTCGAGGATGCTGAAGATAGCTTCGACGTGCAGTAGCACATACTTCTGGTAGGTTGAAACTGGCTCGCCCTGTATGATGGGTCGTATCAGTCGCCCACCTCCCGTGCGAGAACAGGCGCGAACGAACGTTGAAGAAAGCGAAGCCGGCAGACGCTTCCTGCAAACGCACTTGGTGTTAGTGTCGCGGTCTGGAGAATGGGTGAGGCAGCACGACAAACGACTATGTGGTTGGTCATCGCAACGCTCTGCAACAGCGCTCCATACACCTCGCCGAGCTCGCGCATCGTGTCGGCTTCGTTACGGCCGTGATCGACGATAGCCTTGTACACAGCGGCTCCGAGCTGTAGGCCGAGAGGTGAGCCAAATCTCGGCTGATCAGCGGCAAAAGAGCAACATACGATGGTCTCGCCAAAGACTGGCAGGCAGGGGGCCGGTTGAACGCTCTGCTCGCACTGCTGGAGCCACGCTCTGCCCACCGCCAGCTCATCTCGTTGCAAGCGATTCCGGAGCGTGCGAGCGCTCTCCTTCTGCTCGACGTGACCGAGCGTGCTGGTCCACCAATTCTGACTGACCACCTCGTAGACACCGGTCCGAAAAGCGTTGGCAGGTGGCGTGCTGAGGAACGATGCACGCGCGTCGGCACGGTTCATAGCGCTGATGAGACGACCGAGCGGCACGGCGAGGTATGCTTTGTAAGATGCAGGTTGCTGCGGTGCGTGGAAGGAGAAAGATTGATCAGCGCCCGGCATCGAGCGAGCGTACGAAGGGCTCGAAGTCACAGAGGGCGCAGGCATGGCTAACCTGATGTGTCTGCCGTAGGAGTCGGATGCACGCAGAACGGATCAAGTCGAGGAGGAGCAAAGAAGCGAGCGAAACGGCACAACGAAAGGACGTGCGGAAGGTCCACGGGGATGTCGGGACTTTCTCGGGAGTTCTGTGAGCCAGTGCTGTTGCTCGACAGCCAGGAAGGGAGGCGTAGCAGCAGGGCGGGCGTAGTCACCTAGTGCGTCGGTCGCCGCAGCAGATTCGGAGGAGACGGCGCCGGCAGGTCGCGAGGGAGAAGTAGGCGGCCGTGTATAAGCAAATCTGTCGGGTTTCTCGTCGAGTGTGTCGTCTGTGAGGAGTGGACTAGGGCAAGCTTTAAACGTGACTGCGCAAGAAAGGCCAATTGGAATCGGCGGAAGAGGACGAGGAGATGGGAACGCACAGAATTCAGATCACCCTTCGACTCTTGCTTCGACTTCTCCTCTCCCTCATCTACCCGTCCACCGCGATCTCCCTTAGAAGCACTCGGACGAGGACAAGCTGTTGGAGGAGTTGTCGGGAGATGACTTTAGGCGGAGAGCAGGGAATGAGTGATGGCGGTCGCAAGCGAGGTCATGGGCAAGAGCTCGTCGACTTCGCGACGGGTGCGGGCCCTCGCGAGTCAGCAGATTCGCCTACGGCGAGCAAGCAGCGATGACTGGCGGGACGAGGAGTCTCGAAGAGAAGAGAAGCGCACACTGTCCCATTCACAGGCTGAGCAGCACAATGAATCACTTGCTACCGCCCCAGTCCTCGGGATACGCGCGCGGCTCGTGGTTGTACGCCGAGAGGAACTGCTCGAGGGCGTGTTTGCCGGTTGCGTCTTCGGCGGGTCTGCAAGGAGAAGTGTGTCAGTAAAGGGTTCCTCGACCGCTACCCGTCAAGAGAATGGTAGCCAAGAGGGGTGGAGAGGAGAAGGGAGACGAGACCAAAACGGAAACGCCGCCTCACCCAATCTCCTTCCGCAAGATGCCCTTGACCAACTCGTCCTTCTCCATCTGCAGCTCGTTCTCCCTCGCCATCAGCGCCTCCAACTCGCCCGCAAGTCCCTCATGTTCGCCAATCAGGTACGCATACTTGGCCTTGGCGAGTACGTACGCGACAAACTCGTGCGAGAGGTGCGGGTGCGCCGCAAACGCAGCGAGCTCGTCCGCTCCGTACGTCGTCGCTTCTTCGCCGTCTTCGCCACCTTCGACGCCCGCAACACCGCCGTAGAAAGCCGAGTCGTCGTCTCCTCCGCCCGCTCCGAACGCGCTGTCGTCCGATCCAGCGCGCGTCTTGCGCTTCTTGCCCTTCCCCTTGCCCTTGCCGCCGCCGTCCTCGTCGACATTGATTCTCGAACCGGGAGGTTGGCGACCCGCAACGATCTTGTCGCCGTGCTGGACGCGCATGTGCTTCTGCAACGCGTCGGTGCGGGTGAAGGATTTGTCGCATTCTGCGAGCGAGTGGACGCCATTAGCGATCGTCGGTGACCGAGCGCGTCTGTGTCGAGCAGCGAGATCTCGCCAAGGCACACTTCGCCGCCGAAGAAAACGCCCGACTCACCCGCCCTCGGGCACGTAAACGGTTTCTCGCCCGTATGACTCCTCAAGTGCGCGACGAGCGCAAACTTGCTCCCCTGCGACTTGCCGCGTCGTGCGCACCCGGCCCAGTTGCAGATATACGAGGCGGCGGCGCCGCGTTTGTTTGCGGGGTGGTTCGGGTCGTCGAGCGGGAAGGCGTGGACTGCGCGAGGCGCGTACAGCGAGGTCAGCTCGAGGAAGGGCTGTTCGAGCGATCGAGAGCGAACGCACCGTCGTTGACGTGCTGCACGAGCGGTTCCAACTCCCAAAACTCCATCCCACAGTTGCCCCACTCGCACCTAGCCAGCGTCAACTGACTCGGATCGAACCCATATTTCTCCGCGCGCGTCCGTGGTCGACCAGCTCCCGCCGCGAGCTCGTCTTCTTCTGAGTCGGCTTCGGGGAGGGAGGAAGAGGAGGAGGAGATGGAGGGGGAGCGGCGGCGGCGTTTTTGGGAGGAGGAGGGGGAAGCGGATAGAGAGGAGAGCGAGGAAGAGCGGGAACGAGAGCGGGAGCGAGTCATTGTGCCTGCAGCGGCGGTTGCGGCGGAAGTCGAGGCCATGGTTTGGGTGGGAGGAGGCGAAGGTTGGGCGAGGGAGAGGTCGTGCTGTAGACGGGAGTAGATGAGTCAGCTGATCGTATTCGGTGGCTCTGAATGACTGTTTAGGTGTTCGTTGCGACCGCTACTACCCGCTTCAAGTCCGGCGCTGACGACGAAGTGAAGGAGGGGACTGGCATCCGTGCACGAGGCAGGCAGCCTGCCATAGCCCAGAGAGCCTCACAGCAGACGGTTCGAGAGCATGCGAGGCCCCTAGCCGACCAGACACCTGCGTCTCGCCCTCATCAACCCGACGACTCTGCGCGACAAACCACCGCACAGAGGCGCTCAGTGGACGTGGCGGGCGATTGGACGCACCTTGAGGTCCCACAGATAAACCTTCGCCCCAATCAGACTCGCCCTGTCAGCGTGAAGAGTGGTTTGGCGCGATGAGCGGGTCGAGAGGTGGGGAGACGAGGGAACAGTGACGGCGCGATACGGCGGTTCAAGCGGGCGTCAAGCGGGCCTGCAAGCAACCTAGCAAGCGCTTCGACCTGTCAATGCGCGTCCAAGCGAGGTGAGGATGTCGTGAAGCTCTCCAAGAGGCGAGGAACCCTCTCGAGATGGTCACTACGCGCGAGTGGCCCGCTAGATTGACATTGCGAGCTCATAGACCCCGCCCAAGTGCTACGTGAGACGGCCCCAGCCAGCCCAAAGGGACCAGCACGAGGCCGTCACGCCGCAAAGAGGACGTCTCCCTCCTCCCGCAAGCTGTTTCGACGACGAAACCCGCTCGAACGGGGCGCAAAGTTGGGCCAGTATAATCACCGCTCGAGTATTGAACCTTTGCTGTTTCGCAAAATGCGCCCCTCGCTCGTCCTGTCCCGTTTGCCGCTGCGAATGACGGGTGTCGGTCGTCGTCGAGCGCCATTTGACGGGCGGTTCGACTCGGATTTGGCTTAGTTCGAGTTCGTCATCGCGGTGGACAAGACTGGCCCTTTCTCATGCCGTGGAGCGAGGAGCGCGAGTGAGTAGTTGAAGGTCAACCCACAACCAGTCGCTCCCTCATCCTCACAAGCTCGTTGTTGACCGTGCTCGCGATGGAAGACCCCCTGACAGCCTCGCTCGACCTCCTTCGCCGACTCCCCCCGCAGCAAATCGCGCAGAACCTCGCTCTCCTCACAGACACTCTCCTCCCGGACCTCGCGGACGACCTCCTCTCGAGCGTCGACCAGCCGCTCGCTGTCAAGGTCGATTCGGACAGTAGGGAGTACCTTGTCAGTCCGCCGTGTCCCCTCGAGCAGTGTCGAGCGGTGGTGACGACGTTGACGAGGTCCGAGGTGGGGTGGGAGCGAGCGGGAGGGACTGGATGAACTGCGAGGGCTGGCGGGTGTACTGACAGCTTCTTTTGATGCACAGGTCTGCGACTACAACCGGGACGGCGACTCGTACCGGTCAGTCCGCTTCGCTCCTCCTTGTTCTCGACGAAGAATTTCGTTTCTCGGTGAAGACTGAAGGCGCAGTTCGTGGACTGACACCGTTGCTACCTTTCGTAGATCACCATGGACTAACACGTACGACCCGCCCTTGTCGGACGGCACCGAACCCTCGCCCAAACTCCGCAGCCTCGAGGTCTCGATGAACGACGCCTTCGACGTCTACCGGGATCTGTGAGTCGGCCGTCATACCGTCGCTTGAGTGCGCACCGAGGCGTCGGTAGACGCGGGCGAAGGCGTGCTGCTCGACGAAGATGTCGACGACCATCTCTGACGGTCGCTCGTCCGCCGCGCAGGTACTACGAAGGCGGCGTCTCGTCCGTCTACCTCTGGGACACGGATGACGGGTTCGCGGGCGTCGTGTTGATCAAGAAGAGTGAGTTACGCGGTCTCACGCATCTTTGAGCGGGTTCTCGGCGTTCGAGATTGTCAGGCGGCGGGCTTGCTTTGCTGGCTTGCGCGCTTTGCTTTGGCATTCGTGAAGTCCAACTCGCTGACAGAGCACCTTTCACCGCAGCGAACGACGCCGGCGCCTCCACCGCGTCCTGGGACTCTGGTTCGTCTCCTCCCTCGCATCCCCCCTCTCTCTTCCTTACCTAACTCGCGCGCTCGCTCTCGCTCGCAGTACACGTCTTCGAATCCCTCGAACGCGGCCGCCAATCCCATTACAAACTCACATCGACCGTCATGCTGTACATGACCAAGCCCATCAGCGTTTCGAGTGAAGTTGCGGGTGCGGAGGGAGCGGGCAAGGCGAGTGGGGAGGGAGAGGTGGCGCTTGGTGGGAGTATGACGAGGCAGGTGCGTTGCGCGTGCATTGCGCTTGCTCAGCCTGCTCGCAACTTTCCCCCAAGACAATTGCTGATCGACGGCGTCCGCGTGGCTCGCACAGCATGAACTCTCTGCCCCGCTCGACCCGACGTCCGCGGCGTCGCTCGCGCAGTCGCACATCGTCAACATCGGCAAGATGGTCGAGGACATGGAGCTCAAGATGCGGAACTTGTTGGGCGAGGTGTACTTCTCCAGTGCGTTGCGGCGCTCTGCTTCTCTCTCTCGCCTGTCCTTCTGCTTGATGGCCGGAGATTGATGCTCCGAGAGGTCCCCGACCCGCACAGAGACGAAGGACATCCTCTCGACTTTGCGGACGCAGAACGGGCTCGACGAGCAGGCCAAGCACCGCGCGCTGCAGGGCGAACTCGTCGGCTTGCTCAAGGGCAGGAAAGTTGCTGCGTAGGGGCTTGCGCATCGTCTGCATTGCGTGGTTGTACAGAGTGTCGTTCGAGGGGACGATCGAGAGCGCAGTTGGGCGAGTTGCCGTAAGAAGGCCCTCCTAGCTCTGGCTCGCTTCTTCTTCGTCCCGCTTGTTTCGCTGCCTCGCTCTTTGACGATGCTCGAGTCCCTCTTGATGCTGAGGACGAACACGCACGCCCAGCCCGCGATTTCTGTCGAATTCTTGACCGAGTGAAACGAAGAAATGACGCGCGGAGAATTCAAGTCCGCAGGCAGAGTATACGACGACGGCGGCTCTCGCTGGCTCTTGCCCGTCGTTGTGTTGCTACAGACGCTGTTGTTGTGCTGTGTGAGGGTGCTACAGCTTGCCAGGCGTCGTTGGAGACTGTTGCCATCGCCCCGCTCGTTCTCTCAACATCCTTATCGCCTCCCGCTCACAACGATGCGACTCTTCCAGCTTGCGATCCTCTTGCTGGCGACGTTTGGAGCGGCTTCACCGGTGGAGTTGCGGAAACGAGCGAGCCAGCCGACGGGGTTGTCGAGCGGCAGTGCGTTGCGCCAAGGACAGGTCGACGGCATCGGGAAGTTGTTGAACCAGTCGGCGACCAAGAGGTGCGTAACGTAAGATTGCGACGCATGTTGTTGAGCTAAGAAGCGTGCGCGCCCAGCTGGGAAATCGGCACCCACCTCGAAGCCGTCCTCGAGCTGAACTACCCCTCGCTCTCGCCCTTCTCGACCTCTTCCTCCTCTTTCGCCTCGCCCACGCCGTCCGTCTCTCCCTTTCCGACCGAAATCATCTCCCTCGTCGCGCCCGTCCTCTCCTCCCAACCGAGCGGCCAACTCCAACTCATCCAAGACGGTTCCTCCGCCGACCCTGCGTCCGTCGGGCCTTTCGTCATCCTCGCGAACTTGACGCTTAACAAGGGAGGAAACGTCGGAGGCAAGAACCAGCAGCAGCTTGAGGAGGTCGCGGCGGGCCAGTTGAAGGCGCTTTTGGAGCAGACGCCGAGGAGTAGCGATGGGGCTATCAGTCACAGGACGGGGGATGCCGAGCTGTGGTCTGACTTTGTCTGTGAGTGGCGTGGACGTGTCCTCTAGTCGGGGCGAGGAAGCTGACCTTCGCGTGCTCATTCGCGCAGACATGGCTCCTCCCGTACGTCTCGCCCTTTCTCTCTTCTCGCGGGCAGACCGCGCGCTAACTCCCTTTCAACGTACAGTTCATCGCCCTCTACGGCCTCGCAACACAAAACACCACCCTCCTCCAAACAGCCTACGACCAATGCCGCCTCTACCGCTCTCACCTCCAAGACCCGCGCACGAAGTTGTGGCACCATATCGAGAACCCGAATACGAGCGGGATGAAGGATCCGGGGTTGTGGGCGACTGGTGTGTAGCCTTTCCGCGGCAAGGAGGAGGAGGAGGAACTGACGACTTTGTCGAGCAGGAAACGGTTGGGCTGCGGCGGGCATGCTGAGGGTCCTTGCGACGATTCAGAACTCGGGCAACGACTCCCTCGCCAACGAACTCAAGAGGCAGAGTCAGGATCTGGCGGCGTGGGTCAAGGAGATTGTTGATGCCGCTTGGGGGATGCCGCAGGTGCGTTACGCCCGTTCTGCGCGGTCTGAGGTCTGGCTGGCTGAGCATGCTTCGTTGACAGTCCAACGGCCTCCTGCACAACTACCTGAACGAGACGTCGACGTTCGCGGATGCCTCCTCGACTGCCCTCGTCGCCGCCTCAACATACCGTCTCGCGCAACTCACTTCCCGCTTCGACCCGCTTTCCTCCTCCGCTCCGTCCTCATCGTCCCTCTCCTCCGCTGAATCAGCCTACAAGACCCTCACTTCTTCCTCGCACCTCTCCTCCTCCGGCGTCCTCGCGCCCGTCGTGAACCCCTATTCCTACGGCGAGCAGATGTCCAACGTCAAGCAGGACGGGAGCGGGAATGTCTCGCCTGAGGGAGAGGCGTTTGTCCTGCTCATGGAGAGCGCGAGGAGGGATTACCTTGCGAACGGAGGCAAGGTGTCGAGTTCGGGGTCGGGCGGTGGGTCGAACGGAGCAGGCTCGACGAAGGCGGCCGGGTCGAGAACGTCGAGGACTGTCGTGGCGCTTGTCGTCGCCGCGAGCCTGATGATGCTGGCTTGACGAGGAGCGATTCGCTTCTTCCCTTTCCCTTCTTCCCTGCTTTCTCGCTTCTTATCGTCACGTCCTTGTTGTTTCCCCCGTTCACGCATAACACTTGTATTTATCGCTTCTCATAGCATATACACGCCTGGAATCGCTTATGGTAGACCGCTTCACTCTGTCGTCCCTTTCCCTCCTTCCGTTCACTTGCTGTCCGCAACTCGCTCTTCTCCCGTCTCGCCTCCTTCTCGTCTATCGAGAAACAATGTCCGACGACCCCCTCGCGTCGCTCTCACCCGCCCAGCGCGACTCGTTCGAGACCTTCAACGCTTTCACCGCTCGCGACTCGAAAACGCCTGAGGAAGCGAGGAAGAGCGTCGAGATGCTCAGGGACGCAGGATGGGATGTGCAGGTGCGTCTTGTCACTCGCCAACGGTGCTCGGGCTGTCCAGCGAGGTCGAGGACGAGTAGGGACTGGACAGCGATGAGGTGGGGAGGGTGACGTGCGGGACGATGCAGGGCTACCGAGGGGTTACGGACGGCACGGGCAGATGGAAGACGGTCTGAATGCGCTGCCTAAATACGCACGGAGCCCAGCGCTGTCGTTCTCGCACTTCGAGGAGAACCTGTCGCAGGTTCGTCGGTTCGGGAGGCGAAAACAGCTTGCATCGCCGTCAGAACCGCCGTACTGACGCTGAGTGCACCCTCTAAACAGACCGCCATTGCCCGCGTGTACGACGAGCCAGCCGGCTCTGCCGCCTCGACTTCTCGACATGCCTATCCTCCGACAAACGACGCTGCCGACGGAGTCGACGAGGCGCTGCTGCCTGGTGCCACGCAAAGGAGGCATAGCGGAACTGGAGGTCTAGGAACAGGCGCTGTTGGGCTGTACTACTTACGACAGGTGCGCACAACGGCCTTTTCCTCCAGTCTCGCAAGCTTACGCTCCGCTCGCAGGCTCTCGCTGTCCCCATCTCGATCATTTCCGTCCCCCTCGCACTACTCTACAACTTCGCCTCAGCTATCGTCCTCTTCATCGCCCGCATCTTCCGCCTCCGTCCCGCAACAGCCTCGTTCCGACCGCGCAACCCGTTCGCGGGCGCAGGTCGACCTCGAACGACGCTCTCGCCCGCCACGGCGGCAGAACAGTGGGTCCAGTCAGTCGAGCGGACAACGGGACTCGCGCGACGGGGCGGGCAGGACAACGCGTCTGCCGCTTCGGGCGTACAAGTCGGTTCTTCGTCCGGCCTCTCCCGCCGCTCGACTGTCCCGCCGCCGGGCTCTGGTCCGCGCCTTCCTGCCTTCTTCATCGGCGGCTACGACCAGGCTCTCCGCGTCGCGCGCGACGAGATGCGCCTCATGATGGTCGTCCTCACGAGCGAGGAGAACGAGCGGGACGAGCGGTTCAAGCGGGAAGTTTTGACGAGCGAGGAGGTGAATCAGGTTCTGGAGGAGGAGAACGTGATGGTCTGGGGAGGGGATGTGAGCGACAGGGATGCCTACCAGGGTCCGTCCGCGTATCCTTCTGGCGTTCTTCACTCGCTGACATCTTCCGCTTCCGCAGTTGGCCAGACGCTCTCGTACATTGCGCTGCCCTTTGTCGCCTTCGTCTCTCTGCAGCCTTCAGCCCCGCCCGGCGTCTCGACAAACCCCTCGACCGCCTCGACCGCTTCCCCCCGCCTCCGCCTCATCTCCCGCCTCGAGCCTACCCCCTCGAATCCCCTCACAGCCGCCTCCCTCCACGCACACATCATGACCTCCGTCCTGCCCCGCGCAAAGCCGTTTCTCGCCCGGCTGAAGACACAGAAAGCCCAGCGGGAGGCAGACAGGCGCGCGAGGGAAGATGCGGAGCGGAGGGTGTTGGAGAATGCGAGGAGGGACGAGGAGAGGGTGTTGGCTGTACGGCGGAGGGAGGAGGTGCGGAAGAGGGCGGAGTTGGCGGAGCGGGAGAGGCGGGAGAGGGAGGCGAAGGAGAGGGAGGAAAAGGAGAGGGTCGCGGCGTTAGCGAGGCAGTGGAGGAGCTGGAAGAGGGGCGAGCTGGCGCGGAAGGGAGAGCCGGCAGCGGATCAGCCTGGAGCTGTGCGGGTTGCGGTGCGGCTTGGCAGCGGCAAGCGGGTGATGCGCACGTTTGCTGCGGCGGATGGGACAGAGGAGGTGTACGCGTGGGTTGAGTGCGAGCTGGAGGAGGGCGAGGAGGGCGCGGGCGAAGCTGCGACTCCGCCGGCCGGATACCAGCAGCGATACCACTTCCGCCTCGCAACGACTTTCCCTCGCCAAGTTATCCCGCTTCCCTCGCACCTCGCGTCGCCGTCGACCGCCAACCTCACCGGCAGCGCTTCAGCAACAATTACCGTCGGCGAGGCGTTCAACGGCTTGGGCAAGACGGTCAACCTGGTCGTCGACGGACTGCAGGAACGGCGGCGGATGAGTATGAGCAGTCGCGAGGACGAGGATAGCGAGGAAGAGCTGGAGGAGGAGGATTGAAAGGGGTCGTATTCGCTGCATCGCCGTTCCTGTTTGACGTCTCACGAGCGCGGGCGAGGGAAGCGAGAACTAAGGTACTTTTTCAGCGAGGCCATGCGATGCGTAGAGCTACAAGGGGTGAGGACTAGTCGACATACAACACCGATGAGAGATGCGAGGGGGACTAGACAGGAGAATATGTGGACCGATGCGGGAGAGACGGAAACCTGACAATGACTGATCCCACGAGCTTTGCTACGTCGAGCGCGACTTCTTCTTCGACTTGCGCTTCCTGCCGCCGTGCGTCGCAGTCGAGGCGGCCTCGTCGGATGGCAGAGGGTGAGGATCGCCGAGCACGACGATGTTGCCGCCGTCATCGAGGACGACTTCGCCAGGTGCATCGTCGTCCGTCGTGTCGGTATCCGCGCCGTACGGCACCCTCTTGCTGCTCTTCTTCTTGCCCTTGCCGTCTTCGCCAAAATTGCCCGGACTCCTTCCGCGCACAATCAACATCGCGCTGCTCCACCCGCCCAGCTCGACGACCGTCTCGTCCTCGTGCACGGCGTAGAGCGTGCAGCGCACGAGGAAGTGCTTGTCCGTCGCGTTGGCGGCCAGGCTGGGGTGGTTCGCAGTCGAGTGGCGGAACTGGACGCGGCGGAAAGTCGAGGTGTAGCGGTGCAGAGTTGGCGTCGACGTCTCGGCGTCGTCTTGCGGGCGTTCTTCGTCCACCTTGGGAGGCGGCGCGGCGGACTCGAGGACCTGGCGGCCGAGCGTGACTGCATCCCTGAGCTTGCGGTTGCCATCGAACTGGAGCAACTCGGCGTTCGCACCCTTCGGAAACGTCGCGCTCGTCAGACCGACCTCGACGTGCTTGATAGGCGAGAGCGAGTGCGACGTGCGGAGCGTGTCGAGCGCGAGAGGCGAGTCGAGCGAGATCGTGAGGGTGAGGAAGTTGCGGCGGTAGGTGCGCCAGCTTTTGAGGGTCGGGTCGTAGGTAAAGGACGAAGGGTTGCCGATCGTGGGCGAGAGAGGGAGTCTGTGCGGGTGACCTTCTGTAAGTATCGAGTCCCGGCCGCGAGCTGAAGTCAGTCCTTGAGAAGAACCCGGACGCACTCGTTCCCATGCGCATCAATCACCCTCACATCCTCCTTCTGCCTCCAAGGCGCAAAGAATACCGTCTCGCTCGTCCACTCCCCAATCTCCTTGACATCAATCACCTCAAGCGGCTTGTGAAGCGACTGGCGAGTCGAAGTCGTGCGGACTGGACTGGTTGCGGGAGAGGTGGTGGCGGTCGAGGTGGACATGGCGGAGGAAATGGAGGAGATGGAGAGTTGCCGGCGGTGCAGGGAGGACACAATGGACGACTTGGAACGCTTGCGAGAAGGTCGGTACTCGCCGCCGTCGTCCGCCTGGTCCGCTGCGTCGTCCTCACTCGACACGTCGCCGCTTTCGTCGTCGATGTAGATGGCGCGCTTCCTGCTGCTCCTCGTCGGGCGGCCAGTCGAGCCTTCGTTCGCGACGACCTTCCCAAGTTCGTCTTCCGGCGTTGCCGTCGTAGCGGGCTCGTAGGCGGTCGTGACAGTCGACAGCGAGGACTGCGAAAAGCGCGGCCCGGGCTCGACCGGCTCGAACGGTGCCGGTGATGCAGGAAGGAAGAGCGGCGCAGAAGATTGCGACGAGGCGAACGACGAGATTGCGCCTTGCGAGTCCGTGCGCCCGCTCAAGCCATCTTGCAATGTTGAATTCTGCTGAGTCGAGTAGCCGGGCGAGGTCGAAGGCGGAACGAAGCGGAAGCCGGCGAGGGAGGAATCGACTAGGGGTGAATCGGCGTGGTAAACCGGCGGGATGGGGGCGAACTCGAGCGGACCAGGTGCGGGAGGGAACTCAGCGTAGGTGGAGGGCTGCGAGAAGGAGGTGGCAGAGAAGGTGGAGGTCGGGTAGATGGGGGCGAAAGGAAGAGGGTGGACGGACGCTGTCGGCGGAGGACTGCGTGTGCGGAGAGGCTCGTCAGCCAGCGTCGTACGATGACTTGAAATGTCGACGCACGCTTCATAGCTAGTCAATGACGTCTCTTGACTAGGCGACGCAGCGTATGCGAAATTCACGGACGCATTGTACGCCGACGCGGGAGCGCAGGAAAAGCCGAAGGGGTATGTCGGAGTGCTGGAAGGTACGGCTAGACCACTCGCGTCGAAGATAGGGTACGCCGGAGAAGGGTGATGAGAGAGGAAGTGCGGAATGGGCGGAGGGAAGAGCGCGTTTGCCGACGACCCGGCCGAATAGTTGGCCGCCGGACTTGCGGCAGCATACTGCGCGACGTCGGAGAAGCCAAATGGGTGGCGGGGAGGTGGGTGGGCGAGGTGAGCTGGATCGAGAGGTGAAGTCTGGAACTGCTGGAGGAGCTGGGCGGCCCAGCTGACGGTGCAGGGACGGACTGAGTCGTCGGACGTGCGGTTGTCCGGAGCGTCCATTCGCTCCCGCTGCGAGTCGGAAGAGGGAGGAAGCGGAAGCGGAAGAGGAGCGAGGCGGGGAGAAGGGAAAAGAGGGGAGGAGGTGAAGACCAAAGCCGGTTGACGAGGGAAAGCCGGGTCCGGAGCGACTCGAGGGAGTCTGCAGGTGTAGGGCTAGACGTGGGCAGTACTCCGGAACGATCCCGCGGCGAGAGAGGAGCGACGCACCCGTTGATCCGCTCAGGAGGCGAGTCGCGCTGCATCCCGCTACGCCGACTTTCCGGCCGCATAGAGTCAACAAACTGCATGTATGCACGCTGAAAACGGCTCGCACGAGTCTCCGGTACACCGCAAGCCGTGTGAGACGAGCGAGTCGCAACTGCTAAGCGAGGATGAGAGGATGTGGGGCTTGCGGCGAGGCCGCGGGGCTCTTGAGCACACTTTGAGCGCCCGTTTCGCTCGTCAGCGGCTCAGGGAATCCCGTCCGTGCCAATGGGAGGAGGGAAGGCGAGTGTGGACATGTGCAACGCCGTCGCTGGCGTACCCGGTGAAGAGGGATGGTCTATCAGGGTAGCAGGACACTGTCACGTCAAGCAAAGCAGCGTCGTGAGCAGTCGAAGCCGAGCGACAGCACTTATAGCGTTTCGGGGGTGTCCAGAAGAGCGAACGCCGCATTGAGCGGGCTCGCTCGGGGCGTTCCGGGCGCAGTGTCATCGGACCATGATAGCGGCATGTCCCGTCACTGTCCGCGAGGTCTGTAGAAGGAGAACGAGGTCGATGACGGTGCGTCGAGGTCGAGGAGGACGAGAGAACCGCCCGACGCCGTTGGAAGCCTCGCTCCCGGTCCGAGCGAGTGTAGACAGAGTCGAACAGGGACGCAGCAGCCACAGCGGGACGCTTGAGCGATGAGCGAGGTCGTGGCGTCCGCCAACTTGCTCGTCGCCGTCGAACCTGGCTTGGGTTCGTTCTCACCACTCGCTCTCAGCTCTTCTTCCACGTGAGCTTGGTTTGAACACTGCTTGGCTTTTCCTAAGACCGTCGGACTCGTCTCGCACGGCGAAGCGGCGGTGGGAACGGGTCGGGGACGAACGGGGCGAACGATTCCATCGGATGGAGCCGAAACACGGCGACGACGGCTTGGGACTGGCTCGGTTGGGTTGATATGGATACAGAGACGCTGGATCAGGCTATGGATGAAGTTGCAGACATCCCAGTGCTGTGTGGACGCCATGCTGACCTCGCCATCTTCTCCCCGTCGACCATCCCTCCCGACTCGCCATTCGCGCTGATCCCGCGTCGGATCCTGCCTGTTGCACCTCTTGCGTGAGTCTTACAGCTTCTCTACACCCTGCCGCGGCATCGAGGTAACCCGGATCTTTCTCCCTCGCCTTTGCCAACCTCCGTCAGATTTGGACCCCCGCTCAACAACTTCGACCGAACCCACCGCTTTTCTCGCTTTTCTCGACACGCCAGTCGCTTTCGCAGACACCTATCCGCACCTAAGCAACCATGACTCGCAAGCTCTTTGTTGGTGGAAACTTCAAGAGTGCGTTCAGCGGCCCTTTTCTCTCTCGCTTGCCAGCAGACGGGCGCGATGCTCCGCGGCGGGCTGTGCAGAAGACAAAGGTGTAGCTGACAGTGCCACTCGCACAGTGAACGGCGACCTCGCCACCTTGACCAAGCTCGTTCACCAGTTCAACGAGGCCGACGTTGATGTTGAGAGTGCCGGTGCGTTCAGCGATATCCTACCCCAGCTCCTTACGCTCTCTCTTTCGTTCGGAATCGTTCGGAAGCTCGCGAGCTGGCTGGTCCAGAGTAGGAGTGGCTGATCCCCCGCTACTCGTGCTCGCAGAGGTCGTCATCGCTCCTCCCGCGCTCTACCTTCTCCCCCTCAAGGAGCTCGCCCGCAAGGGTATCTCGGTCGCCGCGCAGAACGCCCACCAGCTCCCCGCCGGCGCCTACACCGGTGAGATCTCGTGCGTCGCTCGATCCAGTCTTTCGGCTCGCAGGCTTCTCGTCGCAAGGACAAGCAGCTGATTTGAGGGTGTCCATGTTCGCAGGCTCCAGCAGCTCAAGGACATCGGCTTGAACTGGGTCATTCTCGGACACTCGGAGCGCCGCACCATCTTCCACGAGTCGGACGAGCTCGTCGCCGAGAAGGTGCGTTCCGTCACTCTCCTCACCCTTCTCTCGCTCGCCGTGAACTCACGCAAAATTCGCCCGCAGACCGCCGCCGCGATCAAGACCGGCGTCTCGGTCATCTTCTGCATTGGCGAGACGCTCGAGGAGCGCGAGGGCAACAAGACCGAGGAGGTCGTCACCCGCCAGACCGACGCCCTTGCAAAGGTCATCTCCGAGGAGGACTGGAAGCACATCGTCGTTGCTTACGAGCCTGGTGCGTTGGGCGGTCTCACGGGAATGCGTCGCAGGCGAGTTGGGCTGACTTGGCGCGACGTTTCTTCTTTGCCCCGACTTTCACAGTTTGGGCTATCGGTACCGGCAAGGCGAGTCGCATCATGAACCCTCTTGCCTGGCACAGAACCGGCTAACCCTCTCGGAACCGCAGGTCGCGACTCCTCAGCAGGTTCGCCTTTGCAACTCGCCCGCCTCTCCGACTACCCGTGCTGACTCGAAGCTCTCACCCACAGGCTCAGGACACCCACAAGGTCATCCGCGACTTCATCGCCAAGCGTGTCTCGCAGAAGGTCGCCGACGACACCCGCATCATGTTCGTCCCGCCTTCTCGTCTGGCTCCATTCGGCTGCGACGGACGCTGACCCTACGTGCGTGAACAGCTACGGTGGATCGGTTAGCGGCAAGAACTCGAAGGAGCTCTGCTTCCAGCCCGACATGTGCGTCCAGCGCCCGCGCCGCTCCTCGCCCTTTCTTTCCTCTCGCTCGTCTGCTAACGCAGTCAACCCAGCGACGGCGCGCTCGTCGGTGGCGCAAGTCTTACTCCTCAGTTCATCGACGTCATTCGCTCGGCGGAAGAAGCGTTCGGACACAAGGCTGCTAGGCTGTGAAGCAGCTCGTCTCTTCGCGGACTACTCCAGTCGATGCGATTTCTTCCCATACCTTCCTGTATATCTCAGTAGCTGCTAGTGAATCCAACCCAGGTAGGCTGCGTCTCAGTGATCCATTCCGCGACGTTCTCGCGCAGACCTGCTGTAGCGGTCCGGTTTCCGTTGTGCGGACGTCGCTGAGGCTACTGTCTTCGATACCGCCGCTTGACGCGAAGTTCGACTTTGACCTGCGCACAACAGGCAAACCCGCAGCTCTCGTCGTGTTGAGGAAGGCTCACCCTGCTCCTTCACCTCGTACCACCCACTTGCATCCCGCAATCTCTGCCGGCCCGCTCCGCTCCGCTCCCGCCCGGACTCACGGTCATTCCCGCTCCGCCGCGACCGCTACCCGCCGCCGCACGGCGCCGCCGCTGGGACACGCCTCCTCGTGCGGGACGTCGTTCTGGTCGACGTCTTCGGCATGGATAAGTACAAGGTGCATTGGCGCTTTCAAGGAGCAGACGGTCGCGAAGAAGGGTGCGTACACGCTGTCCAGCGAGTCGTCGCGTATTTCTTGCTGACCTCTCTCCTTCCTCTCCTTAGAGGCGGGGTATCTCGCCTTTGCACTACTCGAGCTGCACTCCGTCACTGACACGTCTTCGTAGACGTTTCTCGTGCAGGACGATGTGTCGCTGTTGATCGTGGGCGGAAGCGAGCCCATGTGAGTGCCGCTCGTTGGCGTCCCTTGTGTTTCTCCGCTACGGCTTCCTCAGCGCGTACTTACTCATCCTCACAATTTGTTCCGCGAGCCCAGCACAACGCCAGGACCGTCGGTCGGAAGTTTGCAAGAAGGAGACGAGCTCGTTTGGGAGCTTCGAACGATTACCGTGAGTCGCTCCGTCCGTCGCGTGTTCCGCAACTTCTTGCTCCCCGCTGACACTTCTCCCAACTCTGTAGGTCGAGTCCGTCCTTGAGCGTGCCCGCCCCTCTTCTGCAACCCTCACTTGTACGCTCGCCTGCTTCGACGGCATGCATTCGGGACCTACTCGTGTATTCTCACAGCCTCGCATGGCGCCACGCTCTCTCCGCAAGCGACCCTGTATCCTCTCCTCCCTTCTCCCCCAGTCTCTCCCGGAACGAGGCTGGACGACTCCGTGTGGAACGAGGACGACGACACGCTGCTCCATCGTTCCGTGGCTCGTGAGGTCTTTAAGGACCTGCGATACACGAAACAGAAAGAGTACGTCTGGGACCACGTCGTCGTTCATGGTCGTGCGGTCGCAGACGACGGAACGCAGACTCTGAGTTCTGCCTCGCGTCGCCGTATGTCGAAATCCGCGCCCTTCTTCCTTCGTAGAGGACTGATGGCCCTTCCTGCTCAGGTCTCGCTCAACACGCGCTCAGTCAGCTCGACGACCCGCTCCCTGCCAGCACCGTGCCCCAGCCCTCCTCCGCCCACCTTCTCTCCCTCCCCGACTCCATCCTCGCCAAGATCTTCGCCTACGTCCAGCCTCTGGGTCAGAGCTTCTCACCTATCTGCCGCCATCTCCTTCCTTTCACAAGCGGCTTGATCGCTGCGATCGACGCCGCCTTCTCGGGCGAGGCCTTCCCATCCCCTCGTCGCGCGCCTCAAGCCCATCCGCTCCATCCGCTCTCTCCCTCTGCATTCGAGACGCTTGCCGCCCTCCTCCGGTCCGTCCAAGCCCAGCAAGCGCGCCTTGCACGCCCTCTCGCAGACTTCCTCGTCAGGATCAGTCGCGGGGGCGCACTCGGACCCGCTGGAATGCTCGGTAAGACGGACGGGGGCATGGCGGGATACAACGACGTGTACAGTGAGGCGTTGCGCTCGCATTTGGAGATGGAAACATGGGTTGCGGCGGAGGATGTCGAACGCATCATCGACGACGTCCAGTGGGTGCTACTTCTCCATTTCCGTCTATCAGCGTACTGATCCGGTCGTCTCTCCCTCGTTTGCAGACGCGTGAGCCACCTGCAGACGCCCGTGCAGCATCTGGGGTGGTATCCGCCCGACTACGAGCTCACAATCTTCGACTCGTATACGACTTCACTCCTTTACGAGCGGTTTGGATTTGCCGACGTACGCCTCTCCCTCCAGATCATTCTAGCCTGATGCGCGACTGATCGGTTGACCGGGATACAGCCTATTACCGACGACCTCCTCAACAAGCGCACGCCTCTGCCTACCCACCTCTCGCTCCCTCCGACTGCTCGAACTCTACCGGATCCCGGTCTGCGCAAGGCGACCGAGCCTCACGACACGGGCTTAGAAGATCGCCTCTCACGGCTCGTACTCGACCGTTTCCTCGCAACGATTCCCCGACTTCTCGCAGGCGACACCTTCCTGATCGCTGGCGGCAGACAGATCCGAGACTGTTTCAAGCGCGTCGTCCCGGAGATTGGGAGTGTCAAAGTCTGCATGGTCGACGTCCAGCTGCCCATTCGCTCCGGAGGGAACAAGTACCTCACCCTCCCCGGCACTTCGGCCACTGTTCCCGTCGTGCGTGAGGGTTCAGTGATTTGAGATTGCGCACGGCTGACCCTCGGGTGACCAGCAAATCGCCTTCGCCAACATCGAGGGTCGTCTCCAGGTCTCGTCCGTCGCGGCTTTCGTCACCCACTGGTCGTCGGGAAAGATTCGGTCGAGGTTCGGTGGTGGCATGCAGGCTTTTGCGGCCTCCAGTGGACTTGTGAGTTTCGTGTCGTCCTCTGCCCACTTCAACCAGCTGACTCTGCTCTTCTCCCGCAGGACGGCTTCGAGAACTTGGGCCACCTCCTAGCGCTCGGGCTCGACACTCCTCCGAGTGCGTCAGCCTTCTTACTTTAGCGTCACCCGTGCTGATCATTGTCCAACAGCCCTCTCGTCTTGCTTTGCGGCTGATACCTTCCCCGGTCGTTTCGTCCTCCGTACCGACCCGAAGGAAGTCATCCGGCGACAAGATGCACACGTCGTCGAGGAGCGCGCGAGGGGTTTCCCCAAGACGGTCGCCGAGATCTCTCTCGAGATTCTCCAGCTGCACGTCCTGTCCGGGAACCTTCTCGACGTCCCTCCTCCTCACGCTTCTTCGGTCGGAGAAATCGCGCCCCTCATCCCCGCGGCTCGTAACCCTCCTCCCTCGACCACCTCCATCCTCTCGTATCTTTCCGCCGTCACCAACAAGGCCTCCCTCGCCCGACCCATCCGCCTTCCCTCCGGCAAGCTCGTCCCTCTTCGTCCGACTGCCACCAAAGGCGGACATGTCCGTGGAAGGGTCTCGGCGGGAATCGCCGTCCAATGGACCGACGACTTCTTGCGCGAGACTCTCGACCTCGTCAACGCGCTCGGTGGTCGCAAGGCGCGCGCTCAAGTGCTCGCTGAGCTGGCTCGTCGTCATCCGGAGCTTCCCTTCCTGCGCCGCACCACTCCCGACTTGTTCTACGAGGCCTTCTTGATGGCGAGGGTTCGGGCGCGGAAAGGCGGATCACATTCCGCTGCGACGTCGCAAGAGCTCGGCGCCTTCGCGCACATCCTCATCTGGACGCCGGCTCTCTTCGACGCGATCGAGAAGAAGATCGAGATGTACGGTGGAACGCAGGCGGGGAAGTTCGATGACCGCGTCCAGCAGGAGCTCGTCAAGGAGTTCCCCGACATGTCTGCCCTCGCTCGCATGACCCCGTCCCAGCTCGTCGTATCGTACCGCGCTTTCAAGACGCATGCCAAGCAGGCGCAGCGCAAGAAGGACGTGAAGGCGGGCAAGGAGGTCGAGCCGTCGACTATGATCAGATGGACAGACAAGCTGTACGAGGCGGCGGAGGCGAAGTTCAAGAAGTATCCCGGCTCCAAGGATTCCGCGTGCGACCCTCGCATCCTGACGGAACTGGCGGCGGAGCACTCTGCCTTCTCGGTTCTCGCGAAGGTCACGCCGGTCCAATTCTACCAGCGCCTGGCCGTGCAACGCTCGAACCGCCGCGCGAAGACCTCTGCCTCTCTCCAGCCCCCGGCGCCAGGCTCGGCCTCGTCCGCCGACCCCCCTCAGCCCGTCGCGTCTGTCTCCCTTCTCCCTCCGCCAGCTCCGCCTGCTGCTGCTCTCCTCTCCCAAAACGTCGGGAGCTCCTCGACTTCGCCGCTCGACACCCCTTCCCAGCAGCCCTCCTCCCGCCGCAAACGCACTGCCCCGGAACCCGACGACTCGTTCGCGGCCCTCGCTCTGCCGGCGTCGTCCGACCAGGCTCCGCAGGCTTCGACCAGTGCCGGACCACCCGCCTCTGCGACGTCTAATCAGCAAGCGGTGCCCGTCAAGAAGCCCCGCAAGGCGAGGTGGAAATGGACCGCGGAGCGCGAACAGCGGATGCAGGAACTACTCGCTGAGTTCCCTCCGGTCAAGGCGCAAGGCGGTACCCGCTTCCAAGCGGAGATGGTCAGACGGTTCAAGGCGAGCGAGCCTGATGACCAGCGGCTGCAGGACATGGACGCCCAGGAGCTTCAGGAGGTATGGCGCCGCCTTTTGCGCACGAAGACGAAACGGGCAAAGCAGGCAAAGGGTGCTGGAGCTGGCGGCGGCGGTAAAGGAGGAGGAGGTGGCGGTGGCTCGAGCGGGCAAGCGGAAGAGATGGATGTCGATGAGTAGTCGGTAACGGTCAAGGTGATGGCTCTGCGGAGACGAGGTGATGGCTCTGGGGATGGCGTGAAGGAGATTAGCTGCTTGCAAGGCATCGGGTGATGGCTCTACGTGTCTTCGGGGAGAACGGTGTTGCGACATTGACAAGGAACCGCCTATGCTATCGTTCCTGCTCCTCCTCTCCTCTTCCCCAGCGACGTGGCGGCACCAGGTGTCCGACTCGCCACAGGGATCCGCAGTCCACTGCTTCGGAAAAGACCTTGCCGACTCCGCCGATTCCAGGAAACTTTGTACAAGCGATTAAAGCCTGCGCCGGACGAAGCGGTTAGCAGGTCTTAGAGGACGCGCAGAAGCGAGTACGGCTCACCGACACATCCTCTTTCGTGTCGAAGCCCAGAAGCAGATAGCCGAGAGGTCTTCGGGGTTTGGCAAGCTCACCCGCGAGGAGGAGAGGTGGATTACCCGTGAATCCCGCCGCATCTGCCTTCTCCCTTGCCCAGCGTACTCCATCCTCAACAGTTCCGCTCGTGAAGGGAAAGCCGTACAAGATGGCTGCGAAGACGTCCTGCTCGGGTGCATAGATGTTGTAGCTTAGCAGGCTTGAGCTCACGCCGGGCGGAGGAGGCAGAAGCTGTAAAGTTCGGGCGGCACATTGCATGGCTGAGGCGGAAAAGGGCAGTTGATCCCGTGTGGTCGGTCGCGGGACGGCTTCGGCAGCTCTCGCCCAGTTTGGCGTACTCGGGCGTGCAATGGGCTGGGGGCAATATGCGGTGTTCTGGCTGCTGTTGCGGAGAACGAATCTGCTGTCGTCTCGAATTCTCGTTCCATCGTAATTGTGCGATCCAGGAGGGTGTGTCGAGAACTCGTTTGGAGGAAGCGTAAAAGGCGGCGGCGATGCGACTGCATTTGCCATTGTCGGCCCGAGGGGGTAGGGTATCGGGTAGTTATATGCCGTCCCGCCGTAGCAAAGCGGCGCGGGAGGAGTGCCGAACCATGAGAAAGGGTCAAGCTGGAACGGAACTGGGCAAGGCATCGGAAAGAGGGAACCGAAAGAGGGCGGGTTCGCTGGACCGTACGACCAGTCGGTGGGTGGTGGTGACGTTATCGGCTGTGACGGGAGTGTATACAGCGCTTGTGGTTGTTGGCAGCCTCCTTGGGCCAGAATGGAGTGCGAAGGCTGAGGAGGTGGAGGCGGCGGGTCGGGCGTTGTCGGCGGAACGGAATCTGTGGCGCCTGGCGGCGAGACACCTTCTTCGCAAACAGAAGACGCCTGCGTGCGGGCTGTCCTCCTGTCGTCCGCTGAGCGCGAGGGGAACGACGTCGGCCGAATGTTGGGTTCAGAGCGGCTACGGGCTAGGCCGCGACCAGAAGGCGAAGCGCGTATACTCGCGTTGAGCACAGCGAAGCTGGACATCGTTCTGGCCGGTTGCTCGCCCGCCTGAGCGGGTATGCTCGCCGGTGCAGCCTCATCAATCGTAGCTCGTGACGAGGACGTTGTCGGCGTGTGCTCGCTCGTATGCGACATGAGTGCGAGTCGTTCGCTGTTGCAGCAGATTCTGGGTGTAGCTACAGGAGTAGCAAGCTAGGTGCGAGTCAGTGGGTGTGAGCAGGAGAGAGTACGACTCTGCGGCGGGGAAGCTCTCCCTCGACACCACACTTGTCTGCCGGGCTTGACTGGCTGCCCGTGCTACTCGTCCACTCTTTCTGACCACTGCACGCTGTGTAAACTCCGCCACGCCGCAAGCTCACTGCACCTGTCCCTCTTCGAACCTTCATCAGTTCATGCTCCTCCTCGCTTCACAAGGGCCTGGACGATCGGGGTAGTGACGCAGAATGGATCATATGGGTCCAGAGGAGGAGGAGACGGTCGCCAAGTCGCGGCAGGATGGTTTGGCAGACGGCAAGTCGGGTTCGCTTTCCCTCGGCGATTTTGCTGTTCTCGCCGGCAGTGCTTCGCTGCACTCTCGTCGAGATACTGCTTGGTGTGTCTCGCCGACAAAGCGCAGCACTTTTCGAAATGGTTGGGGCGGACCTCTACCTTCTTCCCTTCCCGTCTGCTCCCTGGCCCCGTCAGGCACTCGCTTCAGCATGCTACTGGCCTGAATTCCCGCGCGCAGTCATTTACACCCTTCCAGCAACTCCCTGCAGTCGTCTCCCTTCCTCCTTTACCAGCCTTTTCCTTCTCCTCGCACCTCGCATCCCCTGTTGTGCCGCGATCTGCCTGCCAGATCGTGGCATCACAGGGGGGATACATAAAGGACCCTTCTCTGCCGCATGCTTCCACATCCCCCTCGGTCAACTCGGTCTCGCCCTTCGCGAAGAGCCACACCCTCCCTCGCCGCCTCGACCTGGTCAACCATGACCTGTTCCTCTTCTTCGCGCCGACGCCCTCTCGACGCGCCCAAGCAGCCACTTCTCGCCTCACTTGACCGCAACGCCGCCAGGCGTCTACTGTTGTTGTCCCGCCGTTGCCCGCATCGAGCGGCTACTTCGGCGAGCCGTCCTCGCACGGCTTGGGGCTCGACTTTGCCGCCCCATCGCTCGCATCTCTGCTCGAGGAGGCGCCCGACGCGGACACAAGGGACAAGAGTCGAGTGAGAGTCGAGTGCCGAGCGCGATGGTCGTTGACGAGGCGGCGGGCGTCTCGCGGGAACCGCGGAAAAGGCCGACGACTCGACCTGTTGACGTCTCGTGGCGAGGCGAGGACATCAGCCTGTCGTTCGGCCACTTTGACGTCCTCGGCACACTTGGGTGCGCTCGCTTGCCGTAGCTTTCGCTTCGTCACAGCGCTGACACCTTCGCCTCGCAGCACTCGCACCTTTGGCCTCGTCCTCCTCGTCCGGCTGCACGCCTCCCCTCCACAACCGGCGGAAACGCAACCGTACTACTTCGCCATGAAGGTACTCGAGCAGAACGTGATCGCGCGGTTGCGGCAGGTCGAGCAGGCCAACTTGGAACGGACAACGCTCGCGCACTTCGACCATCCCTTCGTCGTCGACCTGTGCGTGGCGCTGCATTAGTTTACGCTTGCTGGGGGCTGATAATCGGGCGCGCGTAGCTGTTGCGCCTTCCAGGACGGAGCCAACCTGTACATGCTCCTCGAGTTTGTCCAGGGCGGCGAGCTCTTCTTGCACTTCCGGCGAGCCGGCCGCTTCCCCCCTCCCCGAGGTCTCGCGCTTCTACATCGCTAACCCCGCCTTCGTCCTCGAGCCGCCCCTCAAGCAGGCTATCGTCTAGCGCAACTTTGAACCCGAGAAACTTCTCATCGGCCTGGCGGGATGCATCAACGCGACTGTTTCGGCTTGGCGAGTTATGCTTCCCTCTCTCCTGACACGAAGTGCTCACGCAACGGTCTCACGCAGACCGACTACGTCCAGGACCAGGCCTTCGTCCTCCTCAGCACCCGTGCGCCCCTCTTGCTTCCTCTGCTCCTTCTTATCCACTCTTCTGCATGTGGAACTGACTGGTATGCTCGCAGTCGGCGCCTTTGTGCCCAAGGCGACCGCCGCAACTTGCCACACCGCGCTCGCCTACCCAATCGCGATGTCGGGTGTCGTCCCCATCCAGCCTCTCTCTCCTCGCTCACTCATCTTCAATCGCGCACCTAACCTCCGACTACACAACCACATCTCTCCACCAGTCGCCTCGCATCCTCGCCCACTCGTACTCTCCTCCTTCGTCTTCGAGCGCTTCGTAAGATCTCACATGATGCTTGTATTAGCGGACCTCTCCTTGCCGAGGATGTAAGCCGTGGAAAGAAGTGCAAGCCAGCCGTTTCAAAGCGAAGTGAGAAGGGAGACGAGCTTGGAGAGGCTGAGCAGGTCGGGCAGCGACGCAATGAAGACGCCCGAGCGCTGCGCGAGTAGCACATCGAAGCGAGGGGCGCTATTATGCTGTGGGAGAGCCCGAGGAAGAGACTGTAGCGGTTCCAACCCGTTGCAAGACGGAGGAGTTGAGCGATGTCGAGCAGGGTGTCCCGGTGGTCACGGGCGATAACCCGCATCGTGAGAGACGCTGACAGTGCCCGCCTATTCCGTACTGAATACATGTTCCGTCGGCATTGTGTTTCCCCCCTTCGATGCGGCGTGAGGCGGTCCAGCGGAGGAGAAGAGGGTGGTGATGAGGACGAAGTTGGAGACGGAGCGAGGCAGCGGGGGCTCCCATCTGGAACAGGCGCGCTGAGTAGTGCTTGCGGTGGTGTCAACAGCGGTTGGAAGGCCCTTGTACGCCCAGCAGCGGGTCAAGGAGACGGATGGTGAGGACGAGAAGTGGAGGGAGAAAGTTCATCTTCCACTCGAGGGGAGGCTGTGTGTCTTTCTGCGGAAGGTTAGCCAGTCCAGCGAGGAATTTCAGCTCGAGGGGAGGCAACTTTGGTGTCCTGTGCGAACTTGGCCTGGTGAAAAGCAAAACGAATCGCCGTAAATACGACGACAAGTGTTTTTCTCGCTGGTTTCTTGCGCTGCTGAGCTGTTCCCTGGGGTTCTCATTCATGTATGACTTTTCTAGGTTTGCTGAAGAGCTCGAAGCCGCCCGTGTACTGTCGCTGAATCCCCTTTTCCACCCTCTCTCGCCCTGTCTCGGCGCAAGCAAGGGCTACTGCAGGCAGCGTGAGCCCTGCGAGCGTCCTTGAGAGGAAGCTCGAGCCGGTAGAAGGCAATATGGAGGAGTGAGGTCGTCCGCAAGCTCGAGAGATGCGGTTTCGGGAGACAGCTGACGCGGCGCGGAGCAGTCAGCCTCGTGGATAGCATAGAAACATGTCCAAAGCGACGCAGTCCAGGCGTAGCCGCCGCATGTCCTCTCCATTCCCTCCATCCAGCGAAGTCCTTCGCACCCTCCTCCGTCTTGCGCCTTCTCCGCCCGAGACCGACCATACCCGCCACAATAAGAGCCTTACAGTCACTCATAGCATAATGAGAGCGTCCAGATGGCCCAGCTCCAGTCCTCCGAGGTTGTCGCAAGGAATCGTTCGGAGCAGGAGTCGTCAGGAGGAGGATGGATAGGCGATACGAAGGCTTGTCGGAGTTGAGGAGCGTCTGTGCGCATGACTTTGGTAGTGAGCAAAAGATAGTCCGGGATTGTAGCGCAAGTGCGTGCGACGAGTTGAGGTGGAGTCGGCTAGTAGCGGATATGGCCGCCTCCGTTGCTCAAGAGGCCCAGAGGCATACCCGGCGAACTTGCCCTGTCAGTCGAGGGCAGAGGAGGAGGGAGTGACGTCTAGGACTCAGGCTGGTTGTAAGTGAGCCTAGCGGTGATGGTGGAGTTGAGCAGGAGGGGTGAGGCGAGAGTGCTGGAAGGAAGCGAAAACGAAGGAGGTACAGTCTGTGAGCGCTAGTAATAGCTGCGCAAGCTGTGATCCCGGTCCTGCAAGCCAGCACAACGAAGGGGCAAGTCCAACAACTGGTCGGGAGCAAAGGCGAAGAGGAGAGTGAGGAAGGGGAAGCGAGTGACCCCGCTGCGCGCCTGATTGACTCGCTTCGGGACCGCGAGGCTCGAAGCACTCTTTCATGACTCCTTGAAAGCACTGCCGACCACGTTGCTCCTCCGTGGGCCCTCGCTGGTCGAGGAGGACGTTCGACTGATGAGAATTCGAGCGGGCAAGGCAGGCGGGTGAGGGCCTTCGCAGGACTCTTGGACGCAGCCCAGCTCTTGAAGCAGATGCAAAATGCTGGAAACCAGGCCTAGCACGTCCGTTGAGCCGAAGGGAGGTGAGTTGCCGAGAGTCAAGCATCTTCGCTCGTCGGCTTGCTGCTTGCTGGCCGTTGGAAATCCGCCCTTCCTCCAGCTGAGCGTTATGGCGCGTCGTAAACTTTGGTTTGGTGCTGTATGTCCTCAACATCGAGCTACAGTGTCCTCCGCAGAGTCAGCATCAGCTCCTCCTTTTCCTGCCAGAACTCGCCGGCCGTCGCAACTCGTCGTCGAGAAAGCGTACTTTCCAATTAGCACCAACTCGTCGACGCGTTCCTCAACCACGCAGGCATGCTCCGAACCGGCGTCATGTGGAGCGAGGCGAGCCTCATGAGCAAGCGCGGAGACCGCCGAGGGTAACTTAGTCTGCCTCGCACGCGCTCTCGGTCCGGTGCTCCTCCACTGATCTCAAACCTCCTGCTATTCCGACAGACGACTAAAGTATGTACTGTGCCTGTCCGAAGCTGCGAGAAGCGAGATGGAGAGAGGGCGACGGACGACGCTGGCGGCTCAGCGGATGCGACCAGCAATCTGGCGGACACCATCGATCCGGTGAGACACAGCACCAAGGCCGAAAGACCGAGTAGCATTGCAGGATGGCGATGAATCTGCGGTGGGGGGCGAAAGAGTCAGCAGGAGCGCGAGGAAAGTAAGCACGGCCAGCTCGTCAACGACGAGATACGTGTAGCGTGTGAGAGAGAGCGAGGGTAGGGCCTCCGGTTATCGCTCTCTTGCACTTGCCGGTGTAACTCGTCGTCTTCGGAGTGGAAGCGCAGAGGGAAAGGGCGACTCACGGCTTGTACGGTGACGATTTGTTGCCGTGACAGGGAGATGCTGACTTGTCGAATACCCTCGTCAGTTGTGAGCTAGGTGCGAATGAGCGAACGGGCTCACGGCGAAGGGGAAGAGCGAATGGAAACCTGCGAAGAACGAGAGCGATGTCAGTGTGTGTTCCTCGCAGGCTCAGCTCGACTCAGGACGAAGGGACTGCAGGTGTGTGCGAGAGGAGCAAAGGTAGGTGCGCCATTTATCGCCCTCTCGCACATGCCGGAGGTCCAGTCGTCCGCGTCAGGCTTGGGCGTGAGAAAGATGAACGACTCACATCGTGTACGGCGTCTCTCACGGTGGTTCGCCCTGTATACATACTCTCGTGAGTCGCGAGCTTGCCTGAGAAAGAAGGAGAAGCCTCACCGCCCTGAGGAAGGGAGGGGAGTAGCGAAACCTGCGAGCGACGACGAGCGGGACGTTAGTTTTCGCCCGCGACAGCTCCAGCCCCGGACTGGACGAGGAACTGCCAGCGTGTGTGAGAGGGGCAAAGGTAGGGGCGCCTTGTATTGCGTCCTCTCGCCCACGCCGGTAGTCCTTCGTCCTTGAAGGGTTGAGACGAAGGGAGGATGGGGCGACTCACGACGATACCATTCTCGATGTCCTCCTACGGGCACGCCCTTGTCAATTGCGAGCCATGGAGCGAAGGCAATGGCGAACGCACGGCCAAGTAAGGGGAGGAGCGAGGGCGCCGACGAGGATGCGAGGCGGAAGAAGCGAGTGAGCGGGTGTGGGAAGAGTACTGGCGTTTTCTGCGGTCCATCGAGAGTCTAGCAGGCGCATGAAACAAGCCCTTGAGCGAGAGCGAGTGACCTGTAGGAGGTCGAGAAGCGCGAGCGAGAGCGCGCGAACTTGTTCACCGACAAACAAACGCGCTCCCGCTCTCGACGCGCTCGAGCTGGCTCGCACGTGCTCTTCCTGCTCACACACATGCCTCAGCCGAGCCCGTCGGGCTGTCCGATCCTCCGCCGTCCCCGTCTGCGCCTCGTCAGCGACTAGTCGACCAACTCGCCTCGCCGTCGACGACGACCGCTTAAGATGGATGAGCAACGGCTGCGATGGACTCTATGGACGGCTGGGAGGACAGTACGATGCGGAGGAACCCGTACGAAGACTCCGTCGACCACCCTGCTCGTCCCGCTCCCCCTCGCACGGTCAGCCTCGCATGTTTGCACGGGCTGCCGCGGTGTCTTTGACGTTCGGACCAGCTTGTTGCATCTGCTTAGCTGTAGCGGTTCTTCCGCCGCCCGCGCGTCAAGCTTGACCCGCTCAAACTCAATTGTCACAGGCTTCGACGAACGGTCTGGTGCGTTTCGCTCTGTCTAGCTTGCTCGCTTAGACACGCTGACCACGCAGCACTTTGCAGCACTCCGACGAGCTACAAGACATCACGGTGAGGGGTGTGAGTCGGTGCGTACGAGCTTCCCCTCCTTGCGGTTGTGTCTGCTCGGCTGACGCTGTGCTTTCGTAGGCAATGCTTCTCGACAACCGGATGAACTCAGAGGAGAACTCTCCGATGTCAAGTATGAGTTGGTCGTGGCGGGAAAGTCGGACGAAGAGAACCTGTATCGCAAGGGTAGGGCTCTCCAGGTTCGTACGTGTTCTCTCGTTCGGCTTGCGCAATGAGCTGATAACGGCCAAGTCGACAGACACACCTCACCGGCTACGAGAACCCGAGTACCCTGATGCTGCTCGGCAAGCGCGAGGTCCAGTTTGTCGTCATCGCTTCGAAGGGTGAGTCCGCTTCACGCTGGTGGAGTGAAGGTGTGGATCCATCGCTGACCCTCTCCGCCACGCAGCCAAGGTGCCGCAGCCTCCTCTCGAGGCGTCAGATGGATCGGACGACAAGAAGGTCGAGGTGGAGATCTTTGACGCGCTCAAAGGATGAGGCGAAACACAAGAAGCTGTTCGAGCAGGTCGTCCAGACGATTGGCGAAGGGGTGCGCATCGCTCTTCCTTCCTGAGTGGCTTACCAGCTCACGCCGAGCGCTCACAGAACAAGGTCGGCGTGCTTCCCAAGGACAAGATGTTGGGCAAGTTCGTCACGGAATGGCAGAACGTCCTCAAGGAACGGACACGGACTTGACGGGGGTCGACGTTGCGAACGGCGTGTCGACATTGCTTGCTGTCAAGACTCGGAGGAACTGGTGCGTCCGCTCCTCGCACTCGACCGCCGTCTTTGCTCACCTCCCTCATGCTCCCGCAGCAAAACGAGCGCAACGCCGCCAAGATGAGGAACAAGCTCATGAGTCACTTCAGCGACGTCATGTCGGGCTACATCGACGAGGGCAAGAAGGTCACGCACGAGCAGCTCGGCGAGCAGATCGAGGCGAAGCTTGAGGACAGCAAGTTTTGGAAGAATGTCAAGCTGGGCGACGACGTGAGCTGCGCCCGACAGACGGATGCTGACTCGCCTTTCTGCAGTTCGAAACCGGCTTTGGCGACTGGTGCTACTCGCCGATCATCCAGTCGGGCGGCAAATGCGACCTCAAGTCGTCCGCCGTCACCGACGACCAGCGCCTCAAAGCGGGCGTCATCCTCTGCTCGCTCGGAATGCGCTACAAGTCCTACTGCAGCAACGTCGGACGGACCTTCATGATCGACCCGACCAAGGTGCATCTCCTCCGTCTTCGTCGCCTCTTCCTCCACGCTGACGCTCCTTTCTCCTCGCCTGCAGGATCAGGAGGAGAACTACCTCTTCCTCATCGACCTGCAGAAGTACGCGATTGGCGAGCTTCGCGACAACGTGACCTGCAAGGACATCTACCAGAAGGTCGCCGACAAGATCAACGCCGACAGGCCCGACCTCCTGCAGTACTTCGCCAAGACCGCCGGCTTCGGAGTGCGTGAAGCTCTCCAGCTTGTAGCGCATACGACGCTAACCGCCTTTCCTGCAGATGGGCATTGAGTTCCGCGACCCCGCCTACCCGCTCTCGGCGAAGGGGACTCGCCAGCTCAAGAGCGACATGGTGGTTGCGCTTACGCTCGGCTTCAACAACATTCCGGATGGCAAGAACTCCCAGTGCGTCCGACTTCTCCCCTCTCGAGCCGCAGCTTACTGACGTTGGGTTCACGCAGATACGCCCTCTCCCTCATCGACACCATCCAAATCACGAAGGACGGCGGCAAGATCCTGTCGGAGGGCATGAAGGGCAAGGACGACGTCATGTTCTACATGGAGGTGCGTAACGCGGAAGCGCAGTCCCTTGCTGCGTCGCTGACGACTCGCTCGTAGGAGGAGGACAAGAAGCTGTCGCGTTCCGCCCAGAAGGACGCCCACACCCGCCGCGACGCCGCTCCCACCGCTGTCGTCAAGTCGAAGCTCCGCAACGAAAACCGCGAAATCGACGCCGACGCCATCAACCGGCACAAGCAGCATCAGCGCGAGCTCGCTGCGCGGAGGCAGGAGGAGGGGCTCGACAAGTACTCGGGCGAGGGCGGGACGGGCGGCAGCAACCGCGAGAAGCAGTGGCGCCGTTTCGAGTCCTACGTCAAGGACAGCCAGCTTCCCGATGCCGTCGCCTCTCGGAAGGTGAACTCCGCTCGTTCAGCACTTACGAGCGTCTGCTGAACACGCTCGCGTCGCAGATCGTCGTCGATGCTCGCCGCCTCACCGTCATCCTCCCCATCAACGGTTTCGCCGTCCCCTTCCACGTCAACACGCTGAAGAGCTTGGTCGAGCAGGAGGAGGGCGACTACACTGTCCTTCGCTTCCTTTTCACCACGCCCGGCGCGAACTCCGGCAAGAAGGAGGACACAGTGCGCAGCGCTTCCCAAAGCTGTACCCTCTCGCCAAGCTGACTCACTTGTATGACTCGCAGCCCTTCGAGGACCCGAATGCGACCTTCATCCGCGGCTTGACGTACCGCAGCACCGATCCGTTCCGCTTCATCGAGTTGCACAAGGAGATCAACGATCTCAAGCGTGCAGCGGTCAAGCGCGGGAACGAGCGAAAGGAGATGGCGGATAATTGTTGAGCAGGACAAGCTCGTCGATATCAACGGTGAACTGGCCGTCTCTTCTCTCGTCGCGCGCCTCGCGCTAACCTCGATCCGATGCAGGCAAGCGGCCCATCCGCCTTACCGAGGTCCAGCTCCGACCGTCCTTCGATGGCAAGCGGCAAGCGGGTGACGTCGAGATCCACTCGGACGGTATCCGCTACCAGTCTCCGGTCAAGTCGGAGCAACGCCTCGGTGCGTATTGCCTTTACTGCCAACTCGCTTGTTGCGCTGACCATGACTACTGCCGCAGATGTCCTGTCCAGAAACATCAAGCACCAGTTCCTTCAGCCCTGCCACAACGAGCTCATCGTCATCCTCCACATTCACATCAAGAGCCCCATCACGATCGGCAAGAAGAAGACGAAAGGCCTCGAGTTCTTCCGCCCGGTACCCGACGCGTGTAACAAGAAGCGCAAGGGCGACTACCACAACGAGGACGAGCAGGACGGGTACAAGCGCCGCGCGGACCTCGACAAGCACTTCAAGGCACTCTCCGACGATATTGCCGAGGCCGTGCGTCGCCCTTTCTCGCTTTCGCATGCTCGCACGCTGATCTCTCGCTCATGCAGTCAAGCGGACGCGGCGAGGGCGAAATCCTCTTCCGCGAGACCGGCTTCCGAGGTGTCCCCTTCCGCCGCAATGTCCTCCCCCAGCACACCAGCAATGTCCTTGTCTTCCTCACCGAACCTCCCTTTCTCGTCCTCACCATCAGCCAGATCGAGGTCGCCCATATCGAGCACCTCCAGTACGGCTCGGAGAACTTTCGTCATCACCGACCTCGCCAAGGACACGGCCCAGCTCGTCAAAGCGATCCAGAAGGACAAGGGCGTCACGATGATCTACGCCATCGACGTCCTCCGCGGTAGCAAGACCCAGAAGGTGCGTCGAGACTGGCTGTTTCTCCCGCTTGTTCCGTTCGCCGACTCGCTCTCCTGCGCAGATCGCCGGCGCTGGTCACGACAAGCTCGCGCACGCCGGCAAGGGTTCGAGCATCGACCGCGGTGACTGCGAGCGGCTCTTCCAGCTCCTCGGGGCCGAGCAGGTCCTCGGCGAGCGATACGAGCGCAACGGCCTTGGCTTTACCAACGCCTACCTCACGCTTGGTCCGCGCGCTCAGCAGCTTCTCTCGGGTAAGCTCACCGTCCAGATGGGCTTCACCAAGGGCGGCGAGTCCGGCGGCGGCGGCGGCAAGAAGGGCAAGGCGCCTGCGAAGCAGAAGACCATCGACGAGTCGTACGACCACGAGTAGTACGGCGGTGAGTACGTCGACGAGCTGTACGACGAGACGACGGGCGTGTACGACGAGGTCGAGGAGGAGTGGTACGTCGTCGCATGATTACCTTGTTGCGAGACGTCGCTGACATGTCTAGTCGACGCAGGGCCCATCTCGGACGCCGGGTCGTCCGCTTATCGACCTCGGGTTCGCTCAACGGCGCTGCGAAGGTTTGGCAGGAGGACGAGACCCAGGTCCTCTTCCGCCAGCTTCTCGACGTTCGCAATCAGGTGCGATCGTGTCGCTCTCTCGACGTGCAAGTCTTCCGCTGACACATAATGGCGCGCAGACGGCGACCAACGAGGACTGCGATGCAGAAGGCATCATCTCGGAGGAACTCCTCCAGGCGCGTTGTCACCGTTTCTTCCTTGCGGTTCTCTGCTGATCCTTCTCTTCCCCAGGTCATCGCAGCCATGAAACCGACGAGCTACCGCGAGCTCGCTGCGTGAGTCTCGCCCCCGCACACCTCTCGCTCGCCGGCTGACGCTCTCCTTTCCGCAGCATCGAGGAGCTCACGGACGAGCAGATGGACTGGTTCAGTCACTCGCATGCAAAGGCGCTTTGCATCGAAGCGGTCCGCAAGGCTCGCTCCAAGTCGAGGGAGACCGACAAGGCGGCGATGGCTCCGCCGAAGAAGGTCGCGTCGAACGCTTCCAGTTCAACCTCGCGCGGTCCTGCTGGCGCCGGCGCTGGCAAGACAAATGACTCGTGCGTCCAATCATCTTCTACGCTCGTCTCGCCCACCGCGACTGACCGTTCTTGCTGCGCAGTCGCTCGACCGCCTCGACTTCGGCGAAACCATCCGCCTCGACGTCTCGCACGAACAGCAAGCCCGCGAAGCCGCTCAATCTCTCGGCGTTCGCGTACAGCGGCGGAACACCCGGCGGCGGCGCGAAGAAGACGGGCGGCGCAGCGGGCGGGAGGAGCGGAGGAGGGAGCAGCGGGAAAGGCGGCGGTGGGAGCGGCGCTATCAAGGCGATGCCGATCGTCAAGCGGTAGACGTGGAGTACGGTTGTTTCTAAGCTCGCATGTCCTGTTGTTGTCTCGAACTTCGTGGAAGTCAATGCATTCTTTCGTTTTCGACGCAATTTCTCTTGCGAGGTCCAGTCGCGCGAAGCGCTTTGGCAAGGTTCCGAGTTGCACATGCGAATGCTACTTGAGAGACGAGCCAAAGAGCGAGGGAGCCTGCAAGGACTCGGGTCAGCTCGAGTTCGAAAAGCAAAAAGCGGAAGCAACGGACCTTGCTGCGGATCTGCGACGGCTCGATTGACGAGATGCCGCGCGCGTACGTCTTGGTCGTCAAGACGAGCTCGTCGTCGATGATGGCGGGCGCCTTCTTGCCGTGCAGCGTCGAGGAGTGGTGGATCGCGACCAGCTGCGAGGGGAGAAGGAAGTCAGACGGTTCCCAGCAAGCTCGCGGTCGCACTCGCACGCACCTGCTTCGTCATCGTATGCCGATACGACCCATCTTCCTGCCTGAGCGCCGTATTGGCGAAGAGACCGCCGATGAGGGCGTTCAAGACCGGCTCCGCCTCGTCGCCTGCGCTCGCATCCGGATCGCCCAGCTTCAAGCGCTGTGCACGCTCAAGCAGCTGTTTCCGCGCATCGAGGACCGATGACATCGCTTTGAAGCTGATGAAGTTGTCCTTGCACCACTGCTTCCGCTCGTCCTTGCCGTCGAGCTCTTCGTATGCCCGCAAGATGTTGAACAGCATCATGTGGTCGCCGGTGCGGTGAACGAACTTCTGTCGAGCTGCGTTGGCGGCGTCGCGGGTCGAGCTGGTATTGATGAGGAGCTGGTCCTTCGAGCCGAGGAGCGAGACGAGGTCGATCATCTCGCGAGGGCAGCCCTCGATGAAGGAGGCGGCAAGAACACGGGCGTAGACGGGGTCGAGAGGGAGTTGGGCCATCTGCCGGCCAAGCGGCGTGATCTTGCCGCGCTTGTCGAGCGCGTTCAGGCCGATGAGCGTGAGGAGGGCGAACTTGACTGCGAGAGCGGGCAGCAGTTAGTGGAGGGAGCGATGTAAGAGCACAGGTCACACGCACTTGACTCGACGTCGGGCGGGTCCATGAAGCTGAACTTGAACACATCGTCTTGGCCGGAAGCGAGGAGGTGCAGGATGGCGAAAGTGAGGGAGACGCGCTGGATCTCGGGCTGCGAGCGCTTCTCGAGCCCGTTGTAGGTCGCTTCGGTGTAGAGGCGGAAGCAGAAGCCGTCGGTCTGCGCGTAGAAGCGTCAGCTTGTGATCGATGACGAAATCGAAGACGACGCACTTCACGACCAGCACGACCAGCGCGCTGCTTCGCCGACGACTGCGAGATGCTCTCCGTGACGAGCGAGTCGATGCCTGCGTGAGAGTGGCGTGGTCAGCCTCAGGAAAGGTCCCGTCTCCACCGCTGGTGCTGCTTGAAGCCGGACTTGTACGCACCCGTTCCCGCATGATACCGCTTCTCCTTCGCGAGTCCGCAGTCAACGACGTATTTGACGCCCGGAATCGTGACGGACGTCTCGGCGATGTTGGTAGCGAGAATGACCTTGCGAGTGCGAGGCGGAGACGGGAGGAAAGCTTTCGCTTGCTCGGCGGCGTGGAGCTTGGCGTAGAGAGGCGTAACGAGGAGCTGGAGGGCGAGGAGTGCGAAGTGATCAAGGGCGGTTGTCAGGTCGGAAGACGGAGAGGCGAGGTGAGCGGAGCGAAGTCGGCGAAAGCGAGACGAGAGGCGGGCAAGGAGTCAGCATCATCGAAGCGAGTGAAACAGTACTTCGCCACACACCTCCTCAGCGTGCGGATATTCCTTCTGCAAGCTGGGCAGGAACGACTTGATTGACGCCGCCAGTCCCTCGATCTCTTCCTGACCTGCGAGCAAGTCAAGCGAGCGTCAGTAAGCGCCAGACACCGATAAGTTGTGCGACGCACCAGGAAGGAAGACGAGGATGCTGCCGGGCGGGTAGCGCGTGTGAATCTGATAGACCATCTTGAGTGCGGCGTCGAGAAAGTCGGGCTGAGGCTCTTCGGCGTAGTGAATCTTGACCTTGTGCTGTCGACCGGCGACGTAGAGGACGGGGGCTCTGCGTAAACGAGCGGGAGATGCGGTCAGCCTTGGAGAGTAGGGCGGCGAGGAGACTGACGCGCAACGCACCGGTCGAAGAAGTCGCTGAAGCGCTTCGCATCGATCGTCGCCGACATGACGACAATCTTCAACTCCGTCGGATCCCGCTCGTCGGTGCCCTTCTTCCCATCCGCCTCGCCGTTCGCGACAACCCCGTTCGCCTTCGCCTTTCCCTTCGACTTCGCCTGCTCCGCCTTCCACACGCGCACCCTCTCCTTCCGCCGCTTCTGAATGTCCTTCAGGAATCCCATCAACATGTTGGTCCGTAAGCTGCGCTCGTGCGCCTCGTCGAGCACGACAACATCGTACGCCTCGAGGTCGCGGTCGCCCAGCATCTCCGCCAACAGCGCACCGTCCGTCGCGTACGTCAAGCGCGTGGTACGACTCGTCTTGTTGTCGAAGCGGACGGTGTAGCCGACGAGTCCGCCGGTTTGGGTGCCGCATTCGGCGGAGACGCGCTGGGCGAGGGAGATGGCGGCGACGTGGCGGGGCTGGGTGCAGACGATGCGAGGACCGGAGCAGGGGGTGTCGGAGCGGAGGATGTATTGCGGTATTTCTGTGGGCGAGAATGTGGGTGGGTGAGCAGGACGGTCGAGAGATCGGAGTCGATGAAGCGGTACTCACGAGTCGTCTTTCCGGAACCCGTCTCGGCAAGCACGATAACCGTGTCGTTGTCCGCGATCCCCTTCAGGATGGCGTCCTTGCCTGCGAGTGCGGGAGTCTGGTTGGTACTCGTTGAGAATTCGAGGAAGTGAACGAACGCACCTTGGAAGACTGGCAGCTTCTCCCTCTCTGGCCTGAGTCGCTGCGCCTCCTCCTTCGCCTTGCGCTTCTGCTCTGATTCCCACGCCGCTTGCGCTTGACGCCGCCGTTCCCGTTCACCTGCGGACTCAGTTCTCCCGCCCCGTTCGCACGCTCATTTGCCTCCTGCTCGGCTTCTTCGTCGAATACGACGAGTTTGCGCTTCTTTGGCGGCGCGGGCGACCCTGCCGTGCCGTTGGGCGGTGGGCGCTTGAGCGAGTCGAGCTTGTGCGGTGAAGCGGCTGCAGGAGCGGGAGAAGCGGGCTTGAGCAGTGCGGCGGGCGTGTCGACGGACTTGCAGAGGGGAATCTGGTGCGGGCGGCCACCCTAGCGCGGGGAGGGCTGGTAGGCGGCGCGGGACCTGAGGAGGGCGGAAGTGGGGAAGAACGTCGTCGACAAGTCGCCGGGGGAGGCGTCTCCGGTTGTGGCGGGTCGCGTGGAGACGTGATGAATTTGGGTAGCTCGGTAGCGGTGCTCATGGTGGCTGTCGTCGTGGAGAAGCGACGAGAGAAGCGAGCGGATGTGGGGTCTCCGCGTTCGGGTGCAGGCGGGGTTCAGCCGTCGACTCGTGTATCGAGCTGAGGGCAGCAGGACCGTAGCAGAGACTGTAGGAGGCTGGAAGAGCGAGAGGAAGCCGAATTCAGCGGCGCCCACTCACCGCGCGAGGCCTGGGGAGCGCCGCGGAGGATCATGTCGCCGGAGGGCTTGTTAGGGGGAACAGCTGGCAAGGCTCGCCGAATACAAAATGTAAGCAAGAATACACTTTCCATCTCCTTAGAAGGTTACTCATATACAGTTTGTATTTGCAGATTACAAGTGTATTGGCGGGGCACAAACAGCAGGGGAGAGGGTGTCTCGATTCTATAAGAGAGTGAGTCTCCGTTTACAGCTTTGTATTGTGGCTGCACCGATTGTCATAATAAGCATGGAGCTAATGGTTACTCCCAGATCATTAGCTCAATGCTTACACGAATAACGTCCACAAATTTCAGGCGAGCCTGAAGCCTGAATTTGTTGACGTTATCCGTGCCGCCGAGGAGGCCTACAAGAGCAAGGCCAAGCTCTGAACGACTCCGGAGCGTCGGGACGCCAAAACCGACAGTTTCGACGGTTCCTCGCCTCGTACATGAATCCGAAGGATGCCAAAATGATCAAGTGTATCTAGACGACGGTATCGACGGTGCTGGGCTGCCCACGAACAGAGAGGAGCGCTACAAAGGCAGAGTAGGGATTTTGAAGAGCGGATCGGCGCTCCTTATTCGCTTCTTCGCCCGCGCAGCGTCTCGAGCGCATCTGCCCGTTCTGCAAGAGCTTGAGAAGCCTCTCACGCCCGTATTGTGCCAGCATTTCGGAGAAGGCGCAGAGCGATGTGTCGCGAAGACCTTCGGACGCTCGCTTCGGTTGATGGAGCTATCTTCGCTCTCTCACCCGTCGGGGCACTCTGCGCGCTATGCTGTTCGCGTTCGAGCTATGTGCGACGATTTCATGCGACGAGACGGCAAAGGGAATGATGCAATTGCGAGTGAAGAGAACGAAAAACAAGGTACAATCCGGACGAACAACGACGAGTACAAGGGCCGCACTCGACCCACCTCACTTCTTGCCCGCCGAGCGCTTGAGACCGGTGATGCCGACCTTGGGCGCGCCCTTCTGGTTCGACTTCTTGCCGGCGACTTGCTGGAGCGGGACGAAAGCGAATGGCTGCATGCCGTTCTTCTTGACGTCGCCGCCGGCGCGCTGCGGACGTGAGAAACATTGAGCTCGGGAACAGCCGTGGAAGAGCTCCGCAATAACGCACCTTGGCCTTGAACTCGCCGCCGACCTGCTGGACCTCCTTCTTCTGCTTCTTCCACCGCTTCTTGCCCGTGACGTCCAGCTCCTTCAAGCCCTCCGTGACCGGCACATCCCGCTCGGGGTCGTCGTCGTCAAAGTCGTCGCCGCGCGCACGCTTGCCCTGCGTCTTGTTGAACTTGATGCGTCCGCGCGCATCGCGGGTGTGGCCGTCCTCGCCGCGCATCGCCTCGAGGTAGTCGCCCATGCCCGACGGTCCGGCATTCGCTCCTGCAGACGTTGAAGGGGCGCGGTCGTCGTCGGACGAGCCCTCCTCCTCGATGCGGATGCGACCCGAAGAGTCGGTCTTGAAGTGCGAGTCGAGCGGTTTCCGGGCAGTCTTGGCGGGCGCCGGGCGAGTGGCTGCGCGAGAGAGGTGTGTGAGAACTCGCCTGAAAACAACGGGAAGACTAGCACGCACCGGAGATCCGGCTCATCATCTTCTCGTCGAGCAAGTCGAGCACTTCGTCCTCGCCCTCCTGGATGAACGCGCCGCCCTCCTCCTTCTTGGCCTTCCGCGCCTGCGACTTGCGGTTCTTCACGCCGGTCGGGGCGTGTCGGACCGGTCCTTCGCCGGCGTCCTCGTCTTCCGAAGCAGAGACGTCCGAGTCGGACCCGTACAGGACCTCGTCGTACGCCGAGCGCTGCGCTGCTTGTGGTCGCGGTGCGGTCTGCGGGACGCGGCTGTTAGCGTCGAGGGACTGTACGAGGGAACCGTGGGAACTCACCTCGCCCTCCTCCACCTCCTCACCGTCGACATCCATTCCCGCCGCTGCCGCCGCCTTCTTCTTCTTGCTCCGCGCCTGCCGCTTGCGGATGTTGCTGACGAGCTTCTTGTCGTCTTCGGGCACGTACCGCTCGACCGCGTCGTAGCCGTACTTCCTGATCATGCGCTCGAGCAAGTGGCGGATCTTGACCTTGAAGTGGTTCGAGTGCTCGTGCGACCAGTTGATGAGGGCCGGGACGAGCTGCGGGAGAGAGGGGAGGACGAGTGCCGAGTCGAGCGTGACGACCGCAACCTTGACGAAACCGAGACCGGCCTTGACGATCTCGCGGTTCGCGGAGGAGAGGAAGACGACGATCGTCTCGAGCAAGTCGGTGAGGTACGAGTCCTTGAGCGAGGCTGTGTGCTTGAGAGTTAGCTGCATGGTCGGAAAAAGGCGGCAGGAACGCGCGCGCACCGTGGAACTCCCACACGAGACGACCGAGTGCACCGATCGTCGCCGCAATCATGTGCGGGTTCGCGGCGGCGAGACCAGCGCTGAGCATCGTGACGAACTCCTCCTCGCTCGCGTCGACCTCGTCCTCCATCGCGTCCTCCATGCCCTTGATCAGGTGCCGCTTGATCCGTCCGCCGTTCGCCATGCGCTGACCCATCGAGACGAGGAGCGAGTAGGCCGACTCGCGCGTGACGCCGTTCGACTCCTTGGTCGAGAGGACCGCCTCGGGGATGAGCGACGGGACGATGTGAAGCGAGTCGGAGGGGATGAGCGGGACGAACGCCGAGAGGAGGGCGACGCGGTCGCGCTTGGCGCCGTTTGCGACCTGGGACGCGCCGTCGACAATCTTGTCGATCACCTCGCCCTCGCGGCCGCTGACGACCTCCTTGCCCTTCTCCTCGCACAGGCGCGCGAGGATGCGGTACGCCTTCTTCTGGACGGCCTGGTCGACGCAGCCCAACACGCGGTCCTGCATCGCAAAGTCAAAGAGGCGACGTGCGACGGCACCGTGAGCGTGCGGGATCATGGCGATGAGGATGTCGAGCAGGGCGTGTGAGGGAGGGATCGTCGGGTCGTCCTTCTTGCTCGGCGGAAGGGCGTCGCCAGCGAGCGCCTGGCCGACGAGGCCCTCGACGCGCTCGTACGTCGAGACAAGCTCGTCGGGCGGGAGGATCGAGAACCACAGGCCGACGGTCTCGAGAACGTATCCGCCCTCTCCGCGGTTCATCTTGCCGTAGACGTTGAAGGCGACCGAGAGAATCGTCTGCGCGAGCGTCCGGAGGTGGGCGAGCGAGGCCTTTCCGTCCGCCGGCGTGAGCGAGAATTGCTCGCGCAGGAGGTCGGGCGGGGAAGTCGAGTTGGCAAGGGTAAGCGTGGTCGTCAGGAGCGTCTGGAGCGCCTTGAAGACGGCGGGTCGCAAAGTCGCCTGGGTGTAGACGACGTTGGCGACGAGCGAGACAAAGTCGGTATCGAACGACTCGACGAGGTCGGTCGGGTACTCGCAGTAGCCCGGCAAGAGCGCCCAGACCTGCCCGACGAGCGTCTCCCACACCTTGGCTTCCATGTCGCGTCCGCCCGCGCGCGCCTCCTCCGCCTTGGAAAAGAACGCCGCCGAGAGCGGGACAAACGTCTCGCGGAAGTGGTCGATGCGGGTGTTGGTGATTGCGGGTTTCAGGAGCGGAAGGAGCCATGCGCGCGCCTTGGAGGGCGACTCGGACGGGTCGAGGTTGAGTGGGACGAGTTCGAGCACGCGAGCCGGGCCAAGGACCTTGACTGCGGCGTCGAGGACCGCGTCGGCCTCCTTCTTCCACTCGAAGCGCGAGTCTTCCCGCGCCTTGGCGACGAGGACGAGCGACTTGCTCAGGAGACGGGAGGCGGCGGGTTCGCCGTTGACGCGGACGCGGAGGCGGAGGAAGAGCGCCTTGACGAGCGCGAGGACATGCGGCTGGGCCGAGGCGGCGTACCGCGACGAGGTGATCGCCTTTTCGGCGTGCGAGACGACGCTCGAGATGACGGGGCCGTTCGAGGTGGTGTCGGCGTCGGTGAGGCAGTGGCGGATCATGAGGGAGAGCGAAGTCTCGACGGCGGTGCGAAGTGCGGGCGTCTGCGCCGAGGCGAGCAGGGGCAGGATTTCGGGGAAGAGCGTTGCCATGCGCGAGAGGGCAGCATCGGCATCAGACCGTGCGAGCGCGACCATTCCCTCGCCAACTCCCTCCGCCCATCCCGCCAACAGCTTCTCGCCCTGCTCGCTGCCTTCCGCAACTTTCGGCTTGGCGTTGACGAGCGCTTCGAGCGTGTCGCGGACGTGGTCGTCGGAGATGGAGGAGGCGGCGTGCGAGGCGGAGAACAGGTGCGAGAGGAGGGTGAGGGCGGACAGCGTGAGGTGCGGCGAGGACAGGGTCAAGGTCGAGAGGATGATTGGCAGCAGCATCGACGTGGACTGTGGGTACGAGTGTGAGCGAGACTAAGGCCGGGGAAGGGAATGCCGCGACGCACCGATGCAGGCCACGCCGAACCCAAGTTCTTCACGAACGTGAGGAGCGCAATCGCCCGGCTCTCGTCTCCGCCGTGCTCTTCGCCTTTCTTTCCGCCTCCCCCGTGCGCCCGCTTTGCCCCCTTGACCGCCTCTTCCAGCTTGGAGCAGATCCACTCTGCGCTCTCGCTGGCGTACGGATGCGAAACGGCTGGAGGCGGAGTTGAAGCAAGAACCGCCTGGACCGCCTCCTGCGCCCGTCGTCGGACTTTTGGTCGTGCGTCGGCGCAGAGGGAGAGGATGGTCGCGTAGACGGAGCGGCAGCCGTCGAGGTCGCGTTCGAGCTGTGTCTGGGAGGCGGAGGCGAGGAGGGACTGGGCGAGTGCGATGAGGGACTTGACTGCTGGGGCGTGGGCGGCAAAGGACTGGAAGAGGGGAGGGAGGAGGCGGAGGATGTCGATGCGCGCGCGGAGAGCAGGCTTGTCGAGGAAGGGGACGAGGAGGGCGAGTAGGTACAGACACGCCTCGAGGAGTGCGCGCTTGTCCGAGTCGGGCTTGGCTGCATCCGCGTCTCCTGCCAGCTGCTCCAGCGTCGAGAGGAACGCGACCCAGTAGGCCTGGGGTGCGATGTCGGCGGATGGAGAGTCGGTCGAGGCGAGGGTCGACTCGACTGCGACGAGGAGCTGGGCGGGCCGCTGGACCTGCTTGGTCTGTGCGTTGAGCTGTTTCCTGACCTTGTCCCACTGCGCGTCCATCCCTGGCGTCGTTTGAAGAGTGAGGATCAAGGCTGAGCTCGACACAGCCTCGCCGGCAACTCGATTACAACTCGCATTACAACCGAGTTTGTATTCAGCTCATTACAACCTCCACTTTGTATTCGTTCCATTACAAGCGCACTTTGTATTCGAGTTTGTAAGCCTTACTCATCGCCATCTCTCCCTCCTCCGCTGCGCTCCTTCGCTCGCTGCACCCGCTCGGTAGAATGTCCTCGCTCGTGACTCGTCCCAAACCGATCCAGCACGACCCGAGCGTCGTCCGCGAGCTCGTCGCCGGGCCACACGACGGGCCTCAACCGCCGTTCCCCGTCTACCTCGACGGGTGGGTCACGCGCGGGTTCGGCAGGGGGTCAAAGGACCTCGGGTGTCCCACTGGTGAGCGGGCGAACCTCTTTCACTCGGTGCGAGACGAGCGAGCTGACCCCGGTTCACCGCGTTCGACGCCGACAGCCAACCTGCCCGACTCGTCGATTGCACCGTATGCAGAGACACTCTCGACGGGCGTCTACTTTGGCTTTGCGCGCGTCCTCGACCAGCGCTCTGCGACCCGCTCCTCGACAACCTCGGCTTTCCCCACTTCCTCCTCCTCGAATGACAGCAAGAACGAGCACGACGGCGTCTTTCCCATGGTCATGAGCATCGGGTGGAACCCGTTCTACAACAACGACACTCGGACCGCGGTGAGTTTGCGTGGTCTCGTCTCGAGCGGGTATCGGGAGTTTGGGCTTGGCGCGCAGCGCCTGGGACTCGTCCCAAGAAGCTCGCGCGAAGCGCCATCGCGCTCCGGAGTATGCATAGCGTGCCTCATGTCGCGGAAACGGCGGGGCGAACCTTGGATGGACGACGGCGAGCACTTTCCGACCTCGCACAATCCGCATCTCGCTCTCGAATCGTGCGCTGACCCGCTTCCGCCATCTCGCCTCCCGCAGGAAGTCCACGTCCTGCACACGTACCCCTCGGACTTTTACGGCAAGCAGCTCCGCGTCGTCATGCTCGGCTTCATCCGACCAGAGTACAACTATGGGTCGATGGGTGCGTTCGCGCATTCTTTTCTTGCGAGGGATGCACTGCATTTGTGGCGAGGTCTGTTGGGGCGGGAAACTGCGAGGTAGGGGCGTCTTGAGGACTCTGTCGCTGACTCGCTTCCCAATCTCTGTCCCACCGCTTCTCTCGAAACTTGGTGCTCTCTCGCCTCCCGCTCACCCGGCTGCACAGACGCCCTCATCGCCGACATCAACACTGACAAGCTCGTCGCCCTCAACTCGGTCTCCTCTCCCAACCCCTCCGCCTCCTCAACTACAACCGAAACCACCGCCGCCGCACCCGCCGTCATCCCCGCCGAGCGAGGGACCAACTATGCACGCTTTGCTGAGGATGAGTTCTTTTGGAGGGAAAGTACGCTCGAGCCATTGCCCGAGGGGGTGGATCCGGAGAAGAAGAGGGAGAAGTAGAGGCGCAGGTAGAACTAGAGCGATGCGGCGTAGATGGTCCGTCTCGCATGGAACGCAAGCAGTACGGGTGTTGTACATCTCAACACGACAGGAGCGATGCGGATGGGATCCGGTGCGCAGAAAGAGCGTGAGAAGTAGCGGCTTTCGGTCCTTGTCGTCTCGCACGCACTCCGATGATGAGTCAATCACGCTTGACTTCACTGCTAGCTCATCGACTTAGTCACACAGCGCACCACGCTCCCTCGCCCACTGTTCGAGGTCGTGACTGTCGACCTCGTCCTCCGCTTGACAATGCTCGAGCCGCAAGTCAGTGCCGGCGACTCGTGCGCATCCTCGTAACGCATCGTCGGGATTTACGCTAGTATGAGGGCGTCCAATGTCAAGTGCGCCGGAAGGAAGCGGCAACACAAGGACGACGAGGGAGTAAAGTGTCGGCGCAAGGCCGATTCTGCTGCCATCGATCGATTCGTAGCTCGCCGAGTCGATACCAATCAATGCGAGGTGCTGTATGCTTGGCGAGAGGGGAGCAAGTAGCGCGGTCACTGCGTGCGGCCCGACGCCCTTGAAGCCGACGACGCGAAGGCGCGACGCGGAGATGGGCTCAAAGTGCTCCTGGCTGACAGCGAGTCCGGTAAGGAGTAGCATGTCGAGGTCGGGGAGCCGCACGATGCTTGCCACAGCGCTGGCTTCGAGGCGAAAGTGGTTGATGGTGAGGAAGCGAAGACTGGCCGGGAAGGTGTTGAAAGGAAGGCGAGACGGGAGGCGCAGCGTGCCCGGCGCGTAACAGGCGGCGTAGGGGGCGAGGATTTCTAAGAAGAGGGTCAGCTTGGCTATCCCTCCTCGAAAGCGCGACGAACGGGGATGGGGGCGCCTCACGGTAATCCTTCCTCACGTCTGCCATCGTCGAAGTACGCCACATGCCAAGCTCGCTCAAGCCAGGGTACCGATCGTCTACACGGAGCATTCCGGCAAGCGGATTGTACTCAAAGTGCGAGATGCACAGGTCAAGGCGCGACATCTGCTGCAAGGGCGTCTCCAGGCGTTGCAGACGCTGCGCAAGTTCGTCAGGGGGCGCCCTCAGGTTCAAGAGTATGTGCTGAGCGAGACGGCGCTGCACGTGCGCAGTCCAGTCGCGGTGGACGAGGGCGAGGACCTTGTAGAGGCGGATCCTCTCGACGGTGATAAAAGGTGCGGGGAGGGATGGCGAGGTCGACGATGTGCAGCTCGAGTTCGATAGGAGGTCGTGGGCCAGGCATGGCGTCTTTAGCAAGCAGTCTGCGCGATGTGAGCGAGGTGCTGAGGGGAGAGGAACTCGACGAAGAGGTTGGGTGAGGACCACAGACCCGCGCTCACTCTAGTTCGCTGTGGCTGCCTCGCTAGGCCTACTTGCCTCTCTTGCTACCTCGACGCACCGTTCGCGCGACTGCCCGCCCTCTCGCGCCGTTCATTCGATTCCATCAGTTCCCGGTGCGCGTCTCTCTCGCTCGCTTGGCTGACAGGCGGCATCGGGCGGGATTGTGCGGGTGCGAGGGCAGTGCGTGAGCTCTGTGGGGGACTGCGCGCTAGCTGGACGGCGGAACAAGCGGGAAGCGGACACGAGAATCCGACAGCTCCTCCTCGCGCCAGGGCTCGACTAGCGGATGCGGGAGTCGCAGGAGGGCCAGCGCCTGGGCAGCGTGTTGAGAGGAGAGTACTGACACCGCTCGCTTGCTCTTGCAGCAGGATTCGCCGTTCAGCGACGCCGCGCTCCGGTGCGTCCGCTCTCGTCTGTTCCTCTTCCACTTCTCGCTCTCCTCACCAGGTCTGGTTAGGGTTAGGGTTAGGGTTAGG